CAGCGCAACGCAGGATCAACCAATTCGCTACGCGTGAACAGCTGACTGCGCTGTGTTTATTTCTCCTGACAAGGTCAAGCCAAGGAAGCACCCCCTCGCATGGTCCATATTGCATTTTTGGTGGACGCTCCGCTAATTCGATACCTCCGTGCCCTCTTCCTCACGAGCGCTGTCTTTCTCTGCGGTCCCGGCCCGTCGGTCAAACTCTGCGGCACCTCCGTGCTCCTGGGAAGTGAGCCGGCAGCCGAATGTGTTGTGTCAATAGGGACTTGGTCTCCCGAGTGTTCAAAGGGTTCCTCCAGCCCTGGTGCCAAGTGGATTTGGTCCATAGCACCAAGAGAAAGGTAGTCTGCAGAATCAGTGTTGTTTTCAATTGATGGGCCAATGGAGCCAGCCAAATGAACAAGTGGCAGGAGAGTCTCTCTCTCTCTCTCTCTGCTTTTGTTTCTCTCTCTCTCTCTCTCTTTCTGTGTGTCAGTCTCTGAGCAAGCTCCCATAAATCCATTCCAGCCTCCAACTTCAGTGCAAACAACAATACAGCTGCAGCTCATCATTGTCATAGATAGAAAGAACATGGGATGATCATGAAACTTCAGAGTGGATTTCTCCTTGGCGTGGTCAAATCGGTGGCTTCTGTTGATGGCTCGCGCCCAAGCAAAACGCTTTAATGCATCATGAGATGATGTGGATGGATCTGCATGTGGGTCCCTCTGTTTTGTGGGTACCCTTTTTTCGGTGGTTGGCGAAACCAAACGGAACACCCACCCATTTGAGGGAAGGAGTCCCCCGAAAAGACACGACCCATGTACGCCAAGCGGCCACGCAGCGCACCGCACGCCGCATCCTGTGGGAATGAACCCAGGAATTGGCCCCCAAGGAAACCACCAGTTGGATGGTTTATGGTTTATAAGGGTCATTCCATTTCTCATTCCCTGCTTACTGCACCAGCAAGAGGAGGAACCCAAATAAGTCAGAATCAAAACCTGATAGAAAAAAGGTCTACCCGAAAGACCGAGTAAAGAATGCACAAGGCGCATATCCGCTCCCATTTATGGTTGGGACTTACACATTTATTTATTTGTTGCACGGGTTTTGAGCAAGTGGCTAAATGAACAAGAGAAGGCTTGCAAAACCTCCGGCTGTTTGCGCAGCTCCAAGTCAACTTCCATCTTGGTGAGGTGCAACCCGCAAACCGGATTCCCAAAAGAGACCTCGGCGGGTTTGACTAAGCGGTAAGAAAACTCGCCCACGTCTGGCAGAGTTTAGCCCCAGTAGTTGTCCATGACCAGTGCAAGTGACCAAGATAAACGATGAATCCCTATCAATAATGATAAAAACCGCCCAAGAAGTGTTGTTGCCTGGCATGGATCTTGTCCACGGTTCCCTTCGGTTCCCCGTTTTGAGCAACCCAAAGAAAGCCAAGGAGTACACAAACGCTTCCTGGTCAAACTGCTAGGACAAAAACCGCGCGTCAGAAAGAAGGTGCCACTCGCAGTATTTGGGGGTCTCTTGTTTTGAACCAAAAAGGACACCGAAGCCATTTTGCGGGGTCCCGCAAACTGGGCTGTCTTCATATCCCCTGCTACAAGTTTTAACTTTTAGCGGGTTCAATGGAAACACCGGACCCATTCTAAACCACCTAACAACCGGACACCCCCACTAAACAACCTAAAATCCCCAAAACCTAAGGAACCGGATGGCCGGGAACCGCCCAGTAACAAAAAAATCACGAGCCGCCCGTTTCCCGGGAAGCGAACCTGCGGCGACCAGCCCCGTGGCCACCACGAAAGTCCAGCGGCAGCCCAGCAGCGAGACCAGCGGCCCGGTGACGAAGGCCCCGGGCACGTAGACCTAACTGCCAGGACAAAACCCCAGAGAGAAAAAAATTCGGAACCCCCCCGGTAAAACCCGCTTTGGCACTCAAAAAAAGAAAACCAAGGAACAAAAATGGGAATTCGCCTGTAAAGCCCGCTTTTGCTTTGGACACTCAAGGGAAAAACAGCCAAGGAACAAAAATGGGAATTCGCCTGTAAAGCCCGCTTTGGACACTCAAGGGAAAAACACCCAAGGAACAAAAATGGGAATTCGCCTGTAAAGCCCGCTTTGGACACTCAAGGGAAAAACACCCAAGGAACAAAAATGGGAATTCGCCTGTAAAGCCCGCTTTGGACACTCAAGGAAAAACACCCAAGGAACAAAAATGGGAATTCGCCTGTAAAGCCCGCTTTGGACACTCAAGAGAAAAACACCCAAGGAACAAAAATGGGAATTTGCCTGTAAAGCCCGCTTTGGACACTCAAGGGAAAAACACCCAAGGACAAAAATGGGAATTCGCCTGTAAAACCCGCTTTGGACACTCAAGGGAAAAACACCCAAGGAACAAAAATGGGGATTCGCCTGTAAAGCCCGCTTTGGACACTCAAGGGAACACCACCCAAGGAACAAAAATGGGAATTCGCCTGTAAAACCCGCTTTGGACACTCAAGGGAAACACACCCAAGGAACAAAAATGGGAATTCCCCTGTAAAGCCCGCTTTGGACACTCAAGGGAAACACACCCAAGGAACAAAAATGGGAATTCGCCTGTAAAGCCCGCTTTGGACACTCCTCAACAAGGAACAAAAATGGGAATTCGCCTGTAAAACCCGCTTTGGACACTCAAGGGAAACACACCCAAGGAACAAAAATGGGAATTCCCCTGTAAAGCCCGCTTTGGACACTCAAGGGAAACACACCCAAGGAACAAACATGGGAATTCGCCTGTAATGCCCGCTTTGGACACTCAAGGAACAAAAAAACCCGCTTTGGACACTCAAAGGGAAACACACCCAAGGGACAAAAATGGGAATTCGCAAAAAATGGAATTCGCCTGTAAAGCCCGCTTTGGACACTCAAGGGAAACACACCCAAGGAACAAACATGGGAATTCGCCTGTAAAACCCGCTTTGGACACTCAAGGGAGAAACACCCAAGGAACACAAATGGAACCCCCCTGTAAAACCCGCTTTGGACACTCAAGGGAAAAACACCCAAGGAACAAAAATGGGAATTCGCCTGTAAAGCCCGCTTTGGACACTCAAGGGAAACACACCCAAGGAACAAAAATGGGAATTCGCCTGTAAAACCCGCTTTGGACACTCAAGGGAAAAACACCCAAGGAACAAAAATGGGAATTCCCCTGTAAAGCCCGCTTTGGACACTCAAGGGAAACACACCCAAGGAACAAACATGGGAATTCGCCTGTAAAACCCGCTTTGGACACTCAAGGGAGAAACACCCAAGGAACACAAATGGAACCCCCCTGTAAAACCCGCTTTGGACACTCAAGGGAAAAACACCCAAGGAACAAAAATGGGAATTCGCCTGTAAAGCCCGCGTTGGACACTCAAGGGAAACACACCCAAGGAACAAAAATGGGAATTCGCCTGTAAAGCCCGCTTTGGACACTCAAGGGAAACACACCCAAGGAACAAAAATGGGAATTCGCCTGTAAAGCCCGCTTTGGACACTCAAGGGAAACACACCCAAGGAACAAAAATGGAACCCCCCTGTAAAACCCGCTTTGGACACTCAAGGGAAAAACACCCAAGGAACAAAAATGGGAATTCGCCTGTAAAGCCCGCTTTGGACACTCAAGGGAAACACACCCAAGGAACAAAAATGGGAATTCGCCTGTAAAACCAGCTTTGGACACTCAAGGGAAAAACACCCAAGGAACAAAAATGGGAATTCGCCTGTAAAGCTCGCTTTGGACACTCAAGGGAAACACACCCAAGGAACAAAAATGGGAATTCGCCTGTAAAGCCCGCTTTGGACACTCAAGGGAAACACACCCAAGGAACAAAAACACCCGCTTTGGACACTCAAGGGAAAAACACCCAAGGAACAAAAATGGGAATTCGCCTGTAAAGCTCGCTTTGGACACTCAAGGGAAACACACCCAAGGAACAAAAATTGGAATTCGCCTGTAAAGCCCGCTTTGGACACTCAAGGGAAACACACCCAAGGAACAAAAATGGAACCCCCGGTAAAACCCGCTTTGGACACTCAAGGAAAAAGCACCCAAGGAACAAAAATGGCAACCCCGCCTGTAATGCCCGCTTTGGACACTCAAGGAAGGAACAAAAATGGAACCCCCCTGTAAAACCCGCTTTGGACACCCAAGGGAAAAAATGGAAACCCGGTTGTTGGCACCCAAGGAACAAAACTGGAAACCCGGTGTTGAAGCGGGACAAATGGGGGTTGGACCAAGTGCCAGTTTCTAGAATATCGATTGACCGGGTTTGAAGTCACGACGAGGAAAGGAAGCCAACGCATCCCTCGGGTTACATTTGAGTTTAGAAGACTGCTTGAATCAAATGGAACCCAAAGGTAGGTTGTTTGGAGTGTTTTGCTGTTTGGAAACCAGAGACAACCGCCCAAAAAATGGTGGGACCTCCCCCACTCTTTAGACACATCCCAAACTCTGAACCCGCATGTTCAAGAGACATAGTTTGAGAAAGCAGGTCTTCCATGGAAACTGCCTCCATGTTTAGTCAGGGGCCAACATCATAATCTCAAAAATTGGCATTGGCTGAAGGTGGCATGTGTCTGGACAAGGTCCTCCCCAACCCCCCACCCCCCGCCCCAAACATCTCCCCAACCCCCCAAACCCCCCCCCAAACCCCCCCCAAACCCCCCCCAAACCCCACCCAACATAGCGAAGGCGCCAGCGCATAGAGGATGCAAAGGATGTTCATGGCCGGCTCGTCCACTCGCAGCGCGGACATGCTCTGCCGCAAGATGGGAACAAAGGTGTACTGCGGAACGTAGCCTGCGCTTTGCTTTCCTAACATGTCCTTACCACATTTCTTCAGATCTTGTCCGGAAACTTGCAAACTATGCTACCCACAAGGCAACACCTCTTCAGAAAGGCGCAGTGGAGTCTTCACTTGCGTGACACTCGCCACCCCTCATCGCAAAGTGTACTTCTTCATGTCCCAACTTGCCCGGCGACCCGGTTACAGAAGTGCAAATGAAGACCCTTTTGGGGTTTACCGCTTTTGTCCAGGCTCGAGCAGAGACCTCTGCTTGTCAAGGCGCTGATGCAAATGTCGAGGCTCAGGACGCCCAAGGCCACCCATCGCATGCGACTCGGGGAGCCCACCTCCTGAGAGGAACTTCGCACCAAGGAGCTGCACCACCAACCGTAGACGGAGAAAGAAAAAAAAGACATATAGCATATATATATATATATATATCAGTACGTACATCATGCATACTGTGGATGGACGAAATCCTGCACCACCTAAGAAACGATGGGAAACCACTGTTTGTTGGTATTTACAGGGAATCAGACCACTCCAGGGCTTCTTAGGTGATGCAGGATTTCGTCCATGCACGGTATGTACGCATTTCTTTGAACCGGCGGCAAACTGGATATGTGCATATTGGGTATCTATGGAGTACTTGAGGGCATAGATTTGGGGCACGTACGCCAAGTGCATGTAATTGTTGTGTGTTCAGCAATGTACTCACGAGGATGGATGCACCCCAAACGGCTCCAAACTATACTCACCAAATATAATTGGCATCTTAATCTTGCCAAACCAGGGGAATGATTTCCGAGAGATCCGGGAGTTGCAGGGGTACACACTCAGGGGTACATGACACTAGCCCATTCCAAGAGATCCAATCTGGATCAAACACGGATCATCCTTCGCATCTCATTCAGGCCATTTGTTTTGAAGATCGGCATGCGTGAAACTATGGTCCACAAGAACAGTGATTCGGAGCATTCGGCGTTCCTGTTCATTTCCCTTTAAACAAATAAGAGGAACCCTCCAAAAAAGACGAGCCGCCCAAATAGGGTGAGATTGATCGCTATGGGCATTCAGCATGTCTCGCAAGGTCGAAATGCGTCTACCAAGCATCAAGCTCGACGGAGGCATCACAGGCCAAGGAATGCTGTCAAAGTTCAGAGGCTTGGGAGCGCATTCCAGATTAACGCTTCCTCAAGCAGAAAGTAGCTGCCTTTTGTTCCCAAACGCCAGATCAGTCCTTCCTTTCCCTGGCCAAACCAGTCAACACTCTTAGTGCCATATGGCTCCCTTCATGGGGATCCCACTGGTTGTGGACTCTCCGCCCACTTCCATCTGTGCCCAGCCCAATGGCTTTCCAAAATTCTCACACCAAACGGAAACCAATCGATGCCACCCACCAAGCACCCCAGTGAGTTCCGCGCCTGCGGGAACCGCCGCGACTCTCCAACTCTCTCGACTCGCCGCGCCTGCGCTCTGCCTTTGTAGCAACACCTCTGTGCCAACTGCCATCTGGCCGCGCAAATCATACCATGGCCGCAAACGATTCGACTCGGCGATCCTTCGCCCCCAGCACCAGCCCGAGGGGCGCTGTGGGTAGATACATACTGGTGTCTGTTTCTTTTCTTCTTCTTCTTTCTTTTTGTTTTACACACACACACACACACATGTTGCATAAATCCCTGCGGCAAAAGGAACATCCTTTCTGTGCTTGGTTCTTGGCAGTCTGTCATTTGCTGGAATCTTGGACACAGGCCCAGGGAAAGCAGTTGTAGGACTCACCAGCAGCGCTGCCTGCTGAGTGCGTGAAGGCCAAGGGGGTAGGCACAACGATTTGCTTTTCCAGCCAACTACGCTTTTGTGAGGGGACCTTGCGACGGGGACGCGATTCTTGGAGTCATTGGGGGTGCATCTGAGCTGAATCTGCTCGTGAGGTGCCGCTTGAGCCAACGCAAATGACCCATTGCGTGAAAGGGCCCTTGTAGCCATAGGTGACCATTTGGAAAAATACATGGCCCTGGTGAATGGAATGCACAAATCTAAACCGGCGCCATCTATTTCTGACTAAACTAACCTACAAAGGACATCTGAGCTCGTAGGCCTGGCTGTCCCTTTGGCAACTAGTACCGGAACCTGTGAAATCCATCTTTGTTCGGCCAAAGTTGGAAAGAAAACCAATGCTAGACTCAGAGACCGAATGATCCAGAAAGGGGATGGCTCACCGAGGTGCCCAGTCTGCTCGTCAGGCTTCAAAGTTTCTGGGATTTGGTCACTGAAAGGCTCGATCCCGTCGACTGGACCCCCAATGAATCCTGTGTGAAAAAACTGAGAAGGAGGGCTGCTGAACCGAACCCCGGAAGGGGCAAGGAGAATGGTTGCCTCCCTATGCGTCTCTGCGCGCGAACTCAAACGCGCAGAGACACACACACACACACATCACGTGCTCGGAAACCTCATGGCGGATGCTCAACTCTGAAAGTGCCACAGCCTCAAAAGTCGTTTGCTGGATGATTTGTAAAGCAAAATGGACATCTGCTCATGCATTTTCATTCCTGAAAGGCAGCCAAACCAAACCAACCTGCCGCTCTGCATAGAGGTTGGGCTCTGCCTTCTCAAGAGGGACAACAAGTCACCCTAAACCCTAAGCCTTGTTTCTGCCGGGGCTCAGGAAGTGAGCTTCCCGTCTTCAACGTGCCATTCTCCGCGCTGGCTTGACTTGATCTGCTCCGCCCCGCCAGCCCCTCGACGATTCGCCCGACTTGTTTTTCTCCGCCGGCTGCCTGTTGAGCTCTTGTGGCACTTCGCTGCCGGCTGAGGTCAGGAGGGACCAACAGAGTGCATTCCTTGGCTTCCATCTGCTGCTCCAGGTGCCTTTAAAGATTTTAAAGGCAAAAGAAGAAGAACAGCTGCCCGGCAGGATAGAATCCAACCACCGAATGGATAGAGAAGCAAGCACCTCAAGCAAATGGACACCACCATTCTCCAAGATGCTTAACTCATAAGGAGAAACAAGCATCAAGAAATGAAGCTCCGACACCAGGCCTCCCCTGCACTTGCCCGGGTCGCCGATCGCCCCGCAGACCCGCGGCATCCAAATTCAGCCGGGCGGCATCGTCTTGATGCGGCTTTCGCGATTCCGCATGGCCAGTGGGTGACACGTTTCAAATGGGGAGCCAGCAGCAAAGCGCCGGCAATATCAAGATGCTTAGGTCCTCGATGAGTCTTTCCTGTCCAAGTGGCTGTGTTTTATCTTGCAAAACCCTGTCGGTTAGTTTTGTTCAAGGGAAACCAGTGGAAAAGCCTTGCCATTCTGGGAGCCGTTTCCAATTTGTCAGACCACAAGTGGGTCCTTCTGCCAGCTCCCCGCGAAGCTTCAACCGGGCGGCCTGTGTTACCGAGCCCGGCTGCGCTCGTGCGCGGATGGGACGCCGGAAGAGGAAGCAGCCGATGTCGTGCCGCGCCTGGGCGCGAGGGGCACCGCTGGACCGAGGCTTAGCATTTGAGTCATATTCAAAACCCGGTAAAATGGTCGACCCAGAACCATGTAAAAAATCAAGGCGGAATTCCGCAACTATTTCTGGCGACTGCCCCTTACCTTCATCAATCCCCGGGTTTTGAGCACGTGGCTCATTTGCTCAAGCGCTGACAGCGGGCGGGTTTGGTGCCCGAGCTGGGCTACATCTTTGGCAGAAACGCCCAATCCGGAGCTGTGGGCTTCTCCTTCTTTGAGCAAGCACCGTTTTGGTTGAAGTGGATTCCCATGGGAAAACGAGAACTCAAAAGCCCAAACCAAACCAAACAGGTTTTCAACAGATCGACTAAGGCCGGCAATGAACTGAACTGCCCGTCTGGTCAAGGTGGAACGGGGAGGCAATACAGGCGAAACCCCAAAACTGGCTAACAATTGGAACGACTGCGCCAACACATTGAGTCTCAATAATTATTTATATGTAACGCGCTTGCCAAAACTGGCCAAGCGGACGAAAAGAACACATCTCACTGATGATTGGCTTGCGACACGTGGCCTTTCTCAAGACCTGTCTGTTGAGTTGAGTTGCAAGAGAAGGGCGGTGAGCCTTCTGTAAACCCACTTCCAAGCTGGTCAACTGCCGCATGCATGTCATGTTGCCCGCCGAGGCTTCGAGACAGTCCCACTCCGCATGTAGCCATTGAATCTCCAACTATGTACACCCAAAAGATTTGTACTCAAGCGACCCCTTCTGGAAGGGTTCATGCTATCCTGCGACTCAAGTACGTTACCCTGCCAAAGCTGAAGCTTCGCACATCAGCACTTCGGACTTCTGGCAGCCATAAAGATCAAAGAGCGCCTTGAAAGGCCTAAAAAGGGGAAGTGGCCTTTGAGAAGTCAAGTTACAAGCCCTTCTGCAAACACCACACCTGAAGTGTCAGCCCTGGCATCTGAAAACAAAAGAGGTTTTCATGAACACAAACCAGAGCAAATCAACCACTCTATGACACAAGGGGGGCCATCTCCCCCATGCCTTTGTCTACTTTGGATCTGCGTTTAATCCCAAAAAAGATGCCTCTAAACAAAAATGCTCGTTGGGTTCATTGTGAGGAAGAAAGTAGCTTGGAAGCATCACTTTTACATGGGCAAAAGCAAAGGTTACGATATTCTCCATATATCATCACGCAACACGAAACCAACCCATTGTATAAATACTGTGCGATTGGTGTGCGTGACGTGCGCGAAGCGGATTTCCCAGCCGAAGACATAAACAAGTTGAAGATTAATTTCGCGGGTAAATCAGACAACAAGACATATACCGAAAGACAGACAATAAGACAATAAAACAATATGATACATTCATTTACAATGAGACATATACAAGTGTGGTGTGGAGGGTGGCAGCAGGTTGGTTCGATCGCTCCCGTGGCCTTCTGATCTGCCGGGTGCGCTGCGTGGCCAGGTTCAGCTGCCTGAGTGGTTCTGCCCTCACTCCCCCGCAGCCCCGCCCCCACAAAAAAACACACATCGCATTGAGTCAGTGGGAGCTACGCGTTCCAAACTACTAAGGTGGAGCAGAGAATGTCCGACATGACAAGTTTAGCCCTCTCAAGGAGTCATTCAGGTCCTTTGGAGCTGGTGGAACTTGAAGTTCCTTCAAACGAAACCATCGTCTCAGACTTGGCTCTTGAAAAGCACGCCCCGAGGGTTTATTTTTTATGAACCAGCCACCTGATGTCCCCCATTCCAGAGCCAGGCGCTTCGATGTGAACCCGTTGGCTGGAAAGAAAGGGCAGGAGGGTTGCTCCCACCGCGCAGCCTCTCTGTTACCCGCTTCAACTACTTGAGAGCCCAGTGGTTCAAGTGCGTCAAGGCCCAGCCAAGGAGTCAATGATCCTCAGGGCTGTGAAGAAACCTGGCTGAGAAGCCAGAAGGATGCAATGATGCAATTGCTGTGCTCCACAAAGATGCAAGCTACTCACTGCAATGGGGCATCGCCTGTTAATAAAGGCAGGGTGTTAGACTTAGGGCGTCTGGAAACATTACCGAGTTGCCCACCCCGTGTTCGTTTCATTCTGGGAGAACTCAACAAATATAGTGGCTCTGTAGCGCCCAAACGGCGGCGGTCAACGCTATGCCCGCTATGCAGAGGACTGGCCAACAATCATGCATTGTGAAGGCGCGTTACCCCTAGGTTGTGCGGAACTCATTGGGGCAAAACTGTCCCTAACATCCAAACCACAGTTTCCATCCCAAGTAGGGCTAAGCTGAAATCCTCTGCATGACAATGATGACAAAAAACAACTCATAGATCCAATGATCCAAGATATCAAGTGATATGCATGTGCATTACAAATAAGCCTAGGGGTGCCCGTAGGGCCGCTGCAAGAAAGACCTTAGGCTTAGACCTTCGAAAAGTTTCGGCCATGGGAGACCATACTTGGGCACTGAAAGGAGGACGGGGTCGGGGAAAATGACACCTTTGTGATACCAAACATGGTCTCTTCAACTGCCTTGGCTCTAAGATGGTCTCCTCCCCAAACCACCACCTTGCAGGGACATCAGGGTATATTTACACGTTTTATAGTAGTCAAACCCCATATTCATCAACCAACCAGTCAATTAAATTCGGGGGGTGCTTCTCCCTGGGTGCCCACCAACTTAATAGGGGTTGATGCATATGCGGTCAACAAAACCAAGGTTGGCCAACTCTCTGACTTTGTCATTCAAGACCTTGTTTTGCCCTCAACCGTGAGGAGCACTCCCTGCACGGTGCCACACAGTTTCCATCCGACTCTGGCGGCGCCCTAAAATGCTGATTTTGCTGGCGCCGGGGACGCCGCGTCATGCTGTTGAAGTCGATGATGTATCTGGGATGTTGTTTAGCAACCAGGCCCAGCCAAATAAAGTGTGGGGTGCCATGCAGTGCGATTCTTGGTGTACATAGCGCATGGCGGGCACATGCTCCGAAATCCCTGGCACCGCGGAAAAATGAATCACTTTGATATCTTAAAACTATGCTCATTACAAAAATGGGCCTGCAAAATGAGAAACCAAATGCGGGGACTTGGACGTCGACCACGAACAGGACACACCAGTTGAAGGGTGCAACGAAACAGGTAGCTCATAACCAACCCTGAACCTGCCTCGAACCCATCAAGAGGCGGGCTGTCCACGCGTGACAAGGGTTTCACACATGCGTTTAACATGTACCACGCGTACTCACAGACATATACAACTTGCTGTGCGTCGAAAACAAACAATGACGTGGCAAGGCAAATTTCAACAGGGGGGTGTCCCAAAATGAGTCACACTCAAAACCCGGTGTTAAAATGGCAAGCAATTCTGGCTGGGACTGCCCCTTACTAACCCGATCAATCCCGAGGTTTTGAGGCCGTGGCCCAAAATGGGATGGGCCACCCTTTTCCTTGTGGTTTTCCATTGATCGATTTCCTCCAAGGGCCATCCGACTGCGGGGCCCCGGAACTGGTGAGAAGTAGATCAGACTGTTCCTATAGACTGCGATTCACAGAAAACCGGATGCCCGGTGTGGCAAAAGGGGCCCCAGTCGTTCGCCATGTAGGAAACCATGCGAGAAAGGGAGGGTGGAAGCCATAAACTGGAGCAGCCATGTGGCTTGACCAACCCGCCTTTTTTTTCCGGCCGATGGGGCATCGATACACAGCCAAAACCTAGTATGTTTTTCCATCCATGTAAAGAACTCAACACCGGGGAAATATGAATTAACAAGGTCTACCCAATTCCACAGGAGCTTTTCAGGACGAATCTCCATGGGTTCCCTTTCCGGTGGAAAAACGGTCCCGTTTCTCGCCGGGAAGGATCCATCCGATTCCTCCGATTCGGAGACGCCTGTGCCCGTTGAACCGGAGCTCGCAGGCCTCAGGATCTGTTGGGTGGGGAACCTGGAGCAAATCCCGGCTGGAAGTGGAATCCACGAATCTGTGACAGAACAAGAAGGGCTTCCCAGACGTTTTTTCCCCCGCCTTGATCCCACAACCCTGGCAAGGGGGTTCTTTCGCAGGATTGACCACCGCTGGACTCTTTCTTGATCCGCAGGGGTGGGCCGCCAAATCCGAAGAGTCGTTCTTCTCATTCCAGGCCAATTACAACTTCACCGAGAGATGGAACCTCAAGAATGGAAGCTGAAGCTAAGCCACCGGGTGCGACAACTCCGAACCGTGACGTTGCGGTTCAAGATTTGCCCGAGAGGATGAGGGTTCAGCTTTTAGGCTGTCCTCATTGGCAGCCTGGCTTGAAACCATTTCAATTTAAATAAGTCAAAGACTAGACTATGGCGAAAAACATCAACCCTACGCACCCTGCCAAAGACCCCTTGCTCAAACAGCCTTATTAGGCCCAAATAAGGCAAAATAAAGCCTCAACCGTTGCAGCTTCCAATCCTTCGATCCTTCGACCAAACATGGCAACTTCTTCCACTGCCGGAATACTTCGCGCGTGGCGTTTGTCGCGTACAGCTTTGGCAAGATAGAGAAACTCACCATGCCGAGTACACCGGAACTGGGTGCTGTCTAGCACTGGACCTGCATCTTGAGGTTGCTCCAGGTGTTCAAGCTTTTCAAGATCGTGACGCGCAATCAGCGGCTATCTGGGTCAGACTCAGGCCCCTGCCGAAAACAGTTGTTTCTGGATGAAAGGGAAATGAAGCACAACTAAAATCAAAACAGGGAAGCTAAGTCTAACCATGTTTAGAGGGCAACCTTCAATGCTTTTCATGAATCTGGGCAAGTTACTAGACTTCACAAGATAGCCGGAAGTAAGCAACCAAATTCAAGGAACCTTCATGGCTCGATTGGTAAGCATAAGTTGTCCCTTCAATACGTCTGGTGGTCAACATGAGTCCTAGTCAAACATTTGAATGGCTAGGTCCTCCAGTAGAGAGGTTAGAATAATGGTACTATTTTAGTAGGGGAATCTCTCCTCCAACAAGGGTGAGAAAGGGCACCGGGGGACCTAGATAGTCTACCCAAACTATGCAAAAAATACCTTCAATACATCTGGTGTCAACATGAGTCCTAGTCAAACCTGGATTTGAATGGTCTACCCAAACTATGCAAAGGAAAAAAGGAAACATACACAAAGCAAAATAAAAATGACAAGTACTAATAGGAAAACTAAAAAACAAAAAAACAAAAAACATCGAGCGGGCGCTTGCCTTCTTGGGACTTCTCCAAGCTTCCCGGTGCTCACCCGACCCAAAAACAAAATGCGCCTCCTTCCTGCGCTCCAAAGCAGACCGCAGGGTGCGGTCGGAGTCCACATCAAAAGGCACCCACCTGGCGGATGGCTCGATCGTTCAGGAGGCGCAACACGTCCCAAAACTGATCTGGAAAGGATGGGATTGTCCAACCCCGTCCCAAACCTTTTTGGAGGAATCTTTCGTTGAGCCATAGCGAGACCGACTAAGCCATATGCACATACATTCATACATACATACTCTAAATGAGTCTGTCATTTTGTTGAGGGTATCCTTGGTTGGCTTCCTTTGAAAGGGATTCCAAAGGAAAAACCCGGCATTTTGGGGGTCCCACCAACTGTTGAGACACGACCATCTGACATAGGCACCGGGGTTTGCCTCAAGTTGCTGGCAAACGGCTTCAAACCACCAACCTGGTACTCGAAGAGCCTACAAATGAGTGAGGTGGGCAGCAAAAACCAGGTTTTGCACCTGCTACTAGGATTTTGGAGTAGCAGGAAACAGTGTACCCTCCAAAAACACACACAGCACCATAGAAATATGTCGTAGGAGTAGCTAGGAATCCTTAAATCTGGGTGTCAGGGTGTTAGGGATGTAGTACCCTTCGCCTCTGGGCGCTAAGCCAGGCCAAGGCGAGGCAAGTCTGATTTGTGTTTTATCGGGTGGCACCAAACCAGCAGTTCCTGGGGGGAGGGGGGCAACTCTCTCGAGATTCAGGTGCAGAACGCTTTCTACAACATGAAGCGAGCCGGCAGTCAACCGTGTATATTGCGAATAAATCGTGCCCCTTATGGCATGGGAAGCCCTGCTTCGAGAGAGAGCTTCCTTTCTTGGAACCCCTCAATATCATTACCCCTTGCTCATCCAACAATTTTTAAAAAGCTTAGACAGCCTTCCGGACCATGGCAAGGTGGCCAGGACTAAAACAGCCGGCCATCTTCGCGAAAAGGGGGGTAAAAATACCGAGCCAAAACAGCGAATAACCAATACTTGCCTTGTTTTGATTCTTGGGGCAAGCACAACAATGTTTGCATCAACCCAGGGCCATTCCTTCCTCCAAGCATGGCGGCCACGCCCCTTGTCGCCCTCAAACTCCCACTCACAGGCCTGTCTGACAAGGGGTTGGGCATAGAGCGCCCAGCGTTTCACATCCCGATTTGTTGTAAACAATCCCCAGTTTCACAGGAAAAAAACCCCTCTCCAAATGGCTATGTCCTTTTTGAGGGTATTTGCTTTCGTGGGTTTGGAGGGAAGACAAAAGGAAACCGACCATGCTTAACAAAAAAACACACACACACACACACACACACACACACACACACACACACACACACACACACACACACACACACACACACGCACACAAATGGAAGATTCCGCTTGAAAACCGTGCGTCAAGAATAGCCTTCGACTGTCAAAACCAATGCTGAACAAGAAAGCGATTTGACAAGTTCATCTTCAAGGGAACATAAACATGGAGGGGGTCCCCCAGAAGGAGATTCCTGTACCTACTGTGGATGGACGAAATCCAACACCACCTTGAAACCATGGTAAACCATTGTCTGTTAGTACTTACAAGGGAATCAGACCATTCCAGGGTCTTAGGCGGTCAGGATTTCGTCCATCCACAGGCTCACGGTTCTTTCCTTTGTCTGTGACACCTGAGAAGCCCGACTGTCGCTCGGAGAGTCTTTTTCCCGAAAGCATTGCGAAGGGTTCTTCCGGTAAAATCGCCAGCCTTATCACATAGCTACAGTTGCACGAGCCAATTTGCACCAGCCGCCTTATCGCACAGCCAAACTTACACGAGCCAACTTACACGAGCCAACTTGCACAGCCAACTTACACGAGCCAACTTGCACGACTTGCACAGCCAACTGACACGAGCCAACTTGCACGAGCCAACTTGCACGAGCCAACTTACACGAGCCAACTTGCACGAGCCAACTTGCACGAGCCAACTTGCCCGAGCCAACTTGCATGAGTCAACTTGCACGAGCCAACTTACACGAGCCAACTTGCACGAGAACAACTTGCACGAGATGAGCCAACTTACACGAGCCAACTTGCACGAGCCAACTTGCACGAGCCAACTTGCAAAGCCAACTTACACGAGCCAACTTGCACGAGCCAACTTGCTCGAGCCAACTTGCACAGCCAACTTACACGAGCCAACTTGCACGAGCCAACTTGCACGCGCCAACTTGCCCGAGCCAACTTGCATGAGTCAACTTGCACGAGCCAACTTACACGATCCAACTTGCACGAGAACAACTTGCACGAGATATCACACAGCCAAACTTGCACGAGACATTTGGACACGAAAGTAATTAGTTAGTCTCTTAAGGCGGCGCGGTGGGACCGAATCCACCCTGCGAAAATGACACCCTCTGCGGGGAACGGCGTGGCCGATGTCAAAAAACTAAGGACTTCTTACGATTTCGGAGCTGCGCACGCAACCCTTTGCGGGGATTGGCGTGGTCGATGTCCAAAAACTGGGGACTTCTTACGATTTCTGAGCTGCGCACGCGACCCTCTGCGGGGATTGGCGTGGTCGATGTCCAAAAACGAAGGACTTCTTACGATTTCTGAGCTGCGTGTGCGCAGATCGCCGTGGTCGATGTCCCAAAACTGCGGACTTCTTACGATTTCTGAGCGTGCGCGACCCTCTGCGGGGATTGGCGTGGTCGATGAGCAAAAACTGGGGACTTGTTGCAATTTCTGATCTGCGCGCGCGACCCTCTGCAGGGATTGGCGTGGTCGATGTGCAAAAACTAAGGACTTCTTACGATTTCTGATCTGCGCGCCTCTGCGGGGATTGGCGTGGTCGATGTCCAAAAACTAAGGACTTCTTACGCTTTCTGAGCTGCCCGCACGACCCTCTGTCGATGTGCAAAAACTGAAGGGCTTTTTACGATTTCCGACTTGCCCGCGCGACGAGGATTGGCGTGGTGGATCGCACGAAATGCTACTAAAATCTTCTTTCAAGTCGGAACGCGGGCTTGAAAGTTTGTCTCGTGGTTACGCGCCTGCTCCTGCCAGTGACCAGCCCCTCTCCGCAGCCTTTAAGTTAGAAAGTCAGCAGCGCGAAAGTGGCTCACAAAGGGTGCGTTCGTAGCTCCGACACCCACGCGCGCACACACACACACACCTACACACCTACACCTACACACACACACACGCACGCACGCACGCACGCACGCACGCACGCACGCACGCACGCACGCACGCACGCACACAACACACACACACACACACACACACACACACACACACACACACACCCACGCACGCACGCACGCACGCACGCACGCACGCACACGCACGCACACGCACGCACGCACGCACGCACGCACGCACGCACGCACGCACGCACGCACGCACGCACGCACGCACGCACGCACGCACGCACGCTCACGCACGCACGCACGCACGCACGCACGCACGCACATCACACACGCACGCACGCACACACACACACACACACACACACGCACACACACACACACACACACACACACACACACACGCGCACGCACGCACACACGTGCACACACGTGCACACACACACACACACGCACATACACCCACGCACGCACACCCACACCCACCCACACACACACACACACACATGCACGCACACGCGCGCACGCAACACCAGCTCTTGAGCAACCACTTCACTGGCACCCCTGCATGTCGGCTCGCTTTGCTTGTCTTTGGTCACTTTCCACTATGCTTTCGGGCCACCCGTGGTTCTAGTTTGTTTGAGGCTTATGGTTTGGTTTGTCGTGCCAAACACCAAAGGAAGCTGCAAATCGGTGTGTCTTGGGATGGATGGATGGATGGATGGATGGATATGGATATGGATATGGATACGGATACGGATATGGATCTGGATACGGATATGGATATGAATATGAAAATGGATATGGATGGATGGATAGATATGGATGGATATGGATGGATATGGATGGATATGGATGGATATGGATGGATATGGATGGATATGGATGGATATGGATGGATATGGATGGATATGGATGAATATGGATATGGATCTGGATCTGGATCTGGATATGGATATGGGTATGGATGGATATGGATGGATATGGATGGATATGGATGGATATGGATGGATATGGGTATGGATATGGGTATGGATATGGGTATGGATATGGGTATGGATGGATATGGATGGATATGGATGGATATGGATATGGATATGGATATGCATATGGATATGGATATGGGTATGGATGGATATGGATGGATAGGATGGATATGGATGGAGATGGATGGAGATGGATGGAGATGGATGGAGATGGATGGAGATGGATGGATATAGATGGATATTGATGGATAGGGATGGATAGGGATGGAGATGGATGGAGATGGATGGAGATGGATGGATATGGACGGATATTGATGGATGTGGATGGATATGTATGGGAAGGGAACACCGTCCCTCCCGCCATGGCAGGGCAGTGGCTTCTCTGCAAAACCACCATTTAAAGGGGTTTTACGTCGGATGTGTCCTTTGCAGAACGCGCGCCGAGCGCGACAAACCTCCCGTTTCGCGCCTCCCGGGAGACGTGGGCCTGGGAATCCTCCAGCACCAAGCGCTTCGCCTTCTCCACGTCACCCCCCACCGCCGCAAGCGCCACCCGCGCTGCCTCCTATGGCGCTGAGCTTTTTGCATGTCAGTTCCCAATAAAGAACAAGGGAAGAACAACTCAGTGCATGTGGGGTAGCAGCTCTTAAGAAGAACCCAAACACACACTAAACCCCTGCAGATTGTGGAATTCAGACACCCTCGTGTGGAAGGCACGTGGTCCAATGTGGTTGTCAAGAAGCTGGGACTGAGGTCACGCTTGCCAATGACCTGCAGCCTTCGAAAGACACAAGGTCCAATTTAAGTCACGGAGTTGGGAATGGTCAAGCTTGCGGTGCAACCTTCAAAGGCACGTAGTCCAATCTCAGTCACGGAGTTGGGAATGGTCAAGCTTCCCAATGAGCTGCAGCCTGCAAAGGCACTTTGCCGAATTACAGTCACAGAGCTTGGAATGGTCACGCTTGTCAATGAGCTGCAGCCTTCGAAGGCACACAGTCCAATCTCAGTCACGGAGTTGGGAATGGTCAAGCTTCCCAATGAGCTGCAGCCTGCAAAGGCACTTTTCTGAATTACAGTCACAGAGCTTGGAATGGTCACGCTTGTCAATGAGCTGCAGCCTGCGAAGGCACGTTGTCCAATATAAGTCACGGAGTTGGGAATGGTCACGCTTGTCAATGAACTGCAGCCTTCTAACGCACCTAGTTCGCTGGTCACGGGCAATGACCTGCAGTCTTTGACGGTACGTCCAATCTCAGTCACGGAGTTGGGAATGGTCAAGCTTCCCAATGAGCTGCAGCCTGCAAAGGCACTTTGCCGAATTACAGTCACAGAGCTTGGAATGGTCACGCTTGCCAATGAGCTGCAGCGTTCGAAGGCACCTAGTTCAATGCAGGTCACGGAGTTGGGAATGGTCAAGCTTGCCAATGAGCTGCAACCTTCAAAGGCAAATCGTCCAATAAAAGTCACGGAGTTGGGAATGGTCACGCTTGCCAATGAAATGCAGCCGTCGAAGGCACGTAGTCCAATCTCAGTCACGGAGTTGGGAATGGTCAAGCTTCCCAATGAGCTGCAGCATGCAAAGGCAAATGGTCCAATAAAAGTCACGGAGTTGGGAATGGTCACGCTTGCCAATGAGCTACAGCCTTCGAATGCGCGTGCTTCGACTTGCTTTCCTGCTGGAATGTCCACTACGCGCAGGTCTTCCAACTCGCAACCGGAGGCTTGAAAGCTTGAGTACCTCACCGACTGGATGCTGAGGAAAGCAAGAACTTCTGCATCTGGAATGGCCTCTGACACTGGCTCCTCGTTGTTCAACAGGGGCCCGTCTCCGACAACAATTTGCACCGAGCTCATGCTGCGCTTTGATTCATCTTCGCAGGGCAGCCACCTATGCAGCTTCCTTTTTAACTCACGGACGGTCATGCCTGCCAGCACTTCAACTGCTTGATCTGCCCCAGATAGCTGCCGCACCGTGATCTCGCTTGCCATGGCCGGCATCCGTTCGGCCACGTGGATTCTTGGGGATTTGAACCCCTTCGTGTAGAGGGTAAATGAGAAACCCCTGTGTCTAGCCACAGGGCCCCAAACCACCAAGAGCGAAGCTGAGTAAACTGGGCCAACAGTTGCGAAATCACAAACAAAATGCAAATGGCTCATGGAGAACATGGGTCAACCAGGGGTTGCGTGTCAAAATAGAGAAGGGTACCCTCCAACGAAAATGCACCGAAGGGTACCCTCCAACAGAAACGCACCCAAATGGTTTTGAACTGTTGAGAATAATCATCCGAAAGCGCCGCGAGAAAATATGTGGCCAAGCAAGTGATGCCGCAGAAGTGGCATGAGCGGCAATATGGTTTTAACACGTTAAACAAGGTTGGGCCCAAATCTGCTAGAGACCTAAAGGTCGTGCCATGCCCCCTCTCATGGGAGAGCCTACACTGTCAAGCATGCAAGATGGAGGGATCGACGGTTGTGGCCACGCAACCTACCACAGACTCCACTTGAATGGAGTCATCTATCCAGAAGCTAGGTGGCCATGATTGGAAAGTTTCATCAGTGTCTTGGAAGGTGTCAAGAACCATGACTGGCCTCACAAGTGAACGCTAACAGGCTAACACCAAAATGCAGCCCACCTGGACACCTCACCAGTCAGGGCTCCATCCCAGGGGTCCTCTTGCGAAATCAAACGCAAGTCAAGCGATTCGATTCACCTGCACTCTGTCTCAAAATCAGAGAACCCACAAAACCGGTTTCCCTTTGGCTTCCCAAACACACCCTCTTTTTGCAGCCACCCCAAATGGCTTCGTTTTGCTTTTCGTTCACATGGCTCTGGGTCATAACAAAAAAAAGAAAGTACCCCAATATTTTTTCACCCTGGCAAGTGGGAGCATGGAGTTTAAAACCTGGGGGTCTGCTGGTTTTTCATTTTGACCCATACCCATTTGACTGCATATAACGTACGCTTTTCTGGGTGACATCATCGCCCCCCCCCGCAGCCCCGCACATCGGAGCAGACCCCTCGGACACCCAAGAAATCCCGCGCCGCGCAACGCGCGCCGCGCGCACAGCCGCCTTGTCGATGCCCAAGCTCAAGAGCTTCTCGACGGGCTCGTAGGAAGCTGCGCGGATACCCTTTGGACATCCGAAGATTCGGTGGACTTTTTGGTAGGTCCACCAGGTCCACCAGGTCCACTTCTCATCTTTAAAAAAAATAACTCGTTGAAATGATGTGTGCCCACCAATGACTGTTAATGAAGTGTCCCCATTGAAACTATTTATGTCCACCAACCACTGTTCAAAAAGGGGGTTCCCACCATTGAAAGTCATAGAACAAGTTGCATTGGGAGTCTTCTGCCATCCGGCGAGATTCTGTGGGTGGTTGAAAAATCCATGACCTAAGACACCCAACGGAATGAAATATTTGATTCCCCAACGCGAATGTTCAACAAACGGTATGGTTTCATTCCCATTGTTTCAAAGTGGGGCGAAATGGATTTTGCAACATTTTGCAACCATTCACAGTAGCACAGCTTTCCCGATATGTCCCCTTCAACATCACCACAAGAGGATACTCAACAAAAATCAACCCGAAAGGTGATGCTTAAAACCGAAGCGGTAAATATAGGAACTCCTCTATCAGTCTTGCAGCTTGACGGGTTTCGGCAGCAAGTTCCCTTTCAGTTCTGGGTGGCAAAATGATTGTCAACTTCATATGCTGCTGGCAGGAGCCATAAGAGCCACATCGCAACCATTTGTGGCTCGTGTAACTATTGGCGAGCCATTTAGGGCCGTGACCTTCCGCAAAAGCTCTCCTTTTGGTAGCTCTCAGTATTGGAACTTGAGCAGCTTATCATGCGGTTCCTTTGATGGAACGCCTCAGTTGCAAATGATTTGGCTGCATTTCTTTGGTGTCACTTGCAACATGGAAAAGGGGTGAACGGAAGATGTACCATGGGGTACCCTAAAACCACACACCCTTGTTTTATCAGGGCACCTACCAGTTTTGAGGGCTCGTTTAGATCTCTGTGATCCAAGGGAAGAAGTCGTAGCAACTCCTAGGTCATTTGGCTGTGGGTGAAAAATATGTACCCCAAGCGGAACCCTGGTAAGTGGAAGCATGGAGTTTAAAATCTGCGGTCTCCCATTTGACTGCATAGCCGGACTTGTTTTACGTGCAGTATCGGTAGTACCTGGCAAAATTGAACCGCCAAGTCGTTTTTTTCTGTCCGAGCATTGCGCTACTCCATACCATCGACCCATTTGACTGCATCAAGTACCGTTTTTCTCTGGGTGACAGATCTACTGGATCCGACTCTGAGCTCCCTCGCTGCGGCTCTGACGCACGGAGCGCTCGGAGCGCTCGGAGCGCTCCGCGGGACTCTTCACCTCGGAACTTCGATGCCATCAGTCCATGCAACGGATGGTTGGTGTCCTTTCGGAAACCCCTTCAGCGAAACCAAGGGGGAACTGAAAAGCCTCTTTGAGAATCTCCCAGTTGAGTGCTTCTCAAAATGGTGGACCTTTTTGGTTGGTAATGTTGCTAGTTAAAAGTTAAAAGGAAACCAACCATTTTATTCAGGGGACCCCTGTTTTGAGGGGCCTCCATTTACCCCCCCCCCCTTAGTCAAAGGGGGCTCCATGAAAAAATGTGCAGGGGAGACATTTTAGCTTCGAAGTCTGTTTGCGGTTTCTAGGGCTCGTCCTCTGGTTTTGCTGGGTCATTCCTCCATGCCCCTCACAGATTAACCCTAGCCTACTGATGGTTTGACCGAACCTCAAGCATAACTCATAGATATGGGTGGCAGGATCTGTTGTTTGAGGGTACCCCTTTTTTGGTTGGTTTTGAAGGGAACCCAAGAGGAAAACCGTTGCGCCATTTTGGAGGGTCCCCTAAAACACAGTCCCATAGGTGCTCTCCAAAAGGTGGATCCAGAACGAAGGGCTTTGTCTCATGGCGGTGTTGCTAATGGCTCTCACAGGTTGGCATCGGACCCCCCCCAAACAAAACCCACTGGCTTAAGAATATGTTTTATTACCCCCTTGCTGGATTCTTTATGTGGGAATTTATCACTGGACATACTTTCGCCATTTTTTTTCTCAGGGCCAGCTTTGCCCTTGGGTTGTGGGTCCGCACCCCCTGGCTGCAGCATGTGCTTCCTTCGAGGTATGGATGCTTTGTTTGCCAGAGCGGTTCATGTCGACTTAAGAAGTCGAGGAAGGATTCATTGCCATGGAACTTCCGTTGCTGTGTCGCCACGGAAAATACCGCGCCAGGCATCTCTTTTTCGCCGTTCCTTTCTTTCAGTTGGTGAATGATTGTAGTCCACCCAACTAAAAGCTGCCCCAAACCAACCCAAAGCCCCTCTGGGCAGAGACCCCATCGCTTTCAGCAGTTGGGGAAAAAGACACACTCGTCTCAAGATGGTGTGTAGCCTGTTGGATGGCTTCAACAGAAACTTCAAGCGGAACCCAACCATCGGGAAGACACGCCCGATAGGAATCTGAGGAACATCCCAACCCCTCCAAGGGGCACACCAATCGTGGTGCATCTGGCTCCACGCGTTTCTGTTTAAGTGTGTCCCACAATGCAAGGCCTTCGAAGTGACGAACTCTCCAAAGAGGAAGCTCAGTATAGAATTGGAAACCAAACCCTTGAGCCACATAGTAAGCTGCAACTATGGTCATAGCTGGGGGAAAAGTCGGATTAGTTTCCAATGGTAGTTATAACCATCCACGTGGGCTGAACATCCACGTGTTTGCGTGTGCCACAGATGGCAGTCTGGAGCTGGCAGCTGCCAGAACACAAGCCTTCAAAAATCAAGGGCCCTTAAAAACACACACAAGCCTTGGAAGATCAAGGGCCCTTTACACAAAACAAAGCCTTGAAGGGAACAACCCGGGAACGCTTGCTGGTGCTCAGGGAATGAGTTAGAATGAACCCAGATTTCCCCTTAAAGGAAGCCACAAGGCAGCAGGGAATCAGGGAATGAATCCACATTTCCCCTAGGATGGTTTTTGGGGGGTCATTCCGACTCATTCCTTGCCTATTGCGCCAAGACAAAGGGGGCATCCAAAAAAGATGCGCCAAAAAACCTCCGCCAGCCCCGAGACTGCGGCAGAGCCGGTGCTCGACCTGGCGAAAAAAAGTTGGGCCGTCAACCCTCCGTCGACCCCACCGGTGGTTTTGGGAGACTTGGGACTTTGGGACATGGTAAAAAGCCAGCACACACACACACACCCACCCACCCACCCACCCACCCACCCACCCACGCACGCACGCACGCACGCACGCGCGCGCGCGCGCACGCACGCACGCACGCACGCACACGCGCACGCCCACCCGCACACCCACACGCACACGCACACGCACACGCACACACCCACACACACACACACACACACACAGGACTTGTTTTTGTTTGGACTTGGGGTGGTTGTTGGGGTCCTGGCAGAAAAAACTGCAATGGAATACAGTATGCAAACTTCATATAGGCGCCCATGGTAGGCAATCCTATCCAAATGATCGACTTTCTGTAGGTCTCCTTTAGGTCGCCTGAATCAGTTGATAACTCGGTCAGTCCAAACCTATGCTACTGGGTGGAATCGGTTTTGGGAGTGGGCGTGCCCGCAACATGGGCCAGGGTTGGTGTAACAAACTTCAACAAACATCCCAGAGAGAATTGGAAGCCATGACCATCCCCCTGCTCGCGAAACTGAGCTTGCATCCTGCTTGCGTGACGTTTCTGGCTTTTACGTCAAGCTTTGAATGCTTCAAGTAAAATCCTAGACTCCAGGAAAGCAGAAGCAGCCATGTGTAGTCCAATGTGCTTCGACAGCCCCTCTGCCTTTTTGGGTTGCGAGCAGCTTCGGGGTGAGGCTTAGCGGCTAACACCAAGCCCCGCAATTCTAAGCGCGTCTAAGTGCCGCTTGACCCAGTTGGGTGTCTCACCCCCTCCCAAGAACAAGAATTGTTTTCCTTCTGGCGTCCCCCATAGAAGACACACCCTGCTTCCCTCGAGCCTAACGCACTCTTTGAGCCAATGGGATCAAGGGAAGCCACAAGAGCCACCCACGAAAAGGAGTCCAACTCCCGAAAAAATACATGCCAACATGGGTCCGAATCAAACTTGGCTGCTACCGTAGGTTTTTGTTTTTGCCACTTGCTGCAACCCGCCTGTTCCAGCGCCTGTGCCTATTTATGCCCTGTTGTGTGCACCTATTATATGTGTCTATGTGCGGGCCCTCTTGTGGGTGGCCTCAAAGCAAAATCATAAAATCCCCAAAAACACCAAAAGGACACCCGCCCATTGGTGTCCCTTTAAGGTTTACACCTCACACGAGGCTCGCCTGCGGCTGCACGGCGCGGGCGCCGTGTTCTCGTAGCCTGCGGCCGCGCGAGGGCGCGAGGGCGCGAGGGCGCGAGGGCGCGAGGGCGCGAGGGCGCGAGGGCGCGAGGGCGCGAGGGCGCGAGGGCCGACGCCCGAGTGACCCGCAGGGAACGAGCTTCAGGTGCGCATCTCTTTTGGAAGGGGCCCCTGTTAAACAAAGGACAAAGCACTTTCAAGATTGGCCTGAAGGAAAATCAGAAGAACATGCACCACGTTGGGCAGAGTCCCTAGGTCCCTCGCAAATGGACCACAGACTGAGCATATGACCAAGCCTTGGCCCAAACCATGCGTGCGCCTCCAATTGAGCGGCGTTGCTGGAAACTGGGGCTGGAGCCTGGCGCGGAAGCGGAGAGAAACCGTGCTCAACTCCTCGCAGAGTGGGCAGCCAGATATATGGGTAGGGGAGCCCCAAAGTTGGCGGTTTCCCCTTTAGTTTCCCAGAAAAAAATACCCCAAAACAAAAAAGTGCCCCTCCCCCAAAAAATACACACCCACATACATGTTGCAGTTTTCCGCATCATGTGCCAGTTTGGCATGTTGTGCTACCTCTGCCTGGAAAAAAGGAAGTTCTCACATTCCGAGAAAAGACTGCCGACAAGAGAAACTCCAACAAGGAGACCGAATCATCCACCAACCCTTGCTGTCGTCTTAAGTTCAGGCTTGTTCTTTTTGAGCGTGCCTACTTCCCTTCTCTTTTGCGGAGGGAAGGGAAATGAGCGCAAACCGGATACGTTTGTACATGTCCGGTGTTTCCTGATGAGAAACACCGAACGAACGTGTTCCGCCTGTTTTCAGCGCAGCCCTGCAGACCCGCAAAGTCTCAAACGCCGAAGCGTGACAAATACTGGATCGGGAGCCGCGAATTGAGCAGAGGGGGGAGCAAAATCGGGCAAGATGGAACTCCACGTGAGAAACCATATGAATCATTACTCAGCATCATTTACACACAGTCGAAAAACGCAATGAAAATTGACCAGCCATATAAAACGTCCAACCCTTTCATTGAACCTGTTCAAACCACTGCTTCTATATAACCTCCGGTTGGCGGCCCAAGGCTCCGTTTGTCTGAACCCAGCTTGGCGCAAACCTCTGACGCGGGACCCCCGGCCGCCAAATCCGCTCAAAGGGCGGTCCGCAAAGGACAGCCGGCCTTGGTCCATCCGACCGAACGCCGGGCGAAAGGCGCCAGAGTTGAGGCAAGCGCCAACCGGAAGAGCGGGGGGAAAAAAGTCGCCTCGTTTGGCTGCCTTTGCAAACAGCTAGGCACAGCTAAAAACAGCCGTGTTTTGACACATACCCTCCATTGCTTAAGTTCGCCTGGAACAAACACACATTTCTAGCAGCGACATATTCCACCCACCAACAGGGGGAAATCAAAACATATGGGTGCATGTGTCCTTTGTTGAGGGTCCCCATTTTTGCGTCTTCGTTTTTTGGGGAGACCACATGACAGACCGTTCGGCCGTTTTGGGGGGGGCAAACCGCTGGCTGAGGCAGTTGCCAGCCCTTCCAAAGGCCCCGGCGCTCAGTTGGCCGCGCCTGCGAGGAACGGCGCGCAGAAAGCGACGCGCCTCGATGGGTTCCCCGACAACAAAAACCATCCAACTGGCTAATCCGCAAAAAGGACGCGGAACTCAGAAACGAGGTTGGTTCTCAGGCGATTCCTCCAGTCATTTTTGTTTTGGGTTAGATGGCAACCGCTTGAAACGTCGATGGAGCCAACCAAGTGTCAGTTTAGTGCTGCTGAAGTTTGCCAGTGGAACCCGTTTACCTGGACCCTAGCTACCCTTAACAGGACACTGCCCAGATTGTGGGGCAAACCCAAGCGCCAAAGTGCCACAAACTCCTGGACCGGTGCGTTCATTGCGGGAAGGCGGGTGTAGCTTGAAAAGGCATCCTGACCTGAACGGGAATAACTATGCCTGTGTGGGCAGCATGGCTTTCTTCAGGCCCTTTGGAAGCTCTGATCCCAAAACCATGGAAACTGGAGCAAAGGCTTTCACCTTTATTCTCCGGTTCCGTCTGGTTCCCTTCCGAAACCCGGAAAACTACGGTTGGGAATGAATTTTGGCTTGCCCTTCTGGTGGTCCGCCACCCAGTCTTAAGGGTGCTCCAACGGTCACTTCATAACGCAAACAAAGCGGGCTCGTCTCAAAAGTCGGGACGCCCCGTTAAACTGGCTTCAGCTTCCTCTACTTGGTTGCATTGGTGGTTTGGTGGATAAAAGTGGTTTACCCTGTACAAGCGCCACGCAGCCGTTTAAATCCCCAAAAACCAACAACCTGACGGATTACCTAATGGGTGGTTCCCTTTTGGTTTAATACCTCAAACGACACACCGGGTCCCGCCTTGTTGGCTGCCTCGATCGGCAGTGATTGGCGGAATTTGGTGCAATGCAAGCTGCGCTTTTGGCGCAATCGACTGGGTGGGGTGGGGTGGGGTGGGGTGGGGTGGGGTGGGGTGGGGTGGGGTGGGGTGGGGTGGGGTGGGGTGGGGTGGGGTGGGGTGGGGTGGGGTGGGGTGGGGTGGGGTGGGGTGGGGTGGGGTGGGGTGGGGTGGGGTGGGGTGGGGTGGGGTGGGGTGGGGTGGGGTGGGTGGGGTGGGGTGGGGTTGGGGTGGGGTGGGGTGGGGTGGGGTGGGGTGGGGTGGGGTGGGGTGGGGTGGGGTGGGGTGGGGGTGGGGTGGGGTTGGGGTGGGGGTGGGGTGGGACTTGGTTTCCCCTCCGAAAGTTGGAATTTGGCGGTGTTCCCTTGAAACTGCCAGTTGCAGTTTTGAAGCGCCGGAGCCACACACGTAATTAGCATTTGTGGCAAGTGTGACACCAGTGCAAAGAAACAAAACGAGGATTGCCTTTAAGTTGCTTCCGATTCTTAGCTTTCCTTCGAGGATTTCCGTCAAACTCAGTGTGGAGGGTCAAACCAGCCGAGATCTGTTTTACCTTCGGAGAAGCCCCTTGAACCCTCCGTCTGGGGCCTCGGCAGGCGCAATGGGGCGCTCGTCCGCCTCCCTCCTGACGAGCGAGTCCAACCATTACCCCGCTCACGGTTTGGCAACCCAAAGGTGTGAAACGGAAGATGCACAAACCAAGGCCCAGTTTACAAATGCCGGGCCGACATTGGGTGGTTTGGAGAGAGAAGTAACCACACAAAACCCTTGATGAACGTGGGTGATAACCCTGTTGGCTTCAAGGTGGGTATATGTGGGCTAAGTTCCTTGGTATTGCAAACCCAATAAACCCGTCCTATTTGGGGTGTTCCCTCTAAAGTGATGAACCCGCAAAGGGACACTCCCTGTTAATCAACTAAGGGTATATTTATCAAGACAATTATGACTGGGGCGACAACCAACCATGTAACAATGTACATCTATCCAACAATGCGGCTGGTTTCCTGTTGTTTCCTTGTACTTTCCGGGAGATAATGAGGGAAGGCAAAATGAGGGTCCAAAAGAAGATTTCTCCAAAGCAATGGGTTTTGGAGTGTCCACGTTCATCGGCAGGAGTGCAACCATCCCAAATCCGGCTACGCCTCCTGGGGTAGCATGTCGCCGCTGGGCAATTTGCCTGCTAGCTTCAGCTATAGGGGCTGCACCCGTTTGCCGCCGACCCTGTTGTTCTGTCCGTTTTGCTTTTGTTGTGGCTGGCTCGTGTGCTGCGCTGTCCTTGCTTTTTCCCCGTTGGTTTTCGGGCCTTCTGGCGCGCCCCAGCCACAAAACGCCGCTATTTGCGGTGTTTTGTTGCGTTTGCGTTTCCGGGCTGGCTTGCGGGCTGTTCTTTTGGGCTGCTCGTTCTGGGGCCTCTGGCGCGCGCGCGCGACCCCATGTGAACCTTCTGGGTGGGCAACATGCATAACCTAACCAGCCATATCACAGCACAGGATGCGTTTCTCATACAAAAAACATGACATGACATAGTATAACTTCAAAGAGGCGTAGCCGGCTAAGATACAGTGCGGTCCTCGCAAAAATCCGAAGTCAAGATTACATGTCCTTACCGAACTCCTGGTAGCTCCTTAGCTCCCTCTTAGGCAAATTTGGATACGCCCCCAGCTCCTCAGCTCGCTCAGCTCGGCTCCGCTCCCTTCCAACCACCAGCTAGCAATAGGAATCGGTTTCGGGCCAACTCCTCCCGGCACCTCGCCTCCGCGCTCGGCTGGGGCTCGGAGCATCGGCCTCGAGCCTCAGCCGCCAAAAAAGAAGGCGCCATGGCTGGGTGCTTGTCTAAAAACAGGAATCGGACGACCCCTCCCAAGAAAAAACAACTCGATGGAGAAACCGGTGGCCCTGAAAAATACCAGTGACCATATACAAGGCTACATCGAAAAGTACGTAGCCTCATTCACCAGAGGGATACCGGGGCTACTTACCCAGGGGGTCAACTTGCGCCTTGGCATCCCTGGATTCTGGTGGCAGATCGCCCTGAAAGCGCTCCAGACTTGGCCACCCCGAAACCTTCATCACCTACTCCCCCCCCCCCCGCCCCCCCCATAACCAGGTAGACTGCGACGAAGTGACTTGAACATCCTCCATGGCTCACTTGCTGGTTCGTTGATCCCGTATCCTCATTGTTTTAAGTGGGAACCTTATCATAGTTGTGTCTTAGCATGTCCAAAAGTCATCGTCCTTTTTTGGAGCCCCCCCCCCCCCCTTTTGTGCGGTCTTTGAAGGGCAAGCCAAGGAACGGCGACCCATTTGGCTATGGGAGCATCTCAATCCCAACTAAAATAGACTGCAATGGTGGTGAATTCACCTACCAACCAAAATGGTACCATGGGTGTTGACCCACGGCCATTTGCGGGGGGAGGGGGAAAACACGTCCCAAACACCTGCGAGCCATGCGCGCCACGGCTTTCCACGGCTTGGCCCCGCGCTTGTCCAGGTCCTGCGCCAGCGAGGTGGTGGGCCGCGTCTCGTGCGTTTGCCCGTCCGCGCCTCGGGGCGAAACCAACGGAACCTATCATGAAAACCCGGTACCAGCATGACTTACCAGGTTATGTAATGGTACCGGGTTCCGGGATTCCAGATTTTGTTGGTGCCGGAATTCCGCCTTTTGTTTGCCCAGAAGAATGTGAAGAAGTACAAAGGCGGATTTCCGCAGCTATTTCTGGCTGGGATTGTGCGCAGGTGATCTTGTTGAGAAAAAATAGATGGTTCGTTCACCTGGTAAACCAGTGGCTGCGCGCAGGTGATCTTTTCATTGAAAAGAAAGGATGGGTTCCCCTGGGAAATGATCTTTTTGAGCAAAAATACATGGGTTCCCCTTCTAAATGGATGGCATAAAACCAGTCTAAACCAGTGGCTTGCCCATCGATTTCTGACCAAACCCATCAGAAGGACACCTATGCTGTGGCAACCTCCCCATGGCCCAGGCCCAGGATAAAGACCGGCGCATCCGTCTCCCAGCAGCTCGCGCGCTCCGGCCTCGACTCGCTGGGGGCATGGGGTTTTGCTTGGCTCAAGGAGGGAAAATGAAGGGAAGCCAAGCTCCTGGAAAGGAGAAACGGGAAACCACTACCCTAACATGGAACCTGACAGGGCGGGAGAAATCAAGAGAAGTAATTACCCTCCCACCAAGTCATATGGAACCTGACGTTCGGGCGGTTCTGGTTTGGACCATGTTCCCTTTACAGGGACCGGGCCCCGAAGGTCAGGTTCCATGTGAAAAGAGTGGGAGCGTGAATCGAGCTGACAAGTTATTCAGGCCACCAGAGTTACAAATACATATCCCCTTGGCAACTCAAATGCAACCATTGGACCGCGCTGCGGGTTTGGTCTGCTGAAAGTCAACTCTCGTCGGGAACCGAGAAATGGACAAAGGCTCGGCATGCGGGCCACGCCCGGCTTGATACTTGGGAGCTCAAGACACGGAAGCCATGGGTCGCGGCCCGGAAGCTGTGACCCGGGCCATATTGCAAGGGTTACTTTGAGGGAGAGGAAGGAGACATCAAAATAACCCAAAGCCACCGGAGGCGTGATGGAACCTTCATGTTGTCGCGTGATCGGCGGATTCCCCTCGGCCCCAATGCGAGTCTGCTGTGAGGGGACCCTCTTTAGGTCGGTTAGGTTCCGGAACCAAAAGAATAAAACGGCCTTGAGGGTACCCCCTATTTTGACACATACCCCAATCAACTTGGTCCAGCAAGGGAACGGGGAAGAGATCCGCGTCCCATGTTGCAACAAATCGGCCGTGGGCGAGGAACAAAATTGAATGCTGCACCACCACTCACAATCTGTGGCAACCCGCAACATCTCGCAACCTTCCTGTCGGAAGTAAGCTGAGCCCATGTTGGGTTTCTCTTGTTTGATTTTGAGGTCGGAGCATCCAACATAGGTCAAGGGGCATCATACTTCTTCAGGGGCACCCTGTTTTGTGGGGTGTTCCAAAGGGAAACCAAAAGGAAACTTAGACTACGAGAGGTCCTTTCGGAATGCTTGATGACTCTGCTAGATGATTGCCCACTCAAACTCAGTAGACTTCATCTACTGTCAGGCAAACTGACGTTAAAGGACGTCTTTGTTTAACCATGTTAAACCCCTCCTTTGTGGTTTTAAAGTGAAATCAAGAGGCAAACCACCATTCTTTGGGCATGGGGGGGGGGGGCGGTCCCTAAAAAACACACGCACACCCACCTATGAACCCAGATCTTCTATTTTATTCTAGTCGAGTAATATGCATTGCTGGACTCCCTGTCTTCTGGCACCCTTTACAACCCCGTTAGCAAATAGAAATTGGACCCCCCCCCCCCCCGAATATCGGCTTTTTCGGCTTCCTTGCGGTTCCCTTTAAACATCATCAGCTTTTAGAGATAGTTCAATTCGTGATTTATACTCATTCACCGACCTGAACTGACAAGAAAAACAAATTCATGGGTCAGGTCACAAACCAAAACCTAAGGTCGTCAGTCATTTGGGTAGGGGCCTCCTTTTGCCTTCCCAAAACAATTTGAACAGGGGTACCTCAAACCCCACTTGCCGGGAGCCCAAAGCTGACACGGACCCCAAGAGGTTCCTAGGGCCGCGGGCGTGGTCGCAGCGAATTTTGCCACATCCGAGGCCTGCGGAAAGCTAAGGGCTCCATTAGGATGTTCAACTCACGTCATATAATCATTGGCCATAACCAGGTTATCAGTAGCTGGGCTATAACCATGGGTCAGAACCCAGGAGCTGGGGTTCGCCCCCTTGAAACCATAACGGTAGCCATGGTTACCCGGGTAACTGGGGCATTGGGGTCAGACCCCTTCAAACCATGGGTAAAAACCCAGGGAACTGAGGCCAAGGCCCCATGGCTTAAGTGGCTTGAACACCCAAGCGGAAAACAAGCCGTTGGCTCCTTCATTTGAGTCCCTATATTATGGTGGGGGTCCCTTTGGTTTCCCAATAAGTAACGGAATCCACGGGGTTCCCCTCCCCCAATTCGATGTTGTAGGTCCTTTGCCGAGACTGACGTCCTGAGACCGCTCAAAAGAGCTGCGCTGGCAGTTGCAAACAGTCATGAAGTCAAACCCAGCCTAAAAAATCGTCTGCCATGGGCTACGTCAGTGGTCATTTGCCAGTAAAGCACTTCACAAAAATTGAAGCCCGCAATCTCCCAATTGCTGCAGCACTTCAGCAACTGCCTACACCGTCCGCTTGTGTTTGGCTGAAGTATATAATCAACCCGCTCCATCCAAATGTCTCAACTTTGCTTCTTGAGCTGCTCCCCCTTCCAATTTCCACCAACCAATGGACAAACAACGCCCCTTGCTTCACCTTAGGTTCTCTTTCACCACCCAAAAGGGGAGCTCGCTGTCCCGCGAGCGCCAGAGAAAACGGGCACGCCACACCCGTGGAGTCGAGATCTATTCTGGAACCCTCAAACCAAGACATGCGTGTGTGATACCTTGCGCGGAAAACATGTGTATGGGATGGAGCTCTTAAACGTACAATGTAACATGATGCTTAAAACCACCAGATAGAACATGTAGGGAATCCGGAATCTTTGCTATGAATCGCGTGTCGTGTTTAGATCTGACTTGCGTCTTGGGCGTTTCCAAAAATCGGGAACCCCCCCCCCAAAGCTAGGTGGCATCCCAATCATTAAGATTCGGGTCCAAACCCCATCCGACCCCGCAGATCTTGGCTGCCCGGCCATGTCCCCTGCCACAGCAACCTGACTACTTTGCGCGGTCGGACGATTCAGAACCCTCAAACTGATGAGTACCGTTTTGTGACTGCCTCCGCTTGTGACCCTCAAAAAACATCACCGTTGGAATCTTGTACGTCAGCAGACGATGGAACATGACATCATATCAGAGATCGCAAACAGGAGGCCAGCTGATTCATAATCTGTATGTCTGTATGCATATATGCTTGATGCACGTGCTAAGTTCCGGCTGTCAAGTTCCACCCGGCTTCAAGCTGGGGTTCCGCGCGGATCGCCGCGTCGATGGCCCGCAGGGAGCACCAAACCAGATCGCACGCGGATCGGGGGCAGGTTCGGCCGCGTGCTGGGCGTTGGACATGTTGCAGCTCTGATGCAGCGTCTGAGTCATAATCAGAACCTGGTATAAAAATTGTCGATCCCCAGAACCATGTAAGAATTAACAAGGCGGCCTTCAGGCACCCATTTAGGGTTGGGATGGTCCCATACTAACCTTCATCTACCCTGGTTTGAGCACGTGGCTCACATGAGTCCAAAGCTATCTGGCCGCTTTGTACACATGATGCAGCAAGAATGGCAACTGCCCTTCAAAATGATCAGTGCTGACATGTTTCCGAAATGTAGACCGCTCTGGCAGGAGAATGTTGTGGCTCTTGGAAACTTCGCTCAAGCCTACGCTCAAGTAAGCATCGTGGCTGGCTGCTTGGTCAGAAACTGCGCTTGCTCGCTTATCGTTTTGAGCACGCACGCAGTCTAGTCGCGTCAAGTTGGTGGTCTGTGGATCTCGCCAAACAAGCACATGCTGGCTTCAGCTTCGCTCCAATTGGTGGTTTGGATTGGGTGGTTTGGAGGCTAGAGGAGTAACTTCCAAACCACCAATCAAGGGTTACCTGATGGTCTCATGTTCTTCTAAAACAGGCTTGTTGCTCGAGCTTGACTCTGATGATCTTGAGCCCACCTCATTGCCGTCGGCAGCACTCTATGAGTCACCGGCGCACCCCATGGCTCTACCATCCATGAAACAAATCACTTATGGCCCCATCCTGGACCTCAGGCAGCATATTTGCATGAGTCTTTTTAGGTTTGCCTCGTGCTTCCTCACGCAATTCGCATGCACCTGATGCCCACGGCTTGCCGCCTGAAGGTTTCAACGGGGTCCGACGGGCTGTGGGCTTTCAAATAAGATGCCAGCAAAAATGACAACACTCCAAACGATGCCTTACATTTACATAAACCTTTGCTTGGCGGCAAAGAACTACATCCAATCAGCTAGTTGCCCGACCTACGTGCACCATCCAGCTTGCAGTCAAACCCATTCTCGCCCAACTCCTCCACATGGGCGTTTTTGTCCCACTCCCAGCGTGCGAAGCCCGCCATGCTATCCAACGAAGGCTCGGTTTCGCCTTAAAACTGGCAGCTCCTCCGCCCCCCCGAGAAGAAGCGAGGTGCGAACATTTGGAAGGTTCCTGTTGGGGCCGTCACCAGAAAGAAAGGGTGTTCCCTGGAAAAGCGGTCTGACCCCCAAATTTCAACTAGCTCCTCCAGTAGAGAGGTTAGAATAAGGCTACCCCTTTGTTCTGTAGCTTAAGTTAGTAGGGGAAACCTCCCCCCAAAAAGGGAAAATGGGTATTTTGAAAAGGCACTACTGGGGGACCTAGAAGCTGTAGGGGATGTGTGAAGGCTGAGGGATCCCCAAGATGGTACGAGCAACAACGATTCTTCGTTCTTGCACATTCCCCTTGGTCAATCTGGAGTGGGGGGTTTCCCAAGCTGACATGTGCAAGAGGGGGCAGCGGCTGCAATAAACGAATAATCACAAGGCGGCAGGCGGCGAAAATCAAGGCTGCTCCCTCACACGTCACCTCATCGGCCCAGGTCAATTTCATTTCACAACAAGTACCCAGAATGACATATGCTCGGCTGCTTTCTGCTCCCCCGCTAAAAGTTTAACTCTTAGTGGTTTAATGGAAAGCCCGCTAGTTGGCAAAAAGCTAAAGTCCCAACATCCCTTGGCAAAAATGCACCAAAGTATGGTTGCAAACCTGACAACCGCCCCGCTTCCGGTCAGACGCCTTCGGCGAGCTCGACCTTGCAGGTACCCAGAAAGCTGCGCTGAAACGCTGAAGCCGCAAGTCCCCTCCGACCATCAAGAAACTTGCCAGAGGCATTGGAGGCAAATGGACTTCGAAAACCCAGCCATGCTAATAGTCAACCCAAAGCCAAGGACTTGAAGTGTACAAGGTAGGCATGAGCCACCCCTAAGCTGCATTGGGACACGCGTTTTGGACGAAAGCTATATTGGCTTACACGAGATGCTGGGCTGTCCGTGACGCACCCCTGCACGAGCCCGGCCGTTTGCGCCTGAGGATTCCTGTGACCTTCCCAGAACGAGGCACCTTTATTGGTGGATGACAGCATAGGCAAAGACGCTTAACTCCGCTCAACCAACGACTTGAAGAAACTTCGACAGGGCAAACCTACTTGTCCTCGGATGCCCAGTGGCCAGGGGGAAAAAGCATCCTTTTCTTGGTTGGTTGACTTTAAAGGGAACCCTTCCCCCAAAAAAATGAACCTACTCATGGAAACCGATGAATTGAAGGGTACGGTCCTTCCACGGACGCGGTAAGCCTTACATGGAAGCTACCAGCCACTACCGTCCTGGCAGCTTCCATCCATGCCATGAAAGGCTTTACAAAAGCCAACTTGATATGGGGAGGTATTTCTTGGAGGGCACCCCTTTGAGAGGTTGTTTGAAAGGGAAACCAAAGAGAGGCTACCTTTTTGAGGGTGCCCCCAGTTTAGACAAACTCAACTTGACGTGAGGGCCAAGTACCATTTCAAAGTTTCAGCAATGAGCACGAGGCGTACCAGCATATGCCAAAGAAACGTGGCAGCGTGCATGTGCCACGTAGCTTTCTAAGCAAAAGCCGCATTGCTGGCCTGTGGCAAGCACATGTGTGGCGTTGAAAGAAAAACAAAGCAACACCTGGGTATGGGTCAAAACAAGGCAACCCCAACAGTCGCACACTAAATTTGCGCGAAAGCTCTATATAACCTGCTTGACTCGAGCCGGCGAATACGGAAACCTACCTACTGCCAGGAGATTGAGCGTGGCGGATGGATCACAGCAGCTTCAGGTTGCCAAAGGGGGGAAGATCCATGAGGATCCCGTGCAAATTCTGCAGGGGAGTAAGTGAATGTTCTGAAAAGTGCAACTCTGCGCAACTTTGATGTCCTTCCCAAACTTCAACAAGGAATTCCTTAGAAACAAATCCTTAATGAAAGATCCTCATGCCAGAAGCTCGTTATGTTTTCGGGAAATTTGAATCCAAGCAACAAAGATGAAACAGGGCTGAGGTATCTCATATCCCCATATATTTCCGAGCTCAAATTTGTCCACCGGGCAGCACTGGATTCATAGGCTACAACTGCCCAACAAGCGGTGCATTGTTTCTTTTGATTGAGGTGGACCCTCTTTTCATCGCTGATCGGGATGCCTTCTAAATTTTAAAGCGGTACACCTCATCAAAAATCGGCGAAGGGGTTCATCTTGGGTTCCCATTCGTACCCGGAATTCGCGCTTACTTCATCTCCTGGCCCGTGGTCAAGAAGCTGCGCGCATTGCGAAAGCAGCTCTAGCTCGGTCTTGGCAAAGCGCTAGCGATCGGTATTCGGGGGCAACCACGCTTGCTGACATGCTGCTTTTACTGTTGCCTGTTCGAGGTTTCTTGGGTTTTCCCACCCCGAAGACTGGTTGGTGACGTTTTTGAAGCTTCGTGTTTCGACTCGTTTTTGAGGTGCTTAAAATCATGACTTGAAACCCCATCGAGAGCTTGGTATTGCTTGTCAGGGTTCGCATTTGAGGGCGACTGCAACTCAGGCAAATACCGAAGACAAACATGGATCCGACTATTTTGGACCTGCGCCCTCCTCTACCAAAAAGGTCGATGGTCCCTATAGCTGCTGTGCTCAAGGCAACCTTGAAACGATACATCCTGAAAAGGAGAGACGCGCACGGGATCCGAGCAACGCATCATATTCAAAAGGTGTGAGGCGTGGCTTGCTGCTCTCAAATTGCCTGGTGCACTTCTTGACCATTCCATTTACAGCGTGGGCAGTGCTCAAAGAGTTGGATCCTCCACCTAGATCGCCGGGGGAACCCCTCGCTTTGCCCCGAGCTTGACACCCAGGAAATAGGCATAGATGCCATGAGCTTAAGCCGATAGACCCTGATGGTTTGAACAACCTCCTTTGTGGACGTCCCAGTAACGCGGGCCAGGGATTGCTTCTGAACAAACCAATTTTGTGCAGGGGTGTTTGAGCACTGCTCCAGCGAGACTTTAGCCTCACCAATTTGGCAATCCATCTGCGCCCCTCAAGCAGAGGCAACGAAATACGAGCCGCGTCTGCTGGCTGAAAAGAAGTTTCCGACACGCATGTCAAGCGCAGCGCGTGGGGTGGGGCAGATTGATGGCGCAAGCCCGGCCTGTTAAACAAACATGCGCCCAACTCGCTGATGAACGGTGCAAACACGAAGAACTTTTTTGTCCCTATGCCCCACCCTTTGAGTGAAATGTGGAATCCATCAATGGCCACTTTCATGTGATCTGCCACGCCTGCTCCTGGAAGCCAAGCCAGCCGAGCCTATATTACACATGTATATATATATATATATACATATGTATATATATATACATACATATATATATATATATATGTCGCTCCCTGTTGCCACTTCAAGAGGGTCGGCAGCAACTGAAAACAACCAAGGAAACCGATTTACACAGGGGGCTGACAGCATTCACACCATAATGAAAGCCACAAAGGCTGTCCTTGCTGAAGCCTGAAGCTGGTTAGCCTTTGCCATGCTTTGCTGGGTCGTAGCCTGCACTGCGATATGATGGAAGATTGAATCTAAGCTTTCCAAACACAAGGGCTGTTCCCGCTAGCCTTTAATAAAAGCCTCTCACCATTAACAAAACAGCAATGTACAAAAAGAAGCTGTGCTTTTTTCCCCGGGGGCCGTCGACATCTGAAGTGCTGGACAGTGACAGAACTCGACGCTTTCGCAGGGTCGGCGAGTCTGCAACTACCAAGGCCCATGTTTCCCACCCAAAAGTTGTTCATGCCATTTGAGGGAACAGCTATTCAAATTGGCCATGAAACTGCCATGGTTGATCAAATTGGACATGAACCTGCCATGGTTGATCCTGCCGGCGTGTCTTGTCAATTCGTCAACCTCAAGACCCGGTGCCAGGCCGCCCCTACGAGGCGAAGCACCGGCTGTGATTTTGGGTGGCTCCGCGAAAACCGGGAAGCTGGAGAGAAACGACGGAACAAAAACCAGGGACTCCTAATAGTGTTTTCCCCGGATCAAAGTAGAACCCCAATTAAGAGCGGGGTAGAGGCCCCCCTCCGATAGTGGTCTGAATCCGCACTAAACCAGCCAACCCCCTAATATTCCTGATGATTAAGCCCATGTCCAAAACCTGGCTGGTTCCTGTCACAGCCTGCCAGCCTACGAAAAATCAACAGGATAGCACAGCCCCGTAAACAAAAAAGCGCCCAACAGGAAGCGATATCTTGTCACGGCATCTCACTATGCAACTGAAAAATGGATCCTGGATATGGTTGACAGCAAAATGGACATAGGACACACGGAGAACTCATGTTCTTTCTTCCCATTGGCTTCGTGTGGGAGTGGATTCACTTCCCCCAACCAAGCATCGACGGAGGTTTAAACCAACACTTGGATAGCTTCAGGAAACAAGAAAGCAGGAGGGCAGCTGCTTACTCGCTTTGTTGGGAAATGAAAGCAACATACTCACCCTAGAAAGCTTGCTCAGGTGGGCACCCCTTTGCATATCCAATGCATCTCGGTCCCTATTAGTCACCGCGTAGATGATGCACTACAATCCCCCCCAAAAGCAAACAAGTTGAACCCCTTCAACCAAAACACAGCAACTGTGATGAATCCAGACTTGATGCTACTTGACTGAATGTCACTTCTCCAATATTGCCGACTTTTGCCGCCTGCCCAAAGGCGACACTGTTTGCTGGTTAGTGGTAGTCTGAGCATCTGATTGTTGAAGATTGGAGGCAACCTGCATTTGATGTCTTTAAACAAGTTGCAGCACATAGCGACGGAAAATCGGATCGGCACATCTCTCATTGTGTCCTGCGCTTCCTTGGCCGCTTCCTTCGCAGCCTCCACCTGTCGAGTTCTTTTAAGGCGAGGCCTCTGATAACCAGTGAAGGTTCACATGTGCCATGGTCAAAGACCCCCTTAGGGTAGGGATGCCCATCAACTTCTTAGAGGTTTTACAACCCACCTACATGGCCAAGTTGCCGCTTTTTTCAGTCACTGTTGCTGGTTTTTGGGGTAAAGTGCATGGAAAAAAGCAGCAACTGGCGAGCAGAGTTCAGATCTGACTTCTTTTTTGCGCTTTGACACAGCCAAATACCTTTCATGGGTGAGGTTCCCCGTTTCCTTTTGCGTCAGCCTTCCGCGTTGACGTCGCAACCCCTCGGGGCCCCAAGAAAGCCCTCGGGCGCCTTGGCCGTGTGATTGGCCACCATGGCAGCCCTGGCGATTCGTGCCATCGATGCGCGAATTGGCAAAAAGGTGACCGAATCCGATCCAGGGCTCCTACTGTGGAGCCCCAAGAAACCCAACGGTCCCAACGGTTTCTCTTGTTCGATTCCCCAGCGTAAGTACCAACAAACGTAATGGGTTCAACCATGGTTTCATTTTGTGGTGCGAACGGATTTCATCCATCCACAGTATGTGCCATGGTTCCTTCATAGGAAACCTTTACATGGGTTGTAAAACCCCTAAGAAGGCGATGGGCATCCCCACCACCAAGGCCACCAAGGGGTCTTTGACCACGGCACGTGTGAATCGTCACCGGTTGGATCCTTTGGTGGACAACGTTTATGCGGATCTATGCAAGCCATTTTTAAGGGAGTTGCGGGTCCCCGTCAAACTCGCCATGTGCCCGGCCCCCTTCGAACATGAAACTCAATCAGCAGTGCCCGGCCCCCTTGAACCACCCAAACAAAACCAAAAAGTACCCCTGCCATCGGATGATTTGGAGGGTGTCTGCCTTTTCTGGCCATGAAAGCTTTCGATGCCATCAAAGGATTGGCCATTTGACTTTGGGAGGCCATGACGCAAACCAGACCAAAATGGGTAACAGTTTTCCTTTTTTATGACACATACCCACATCTGTCTGAAGAACCTGTCACGCCGGGTTTCTCGGCAAATGGTACATTTCGAGATCCTCGTGCTGCCGGGTTGGGGTATTCCATCTTGAGCCTTGAGCCCCTGATGAAGGATGCTCGCCACGAAAGGAATACACACAGGGACACCGGAAAAACTCACTTCAGTGGATTGGCGCAAAGAAGTTGCTTGTTTGATTTTGTTTGCCACTTATATAAACGGTCCCAAAAAGTGTAAGATCCAGCATTTTTGGTCAAGTGAAACAGCGACAAGTGCCAGGAATTTTGATCAGGAATCACCGCTGTTTCCAAGGGGAGCAGCTCATGCTGGTGATTGTTTGAAGGCAGAATGCTTTTTGGGGTGCAAGCAAGAGGGGTGGGGTTGGGTGAAGGTTTATTCAGCCCGTACAATAACCCCGTCAAACCACCACAACCTAATGTGGTTTGTAGAACCCTGACTATCAAACCCAAGCCAGGAAGCAACCCTGACCAAAATGGTTGTAGACTGTTGGTTCTTCGAATATAGCCACTGGGACTTGGTTTTGCGCAGTCTCCAGGTTGACCTCGGATTCATTCACAACCCCTTCCTCTGAGCGGAGGGTGTTGCTCCAAAAGTGGCCTGACACCCCCAGACCAAAGGGGGGGCAATAAGCATCCAGGATTCCGCTTTCTTTTCCGGCGTTCCGATTAAATCCTGTCGTTCTCCAGGGCTTAGTCTTGGCGGAGGGCTTTTCTTCAGGGATAGGTTCAAACTGCTCTCCTATGTCCTCCAGTAGAGAGGTTAGAATAAGGCTACCCTTTTTTTCTGTAGTCTGTTTTAGTAGGGGAACCCTCCCAAAAAATGGGTAAAAGGGCACTACTGGGGGACCTAGTCTCCTTGAAGATGGAGGAGCAAAATTTACCTGCATCCGAAGCTTGCTGGAGGGCCTCGCCCAAAATCCTCCGATTCTGGTCCATGTACGAGAAGGGATCGTAGGGAAAATACCGGTACAGGGTTCCCCCATTTCTGGTGGGCACGCATCTGCATGACGTGAAGGATTCCGGATGGAACTCATTGAAGTGCGATGGCTCAATCTGCTTATGGAACGGGCTGTCAATCATCATGCTGGACATGAGCCATATAGTATTCGGCATGCATCCCTACATATCATGGTGAATTCGGTGAGTTAGCGGAGTCGAGCAAATGTCGAAAATCAAGGTCTTCAATATGGTGAATATTCTAGTGTGTGTGGCACGAGCCATCCCCTCTCCTACAGTACATGAAGGTGAATATTGATTGTTCCTAACATCACATACACTCCCAGCGGTTGTTTGTTTTTGTCTGTCCAAAACAAGCGCGTGCTTCAGCTTGCACAAATGGTCTCATTACCATGTCCAAAACTGCCTATCCCTGACCATCCCCGATCCCCCCCCCCAAAACAAAAACGCTGTTCCAGTGATTTGAGCACTCTGGGAAATTCGGCGACAGCTGTGAAGTTCTGTGTTTCAGAAGCAAAAAAACACGGGCCAGCTTGCAGTGTTCTTGGCAAATATGAGCTGCGACGTTTTGCGCTCCTGAGGCTTGATCACGAGTGACGAATAGGGGAGTTCTACAAAGTAGCTTCGCAAGACACGTCTGCGATGGTCCTGCAGGGTACTTCCATACTTGCTATTCGTCAAGCATCTGCGGGGTACTTCTGGCAGGCATAGCTTCAGTTCTACCAATCTGGACATCCGGGACCAAATAGCAGAACCCTGGTTCTGCAAACTTTGCTCAATTGGGCTCCCGGAGAAGGTGCTCCCTTCCTTCTTCGAAGGCATGTTCTCCAACTTCAGCCACGGAGTCGGGGATGGTCACGTTTGCCAATAAGCTACAACCTTGAAAAACACACAACCCCATCTTGGGCACGAACTCGGGGATGGTCACGTTTCTCAATGAGCTGCAACCTTTGAAGGCACGTCCTCCAATCTCAGTCACCGAGTTCGGGATGGTCAAGTTTACCAAGGAGCTGCAATCTTCAAAGGCACATGGCCAAATTTCAGTCACAGAGTTGGAGATGATGACGTTCACCAATGAGCTGCAACCTTTGAAGGCACTTTCTCCAATCCGAGTGACTGAGTTGGAGATGATGACGTTCACCAATGAGCTGCAACCTTTGAAGGCACATCCTCCAATCTCAGTCACTGAGTTCGGGATGGTCAGGCTTGCTAATGAGCTGCAACCTTGGAAGGACCTTTTTCCAATCAGAGTGACTGAGTTGGGGATGGTCACGTTTGCCAATGAGCTGCAACCTTGGAAGGCACCATCTTCCATCTCAGTCACTGAGTTCGGGATGGTCACAGTTGTCAATGAGCTGCAATCTTGGAACGATCCTGTTCCAATAAAAGTCACTGAGTCCGGAATGGTCACGTTTGCCAATGAGCTGCAACGTTCAAAGGCATGGAGTTAGGGATGGTGACGGTTGTCAACGAGCTGCAACCTTGAAAAACACACCGCCCAATCTTAGTCACTGAGTCCGGAATGGTCACGTTTGCCAATGAGCTGCAACGTTCAAAGGCGTGTTCTCCAATGTCAGTCACAGAGTTGGCGATGGTGACGTTTGTCAACGAGCTGCAACCTTGAAAAACACACCACCCAATCTTAGTCACAGAGCCGGGGATGGTCACGTTTGCCAATGAGCTGCAACCTTTGAAGGCACATCCTCCAATCTCAGTCACCGAGTTTGGGATGGTCACGTTTACCAAGGAGCTGCAATCTTGAAAGGCACTTTCTCCAATCCGAGTGACTGAGTTGGAGATGATGACGTTCACCAATGAGCTGCAACCTTTGAAGGCACTTTCTCCAATCCGAGTGACTGAGTTGGACATGGTAACAAATGCCAATGAGCTGCAACCTTTGAAGGCACGTCCTCCAATCACAGTCACCGAGTTCGGGATGGTCAAGTTTACCAAGGAGCTGCAATCTTCAAAGGCACATGGCCAAATTTCAGTCACAGAGTTGGAGATGATGACGTTCACCAAGGAGCTGCAACCTTTGAAGGCACTTTCTCCAATCCGAGTGACTGAGTTGGAGATGATGACGTTCACCAATGAGCTGCAACCTTTGAAGGCACTTTCTCCAATCCGAGTGACTGAGTTGGACATGGTAACAAATGCCAATGAGCTGCAACCTTTGAAGGCACGTCCTCCAATCACAGTCACCGAGTTCGGGATGGTCAAGTTTACCAAGGAGCTGCAATCTTCAAAGGCACATGGCCAAATTTCAGTCACAGAGTTGGAGATGATGACGTTCACCAATGAGCTGCAACCTTTGAAGGCACTTTCTCCAATCCGAGTGACTGAGTTCGGGATGGTCAGGCTTGCTAATGAGCTGCAACCTTGGAAGGACCTTTCTCCAATCAGAGTGACTGAGTTGGGGATGGTCACGTTTGCCAATGAGCTGCAAAATTGGAAGGCACCATCTTCCATCTCAGTCAGGCCTCCTGGAATTTCCGCTAAGCGCAAATCTTCAGGCTCAACACCAGAGGCTCGGAGGCTTGAGCATGTCACAGGCTTTATGCTAAAAAGCGCTAGAACTTCTGCACCTGGAATTGCCTCTGACACCATCTCATTGTCGTTCAATAGAGGCCTGTCTCCAACAACCAGCTCCAGCGAGCTTATGTTGCGCTTTGATTCATCTTCGCAGGGCAGCCGCCTGTGCAGCTGCCTCTTGAAGTCACGGATGGTGGTGTGCGTGGACACTTCGAATGAGTTTTCCTCCCCAGACAGCTGTCGCACCGTAATCTCTTTTGCCATGGCAGATTTCTTCTTGTGCTGCTTCACATCTCATTCTGGTAAACTTGCTTTGAGGCTGCTGCGTTCTGGCGTGTTGGCTGGGCATATGTTGCGGTTTGACTGGCGCGAAAGCTTTGAGCCATGCGTTGCATCAGCCAGGCCAAGTGCAGTCCCCAGAACATAGCAGTGGCATTTGGCAAATGAAGAGCTGTGTTTGGCTTTTGACCCTGTGGTTTGAAGCGGCCTTGGATACCTTGCCAATTCCCAGCGTTTCAACTGTGGTTCAAATCCCTGGTTCCAATCCAAACAACCCACGGGCAAAGGGCTACCAAGTCTTTGTTCCTATTTGAAAAGAAACGTCAACACGCAAACGAAACCAGGGTACCCTGCAACAAATCTGGAAGTGCAACTCCCTTTGGAAGACTACGTACCTATGCAGCAAACACTAATGGTAAGGTTGCCAAACAGATGCCCTTGTTTGGTTAAAGGACCATTTTATGAATGAACTGAAGCTCCATCATTGACTGTCAGCGGTCGGAAGAATAAAAGGGCTTGCCTGCTTGTGCCCTTTGTCCGAAACAGGCAGCAGAGCAGGTATGGCCAATCAAGCACGACCGGAAATCCCGAGAGACGGCTAAATTGAGACGTGGTGCACCTTCACATGCCTCTTATGTCAGCGAGCAAACCATCCCAAAATGGCTTTGCCATGTTCGCATGTCTTGCCGCTGGTTGGCGTTGGCATCCAGCAAACAAGCCAAGGTGGTGAAGCAGCCATCGCATCTGAGCCACCTGTCACGTCGAAAAATCACTTCCGCATGGTGTGGAGGGCATTCTTATACACACCACTTGCTTGTAAGGCCCGAAGGCGTGACTCAAGGTCACTACCAAGCGTCCGATCTCTCAGCCCCCTCCCTGTCGGCGAGGTTTGCCATTTGTTCATCCAGGCCCGACGAAATGTGCTTTGAAGACGAATCTCAATTGGGGAGCCCTTGGTGGATCAAAGCATTCTTGAAAACATTCCTTCACTGGATTTCAGGACTGAAATGACAATCCTCGGTTTTGGTGACATCATCTCATTTGGAATCTCCAAAACATTCTTTTAAACAAAAAAAAACACTTATCCAAAGGTAGCCCCACAAACGGCACAACTCTCCGAACCGCGTCCCAAGCCCGAGCCGCCGAGCGGGCGCCTGATGTCCTGGACCAGGTCATCCGGCACCGTCTGCAGCGATAGGTCCACCCCCACCACCGCGCCGCTGGATCTCAGCGCCTCCAAGATCCTCAGGTTGCACGGCGTCCCACGTGGTTGGTCGCCAAATCCCGATATGGCTGTGGTCACAAATGGGAATCCCCAAAACGGCTTGCCCTGGTAAATGGAACCCTTGACTCAAACAGGTGGTTTTCTGTGGTTTAATTTTGACCCAGACCCATATCGCACCGCTCAAAGAAACCCAACGGTGATTCATGTCATTTCGTACAAACGGAAGTCGTGCATCCACAGGCGGCCTTTTGGAAACATAGCTGGGTGTCCCTGGCAAATGGGCCATGACACCCATCAGTGCCATCTATGTTTAATCAGGCTAACCTAAAAAGCACGCCTATGGCCTGAGTGGTTTGTTTGTGGGGACACTTTTGTTGTGGTTGGCTGTCAAGGGAAACTAAAAGGAGACCAACCACCTGTTTTGCGGCACCACCATCTTGAGACAAACCCACATTTTGGAAAATGGCCCCCTTGTGATAGATACCACAGTGGTACAGACTTCGATCCAACCATGACCATCACCGTTCCATAAAAAAGTTTCTCAACATGGTGGACCCTGGTTGGTTGGCATTTAAAGGGACAGCAACATGAAACAAAACACATTAGGGCACAAATTCCCATTTTGAGAACCACCCGTGTGTCTCCGAAGTCCCAGGAAGGGTAGAACGGTGGCTGAGGGGGAAACCAAATCTCACAAGGGCGGCGTGTTGCCGCATTTCTGGTTGGGACAGTTGTTTCAAGCTCAATGTACCCAGGCCTTCACCAGCATCACCAGACTTCTCTCCAAGCCACACTTTCCCCTGTGAGTTCCCATGACCTCCTGCCGCCTCTTTTGGATGTGCCACAGGCAAGCTGCAGGACCCCGGGTTGCTTCGCCCTGATATTTCTTCCCGATTACGCCCCTCCCCGCTGACCCCAAAATCCGGGAGTGCCATCTACTTTCATCTAGCAGGAAACTGGCCCCCTTCCAAGAACCAAAAGGAGGTTGTTGCAACAGGTGGTTAGACATGTTTAATCGCAGGATGTTGAATCGCCCAACCCTGGCGACACGGGGTATGGTAGAGACATAGGGTCTACTTTGCAACCATGTTGCTATTTGGCTTGGGCATGAGCTGCTTTTTGGTCTGGGTTCCTGCAACACAATGAGTCTCTGCGAGTCCCCTTACTTACCCACAAGGGGTGTTGTGCCATCTACTGCCTCACAACGGAAAGCTTCGATCCTGAACTGGTGCAAAAGTTCAACCTTCAGTGGGTTTTAATGGGAAATTCCCACCCACTAAGAGGCTAAAAATGGCTAAGGAACCGGAACCTCGGTGTGCTTCCTGCCACACAGCTGGCGGTGCGGATTGGGAGACCCCTCTGGTGACGGAGGTCTCAGCTCCGAAGGCTTGGTGGACACCACGTGGCCGTCCGGCCCAAGCCCTCCCAACCGCACCCCCCGCCGCACCGGGAGAAACCTAAAAATCAACACCCGAGTTGAAGAAACAACAATAAAAAAAGAAACATCACCCCCCCCCCAAAAAAAAAAACTCCCACCCGAAGCAACCACCCCCCCCCGGAGAAAAGAAAAAACAAACGCAAGCCCGAAAAGCCGGAGCCCAAAACTCCAAAACCGGGGACACACACCCAACTCCTCGCGACACTCCACGGCTCCGAAGCGCTCCAAACTCAGCTGGGCGGCGCTTCCGCGCCGCGCGCGGTGATGCGGTTGCCCGCGAGGCCGAGCTCCACTAGGCCGCCTCGGCCGATGAGCAACGGGCCGCTCAGTCGGACGGATCGAGGCCCAGGAAAATCGGCTCAAGCCACGTGGGAGGGGCCTTTCTTGGTGTTCACTTTTTTTTGAGGGAAGAATTGTGTCCTGGTTTTGAGGGTGCCTTTTTCTGGCGGTGATCAAAAGGAAAAAAGCCACCGGGTCCCCTAAGAAAACAACACCCACGCGGGCATTGGACTCTTGACCCCCCCCAAGAAGAAACAATTGTTAGTCTCCTCTTGGGTTCCCTTTAATACCACTCCAAAGGGGGTACGAAGCCTCCAAACAAAAGAGACACCCACATGTGGCTATTGTGAACAAATAAGAGGCTCCTGTCCACTGACATGGACCCTGACGTTGCTCTGGTGGGTTCCATGGCAAAGAGCAGGCTAGTCTCCTCTAACGTCCGATAGGGGGTAGCCTGCAAGTAAGTCCCACAGCTTCTCGGCGAGGTGGTTTGGAGAAGATGCCGCAGGCAAACAGTCATCCAAACCCTTTTCCTAGCAGTTTTGTTCTCCCTATGTTTGCGTGTTGTGATGATTGCCCTCGTGTGACGACTGCCAGGGATGATGTTGTTGGTTGGTTCAGAGAAAGTACCCAAAGTCAGTCTTGATCCGCACGCCTTCTCTGGCTATCAATTTGAATAAGGAACCCCATCAAAAGCATTTGGCGGACATAAATCACCAAAAAGGTCTCAAATCAAAACTCACACCCTGGAAGATTTGTGTGTGTGTGTCCACCATTCATTCTTGAGGGTGTTCCCCCACTAAAATCATTGCCCATCGGTCGTTTCTGGGTCTTGGCCTAGCGATTTTGGGGCGGTTTTGAAAGGAACCACCCACGAATTTGAGGGGTTTTCCCTACATTAAGACACCCCTTGTGTCAACTATGCCATGGTCGAAACTCTAAATGTGGGTCATAGATCCATGAGAAGCCGTCTGCATCCTCATAATCCGCCATTGCGTAAGGTGCAAATGGGATTGGTTCAAAATAGATGACCGGCAAGATGGCGCGGGGTGGCGGGTATTCCTGTTGGCTTCCCTTTTTGAAGACGAAGCAAAAGGGCATTCTCCAGGAAAAAAAAAAAGAAAAAAAAAACACTTCCCAAATAGATACCTAACATCACTAGACGTGCGCTACTTTACATGTTTCTAACCGAGCTGACACAAGGGATGCCAATGGATGGAAGTTTCTTCATGGGCGAAGTCACAAACCAAATGCCTGTGCGAGGTCACGATCAGCTTCAGCAAATCCACGCCATTGGTTGAGCCAAAGCTGTCAGGGGACCCAGAAAGAAAGCCTTGCACTGCTTGAAATGTGCCTTGCAACACAAAACACCCGTGAAGCATTCAAAAGTGAACCAAGTCATCCAGCCTCTTGCGGCTTCCTCGAGCGGAATACACCTGCTAACTTGAACCTAAATGGATGACGCACAAAGGGGGCCCGTGTTCGCATGAGTTCCAATGGATTATGTCCGGGGCAAGAAAAGACAACAATCCCCAGTGTAGATTTGTGCTTTCACGCAAAAACATCTTGGCAACAGAGCCCATGCCCCTTCTCCCCTACGCATTCCGATAAAGGCTCGTGTGGGTTGGCACGTTCAAATCCACATCATGGCCCCAAATCCACCGTTTCAGGCCACCCGCGGAGAAACTTCCGAGCCAAGCCGCTTCTTCCAATCACCGAGGCTAAATGGTAGGCACCCTCGTCATCAATGATGTTGTTGCACCTTGGCCAGGTGGGAAGTTCAACCAACTTGGCCACAAGGTTCATTACAACCATGGCAATTCCACGCGGTGACGGGAATTTGGTCCATGGTATTCACTCCGGTATTCTAGAAGGTATTGCTAGGGAATACAGTTCATCCCCGGTATGTCCCGCTATAACCACCATATTCAACTTGCCAAGTGGCTTGAACACCCCAAGTGCACTTCCTCTCTCTCGCCGTTTTGCCCGGCACCCTCCCAGCAACAGCCTATGGTGTCCCTGATGTTTCTCGGACTCCATGCCAAAGGTCCCAAAAGGGCTCGTCACGTTTGACGACCCAAATGGCAGTGGCTGAAAAAAGGTACCCGAAAATAGCCCCTTGGTAAATGGAAACACAGACTAAAACCTGCGTAACCCTGACTCTTTTATTTTGAGCCACACCCAACTGTGTTCATTGCTGTTCCCTGGTGCTCCTGTGCCCTCTGGCACACTGCCTCAGCCAAGCTGCAAATACAAATGCGTGAGGGTGGAATTCTTGGTCAATGCCTGGCCGCCCGCGAAAATCGATGATTTTTGCAAAGAACAATTCGGAAGCACCCACACTTCCTCTGGTCCCGACCATGCTGGCCCAACAGACCAACAAATCAACCAACCCACCAACCAACCAGCCAGACAGACAAGCAAACAATCAAGGACAAAAACTGTTGACAGACAGATAGATAGACAGACAGACAGAAAGACAGACAGACAGACAAATGGACGGACGGATGAACGGGCAGGCAGGCAGGCAGGCAAACAAGCAAACACAACAAAACAAAACAAAACAAAACAAACAATCCACCAGCTCGACAAACCGCTGCTACTGTCCCGTTCCTGCAATCTTGGGCATCCCGACCATCCTGACCCGCTGACCATCCTGACCGTCCTAACCGCAAGCCCAACAAACATCATGTTCAGAGCAATCTCCTTTTGGGCGGGGCCTGTTCTGAGTGTTTGCTTGTTTGTTTTCTTCGGTTTCAAAGTTTTAGAGCGAAACCAAAAGAAAACACCACAATTACGGGAGGGGTCCCCTGCAAACAGACACGGCCACATTTCAGCTTCCCGCTCATTGGTGATTTGAATGCTTTGGAGGTATCCCCAAACTACCAACCTAGGGGTGCCCATTTGAGGGTTGATCAATCTTCCGTTCAGCCCCAAAAATGATGGGTAATTGCCCCCACGTGGTGAAAGTTGTATCTTTCTTGGTGGTTTCCCTACTGAGTGGATGGCCAAAAAACAGTCCAAACTTTATATTTGCCACTCAAATGGTCTTCCCAAAAAGTGTTTAGAGTTCATGAACTCAGGAAGTGAGCCACTGGTTCACTGCAGGGTAGACTTCCCACCCAGTGGGAGAATTGGAATGGGAGAAGTCCAGTGTGAAAATTCCAATGGGAGACTTTAATGGTCACCCGCATGGGTTTCGGACCTTTTGGTCAACCCACCTGCCATTTCGGCGAACCCCCGCACCTCCGCTAGGCGTGCTGCGCCGCCGGAGGTAAGGCCATTGAAGTCTAACCTCGAGGCTGGACGCTACGGCAAAGGGATTTGTCCCGCTACGTATTATTTGCATATATATATATATATATATATGTATTGCTTTATATATATATATATATATATATGAACAAAACCTTCATATAGTGGCTATATGGTGGCTTTATAGTGGCTTTATAGTGGCTTTATAGTGGCTTTATAGTGGCAATATAGTGGCAATATAGTGATTTCAGGTCATCACAGCTCCCTCTTAAATGGGACACTCCTGCCTGCAACACCATAAGAACCCCCGTTCAAACGCACCCACAAGGGCCATTGCGCGACAATGAGAACGAGGCAACACAACAAGGCACTGCAATGGAATCAGGCAAACTTGAGGTTCAACAAGCAACCGCAGCAGACTGGTTTGCATCCCGTTTAAGAAAGGAAAGGGGAAAAGAAAAGCCTTCAAATGTTCCTGAAAGTGTCTTCCGGAAACCCAAATGACCATGAACGTGCTATGTCAAGGCCTCCAGTAGCCACGGAACAAGGGGCACCCATTTCGTTGGCAGTGATTTTTTCGGGGGGACCTCTTCCCAAGAAGAAAACAGGGCACTGCAGGTATGGTCAGTCCTTCCCCAAAGCGGGCGACATCGCTTCCCACTGGCACTAAAACTTGGAATCTTCTGGAAAACATCCTAGACTTCAAGGGGCAATCTCGTGGGTTCCAAGGTGACATTCTCACCAGCACCCTCAAACTAGATCGTTAAAAAGTGCCCCCCAAAAAAAATATAGAAAATAAAAATCAAACAGACACAAAAACTAAAAAACATTGAAGACCCCTCAAAATGCGACCGCTGTGAGGGAACTTCAGTCCCTGGTACCCAAAAAATGTCTACCCCAAGAATTATCACTTTGCGGCGCCCATTTCTTGGTTGGGATTCTCCCTTCATTCCTAGCCTTCATCTATCCGGGTATTGCGAGGTTTGCGGCTCAAGGCGACCCACCCCCAACCCGCGGTGATCCCGCCGGGCGGCTCCAGGCGCGTCAGCGTGCTGTTCTCCAGCAGGACCTCCGACAGCCGCTCCGCGCCTCAAAGCTAAGAAGCGAACGCCCGGCGCGCTGGGCGAGGGGCGAGGGCGGGGGGCGGGGGGGGCCAACTGAAGCGAAACGACCTGCGGGCTGTGTGGGGGGTGGGGGGTTTTTGTGGTTGGGCTTGGGTTTCATGAACGGGGTGGGGCTGGAGGTGGGGTTGGGAGTGGGGGTCAGGGCTCATTGTGGAGGTGTTTATATGGGTTTAGTTGTGGGAGGGGTTTAAAAAAAAATAAAAGGTGCGGGGTTTGATTCTGGGGTTGGGGTTTATGGGGGTTCGGGCTCAAGAGATCGGCCATGAACCTGTGATGTATCGGGTGCGCCCAGGGCCACCTGTATGAGCAGCTCGAGTCTCCCGAAGAACGGTGGCCGCAAATCCCGGCCTTTGATCTTTTGGCGTTTTAGAGACCTTTTGGCTTGGTGATCTCCTGGCTTGCTGTTTTTTTTTGTGTTTTCTTTTTTTTTTGTGTGATCTCTTTGGCATTTGCCCCAAACGATTGAAGCTGCTTTGCAAATGTTGCCCACCTTGGGACGTCGCCATTACAGCCAAACGACCGCAAAAGGAAGCCTGGCACAATCCACGGACCAAGCCACCCATTCAAACATGCCAACCCCCAACGCCTGCCAATCCATCTCCCAATCGCCCCACCTCCAACCCCCTCCAAACCCCCTGCAAACCGGCTTTGGAAGAAAGACATGTTACCCAGCCCTGCCATCTTGTGTGCGCCAAACGAAGGTATCTGCACCAAAAGCTACAAGGGCCAAGCACAACCCGAGTGCATGTGTTTGAAGTCGCGATTCGCGGGATCGGGCTGCTCTGTTCTGCGCATTTGATATTCGCAGCCCGGTGGCGTTTTCCCGAATTCGGCAGATTTGTGGCTAATCGGCATCTGCATAGCCAAACCTTCGAGGGTCAAGGAACCAACTCAGATTGGAGGCCACAGGGTCCCCGGACCAAGAAGTCTCCTTCTTTAGGCTGCAAAGGACCACCATTTGCTTAAGCCACCTGAAGACACATATTTCCAGTAGTGATAGATTCCCTTTAAAGCCAAGAAGAGAAAATAAGCCATATTCTTAAGCAAATGGAAGGAGGACAACCACACATGCCCACTTTCGGATTCCCTGCCTCGGTCGCCAATCTTCCGGTACCTGTCGCGTGGCTAGGCAGCCTGTCGGATGATACCAAATAAAAGCTTGTCAAAAGATACGTATAGGGAGAATTCAATGATGGTGGTGTTCTCTTGATGTCCCTTGAAGCAATCGTCAAAAAGGGCACGCTCGCAAAAAGACAAACCCAATGTAGGTGGCTGTCCCCTTGCTGCCTTAACTTTCACCATGGCGGCCATCTCACTCGCTCGCAAGGACAACACTGCCCTCTGGGGTTTCTCAAAATTAGGGACCCGTCCTGGTGCTGCTCTTATTTTCGCTTCCGACAGAGCTTCCGACACTCGGTCTGGGGTCTCCTTCTATGACCAGGAAAGCTCGGAGCTTTCCGCGCTCGCCTTTCGAAACATCTCAAGGGCCATCGAGATAACGAGATTTCGAATCCCGAAAAATCAGCATCCCTCCAACACCAACCAAGGGTTGCTTGATCCTGCCTGACTGGCACACCTTGGCCAAACGCTTGCGAGCCCCACCACAGGGCCCCCCAAGAGCAACCCTGTCAGTTGCCTCCAGCATGACACCCGTACTGATCCCGCTTCGTTTCCGTCGCGCTGGGCAGCCACTAAGATGCCAAGACCATTTTCTGAAAAGGATCAAAACGGCCCACGTAGCTTTCGAACACAAAGTGTTTTGATACAATTAATATAAAGGGGAAGCATGAACAAAAAACAATGGGAAATTGGGGAAGAAAAAAAAGATCAGCTGAAATTTTATCAAGAGGGAAATCCCCGAAATATCCACCGCAGGCCACTGCCCCGTCCCTTTGGCCTCAAGTCCAAGCGCCTCACTTTGGCCGACCTGGGCAGACTCGGCAAACCAAACCTTTCGAGGAAAGCAAAGCTTCCCGTCTATTTTTGTTCCGCAGGTGGGATGAAGGAAACCTAAGGCTGAAAAGAGTTTTTTCAATTGGATTGTGCTTGTTCTTTTCTGCAGGGCTTGGGGCGATTCAACCACCTGTTTGAACCATATGGTTTTAACCACCCAGTGTTTAAACAACCTGGTTCCCTTCGCACAAGCCGAGGTCTTCTGACTCAAAGATGGAGGAAACCAAAGGCCCTCCTTGAACCTTCTGATCGAAGTGATATCGAAAGCTTCTGATCCCAGCACAGGTATGATCTCTCAGGGATCCCACACGACATCACAAACTCGCTGCATCTGCACGTCCAACATCAACATTCGCATGTGTCCGCCATGAATCAAGGTGGGTCCAAGATGTTTTTTGCTTCACCCGTCTCGCTTCCCATCTAGCAACCCATTTACCCCTCGTTTGAGGTCCCGAAACTTCGGCTTTCACCCCCCAATATCTGGCAGCTGAGCCGGGCCGTGCTCATTCGCCCCGGAATTGGAACACCTCTAACTCAATGCTCTTTGGATCTTCGCCAGCGCCATGTTCTTTCCTAAAGTTAGATTGGCGCTTTTTCTGTTGGCTGCTTCTACTCAATCAATGTCAGACCCTCCAGTGCAGGGGAGAACAGCAGGCCCAATTTGTGGGAGACCTACTGGATCTTCGCCGAGCTTCTATCCGCCCCTCCCGACGCAGAACGTGGCCGTTTGTGATACCAGATAAAGCCATCTTCGAAGAGCCAAACATTGATATGGCTATGAATTTTAATAAGGGGCCCTTTGGTGGACATCATTTAGGTGGGGATTCATGTCCACCAATCACTTTTGAGGTGGTTCCCTATTAAAATTCATGGCCATATCGCAGAAGCTTCGTATCACAGTTGGTTTGGTATCGCAGCCGTTTTTACCACGTGCAAGCCTTGTGCTACAGCACTCCTGGTAGCTTCGCAAGGCTCCCTCTTTCTTCAGGCAAGCTTGGATACCGGGTGCCGCCTCGTTCCCTTCCAACCAGCCAGTTTAGTCACTGCAAACCCAACCACCAGCCAGTTTAGTCACTGCAAACCCAACCACCAGCTAGTTTGGTCACTGAAAACCCAGCGAAAACCCAACCACCAGCTAGTTTAGTCACTGAAACTGGCCCCAAAAAACATCAAGTCGTCCGCTCCGACTAGGAAACATCGCCTCTCTCGGGGCTTCCGGCAGGATCTCGATGGCGTGGTCCAGGCTCCTCGCGTGGACCTGAGCGCTCGCGTCCCCATTCTCCCAGAGCCGAGAGTTCCAGGACCGGGCGGTTTTCTCGGCCCAGGGGCTCTAAACGTCCCCCGAAATAGGGCCATGTCGCTCTCACTCATAAGAGGGATTCCAAAGCTGAAAGAGGCTTGGTTTCCAAACCCTTTTTGGAAAAAAAACGTCCAAACCCTTGCTTGGTTTCCTTTCAAAGCCCAAAAGTCCATCGCAAGACACCAAGTTGACCAACATTGCAAACCCCAGCTGAAGCTTAGAGAAAGGAATCCGGGTGAATCTGGATCCAAAGGTCCACCATTGTCCCTGAACACAACGGCCCATCCCTGAGCTTTCTGATCCCTCAAAGAAGTTCAGTCTTGCCTCTTCACCGGTGGTTTCCGCGAGATCGGGGGGTTCTTTGCCCATCCGAACTCCGAACCACCCCTCCTCACCTCGCTTCGTGGGACTGGCCCAACGATCCCAACGACCTAAAGCAGTGGAAACCCATGCTCAACATAGGCCATGGATACAAGGGCAAACGGGGGCTGGTCTCTCTTTGAATGGTCAAACGTATCAAGTCCAAAGCTGGGCCAGACTTAGCCCCCCTTAACTGTTGGTTCGTGGGAAACGAGGAAATGCACTGGAAAACTCCAAAATAGGGAAAAGAGGACATGCACTGGAGGTCTAGCAAGACTGAAGTGTCACACGCAAACACCCACAGCCCCAACCCCGCCTTTGACGGCACCGAGTTGGTGGTGGCCGGGCGTTTCGCCAGTGGCGGCTTTGGCATCGCGCCCAAAAAAGCCCTGGAGTTGTGTTTGTGTGTGGAGACGTCGGTTTAGACATGTTGAAGTTGCTTGGAAGGTGTCATCTTCCTGTTTGAAGGCTTGAGTTGAAACCCGCTGAATTGCAGTCTTTGAACGGACAATCTAGCGCCCCTATGTATAGTCCTGCAAGGACGGCTTCCAAGCTTGCACTTCAACGACAAGGACAAACAGGGCGCTCATCGAATAGGAACTTGAGCCGCTAATGCTGCCATCTGAGGACAAGGACAATAACATCAATGTGGTAAAGCCTCAACCATGCAACAAGAGGCCCTGTTGAGCCATGCCGGTCGAAACCAGATTGGACCCCCGACGGACAGATTCTACCCCTTCAGCACATGCATGATGGGCATCATCAGGTATGGCTTTTAATATTGATTCTTACATACCGTCCAACATGAGCTTGTTAGGTGGTATATACCCCTACGTGGTATATAACCTTCATACCTCCGGTAACCCTGTAAAGCCACACATATTCCGCCATAAGGTTTGATCAAGTCAGGTGGGACCCCAGATGGGTTCTGACGGATTATGTTTTGGCGCTCGTGTTGTCACATGAACCGGTACCGTCCTGATTAAAGGTACGCTTCTCTGCTAAGGACCATCAAGTCGAAAGTTTTTGCCTGCTGCTAACTCGGAGTCGCAAGTTTACCTTTCTCCCCAAAAGGTAAACGATCCCCCAAAAACAAATATTATAGAATTTGCACAGGGGTTTCAGGAACACAACTTTCATTTGAAGCTCCGCAGGTTCCATATTTGATGGGAGGGTCAAGGTTAAATGCTCCGGGGAGGAGAAAAAAACGAGATTGGTGAACGGAGCCGTGCCGGACCCCCTTTTCCGGGCAGTAGATGTTCCAGTCAGTGGAATTGCTGGTTGGTACAGCTCCAAGTATTTAAAGGTGCCAAGGGGCGTCCCCGTATGTGGGCTCCACAGTGTCGCCCTTGCGCATGTACATGTAAACGCTGGTTGATGGCATAGATCCTTTCCAAGTTGGCTAAGATTGGTGGTTTGGTGCTTCAGGGATGAACCATCCCATTTAGCCTCAAGAGGTCATGGCGGGTCTTGATGTACAGGTTTTCCGAAGAGTCCACCGCGAAGAGAACCAAGGCCTCTCCCGGGCAAGGTTTCCTCGTCATCGTTGCCTCGATGCTGGTGCCACAAACTGTAACCCTCTTGTTGCCACAGATTGCCTTCTTCTGAGGTCCATGTCTGGTCGCCTTTCCATTTGGTCAGCTTGACCCAAGCCAACAACTCTCCTCGATTGGAGCCTGGGCACTATCTCTGTCCTCGGAAAGTCAAAGCTTCGGCTCCCAAGCCGCAACCCGGCGAGCTGCGAGTGACTCGGGTCCAAAGGGAATAATTCCAAGCCGCCCCCCCCCCCCCAAAGACGCGAAAGGGCGACGGATTCGGTTTCCCGTTAAACTCAAACCAGGGGAAACCAGGATGTGGGGCTGGCAAGCCATACCCCTTTACCTACAAAAAGTGGTAACTGGCAGCACTGGACAGACACGCCAAAGCCGCAATGTTGATTTTGGGCCTACGTATATTTTGCTGCAGGAAAGACCCAAACAGCAATCGGCCACACACACTGAACTCCTGCCGCTGCATCCCTCTTTGCTCCGAGCCCCGCTCGACGCGTCGCACGCGATGTGTGGCGCTTCTGTGAAGCCGACCAACGCACAGCTCCATCCGGACTGCTCACCACTGGCACCAAAAGGAACAACTTGTTGGCCACCCTACTTGGCTCTGGCTAAATGAAACGGTAAAACCGATGTCGGCGCCAAAAGGCGTGAGGGGGCGGCAAGTAGAATCATAGTGGATTGCCAAGCTGAGCTGATCAAGAAGAGAGGTAACAGGTGCCCCAACCGGGAGCAAGCAAAGCCATCGACCATGGCAAATTGCCTGGCGCAGCACAAGGAGAACCAACCAAACGTCTGCCAATGTTGCTGTCCGCATTGTTCTGCCATGATCAAGTCACCCCCTAAGTGATGGGTTAAAGGGAAACAACCCAAGTTTCTGATTTTGAACATTTCCAGAAACGGTCCAAATTCATGACCCCAGTTTTGCCTCTGCATGTCCCGCCAGTAGTGAATCTGTGAAAATCTGTGGCGAGGATTGCCGAGGATTCTGTTCACATGCTGTCACAAATCCGCAAAACGCAGTCACGTCACACCAATCACACATGCGCGCATAGCTGCGCTTTTAGGGCAAATAGATGGTCCTGGTAGATGATGAAACCACCAGGTAAACCAGGAATCGCCATCAATTTTTCTACCAAGACAACCAGAAAGGACACCTATGCTTGCGCCCAGAATCCCGAGACCGTCTCGCCCGCTCCGCGAGCCGCCGCTCACTGGAACATGTCGTCCGGCATGGGTCGCCCGTAGGGTCCTGGCCCTGGCCAAAGGCTTTGGGGCCGCTGGGCCGAAAGCCTGATCTCGGTTGCTTTCTGCTCCCCCGCTAAAAGTGACTAACTTTTAGTGGTTTAATGAAAACCCCAGTAGTTGGCAAAAATGAAGTCCCAACATCCCTTGGCAAAATGCACCAAAGCGATCTTTCGAGCCGCTTTCGGAAGAAAGCCCTTCACGTCAGGTGCTAGCTCAGATTAAGGGAACAACTGGAACATGGAACCATCTTTCTCAGTTTGTAGGCGCGGAGAGGGAAGTTACATCAAGTCACCATCTGGTTCACGTTGAGAAAAGCGTCCAAAGGGAAAACCTGTCTGAGATGTCCTTCATTGGGCGTGTGACTCATACAATATCTCCGCTTAGTCCGCTACCAAAGGTACAACCTGCAGTCACATTGAAGTGATGGCGGAAGGCCTTAACGCGACAACCAATTGCCCAAAGAGTCTACCGTGTACTCCAAATGAGCCACAATCAACACCTGGCATGAAAGAAGTCTACCCAAAACCCCTGGTAAAGAATCCAAGGCGGGGGTTTGCCGCACCTGATTGATGGCGAAGGGACTCTCCGAAACTAACTTCACCTTCCTGGGATTTGGTGGTGTGGCTCCAGCGAAGAAAACGAGGGATCCAGCGGACTAAGTCAGCGGAACCGATCCAGGCTCGGGTTTGTGGAGGTGTTCCCATGGTTAAAACGGACATCACTTGCATGTCCCATCCGAATGATAAGCAGTGGTAACCCCTTTACCCAAGTTGCCACCATGGTTCTAGTAATGACCCCGGATTAAGAAACCGTCCTACAGTGTTCATAGCGGGCGTTCCCCCCCAAAAAAAATAAGTGATGAATCCCCACTACCCTTATTAATCAAGCGGGGTGTCTTTATCCAGGGTTCCCATGAACCTTGCGAAGTGGATTGAACATCCAAGCACATCCGGGTCAACACGACGTATCCCCCCAGCCCGCGGGCACACGGGAGTCGCTCCTCGTGGGTATGGCCGCGGCTCCATACCTGACCGGCGACGCAATTTGAGCAACATCTTGTACTTCGACAACAAAGTAAAATAACTGGCAGACTGTGCTGAACAAGCATACTCAAGGTGTTGATACTAGTTGATTTGCCTTTCTCTGTGTAGCCATCGTACCCACATACCGCTGTGGTGCTACCACTCTACTGCCAGAGCAATGTTCCGGTGGAATGTAAACTGGGTTGTCCTCAGATCCCCCGCTAAAAGTTTAGCTTTTAGTGGGTTAAATGGAAACTACCACAAACCACTAAAAGGCTAAAAAGCTAAGGGGATGGCTGGGAGGCACCAAGTAAATCAAGCGGATAGATAAGCACCCGCCGTTTTGATGTAAACAACGACGAAACAAGCAGGGAAACGTGCCCTGGTCTGTGTGATTCCTGGCCTTGATACTTCGGACAATTCAAAATACTCCGCTGCAGGTTGACATGGAATCCATGTTGAATCATTCGCACCTCTTCTCTTTGCTACTTGTCTTTGTGGTGCTTCATTTCTTGCTTCAGAGCACTGAAGGCGAAATCATCTCGCTTCGTTTGTCCTGTTGGCATTGTTTACATTTCTTCTGTGCCCAAACGGCTGTGGGTCAAAATTGCATACCCCACATGGCTTGCCCTGGCAAGTGGAAACATGGAGCTCAAAACCCGTGGTCCAGTTCCTGGTGGTTTCATTTTGACCCATACCCAAACAGCTTCGAGATCTTCAGACTCACCGCGTCGACCGGCCGATCTGCGACTGCTCTAGCCCTCCGGGGCGCGCCTCTTCCATGAGGATAGGGCATGTGCCTGCGAGGGGTGACAGCTCACACCTCACACTCAAGACCCAGCCCTACCATACCTGCTGCTACTTTAATGAAATTATAAGCATACCATCATATGAGTTGAATGGCTATGGATGAAGTTGTTGATCCTAGCCTAGGACCAACCATCCAAAAGGGGGTTGTCATGTTACAATGTTTGTGGAGACAAACCCATGTGGTGAAATCAACCTGAAATCAACCTTTGCTTACATTGGCCGAGCTTCCCCCTTAACGGGAGTCGCTCAAATCTCCTAGGTCCTCCAGTAGAGGGGTTAGAATAATGGTACCCTTTTTTCTGCACTTTATTTTAGTAGGGCAACCCTCCCCAAAGAAAGAAACGGTAAAAGGGCACTACTGGGGGACCTAGTCTCCCTTTTTGGACCTCCCAGTGGTAAACTCGTTTGGAGATTTCTGCCTGCACGGCGCCCAGACCCCGAAAGCATTGCTTCCATATCCAGCTATGGCGCGAAAAACGGGGGCACCAAAATCGGGCGCCCGAAAACGATCCGCCGGCATCTGCTCGATTTACCCTTAAATAATCCAAAAGGGAGCGTCCAAAGCGTCGGCACTTGAAGGGGTGGCATCTCATCAGCATTTCCAGAAGAACTCTCCAAGCACCGAAGCTATGCACAAAGAGACCGGAAAGTGGCCAGCGAAAACCCAATTGAAAAGGAGCGTCTCTTTGTCCAGCGGTGAAGCCCAGTATTTCACCAAGCCAACATCAGAAATCGCGGAATGCCGTGAAAAGAACCTTTAAAAGAGAGACTAAATCCCCGGTCGGTGATTTGGTCGTGCGCTTTGATTCCCAGACTTCCGGAACCTACTAGGCTCAAGGTAAATCTTCGCGCTTTAAGTAGGATCTGGACTAGGATCTGGACCCCAAAATGTGGGCAGTGTCCTTGTGTTTCCCGTCAAAGCAGCCCCAAAGGGTACCCTCAAGCAAAAACCGAGCCAATCGCCTGGCTTTCCAAAAAGAAAGGACGTCCATGGGGTTGAACCAGTTGTTGCAAAGCCCAAAAAAACGAGGTGCACACTGGGCCGCCGCCTGCTTTTCCCTTCGGGCGACTGCCTCGACCCCTTTGCGCCTGTCAACGGATGGCAACCTCGCTCCCTTCTTGGAAGTGGGCCCATCCGTCTTGTGACAGCGTCTCGGCTGCTTGTTCGGAAGATTCTCACATGAAGCGCTGGCCCTAGCAACGGTCATCCAAGTTGTCGCATGACTTGAAATAGGAACATTCGGAAGTGTTTCAAAACACAGGTAGCCCAAGTTTCCCTTTAGCTTCCCATTACAACCCCGAAAGGAGCGCCCTCACCAAACACACACCCACTGTTTGCAACAAAAACCCTCTCGCGGAATCCGGGCAGCCGGCAAAAAAGTCTAGATTTCACACAGGTGTCAAAAGGGCCCCGTTGCTCATGGACTCTTTGCCAATCGAAAGGATCACATCTTGGTTGCTGTAACGACCCCTCTGCAAGAAGTGAAAGTCACTTGTCGTGGGACCAACGGGTTCAAGTTGAAAGATCCATTGCCACATTTGCCATGCAGGTCCCAATCACAAACCAACTTGAAGAACCGACCCCAAAAAGTAAAGTCCAAAGATCCGTTACCAAATAGCCGCAATAGCCACAAAGATGTGGTGATTCAAAACCGCGAATCGAATTGGGTGATGGCTGCACCCAGGTTCTCGCCCGAACCCCATACTCCGAACTTCCCCCTCCCTGACGCCAGCAAGCGGAAAAAATGCAACAAGACAAACAGACGTCCATGAGAGAGAGAGAGAGAGCCCCTCTTGACACAAATGCGAAAGCAAGCCTGCTCCTGTTGCAGTCAATGTCCACGAGCAAACTTCGCGTGCTCCCTCCCCTCAAATTAGAAATAGGCTCGGACCGGTTAAGTTGAACCCGACAATGCGATCTGCGTGTTCCACCAGAAAGCATCAAAAAAGTCAAGTCCGCCTGAAACCTGCAACTTGCCTCAGCGTTCACGCTTACTGTGGAACAAATCCTGTCGACCCTAGATTCATCAACCCGTAGCCCAGCCCTCTGATATGGCGGGGGGCCTCCCAATGATCAGCCAGGGCATTGTCAATCCAGAATTCAGTGTGTCACGTCCAAGGAGAACCTACTTGGTAACACCCAATTTCCACAAGCGTGTTCCTGCCGAACAAATCGAGCTTACTGCTTCAGCGAATCTTCCGGGCGCTTTGCACGACCACCCCGCGGGCACTATGTGTGCACGTACGGGCGTGGCAGTGTGTGTGCCCGGCCAAAATGCCAGGCAATCAGAGCAACTGTCCCCAAGTGGCTGCGAAGCCACACGTTTTCCAAGGAGTGAGCCGGGCGGCATTGTCAGGCCGCAAAAGCTTGATAGTGAAACCAGGCACATCTTGAAAGTCACAGAACAAGCGCTTGTCTTGGGCAGGCGTTGACCAAACCAACTAGGCCAAACTTGCCTTGCGTGTCCAAGCTCACAAACACACACTAAGGTAACTGGAAGCAGAAAGAGTGCCATGCTTTATTGTGGAACTGTGTTCAAGCTATAACACCTCAGTCACTAAAGCGATCGAGTATCCGGGGATGTTGTCTGCCAGCAAAGGCCACCCACCTAACAGGATTCATTGGTATCCCTGTGAATTCAGAAGTTGAACGCTTGTGCCCTCGAATTTGAAGACTCCCAAAATGTGAAGAGTTCCCCTTCTGATAATTGCCCAGGAAGTAGTGCCAGCGGCACTGCAAATTAACAAGGGACCCAAAAAGGGGGGGAGGAGTTCCCCAAACGGACATTGCTCAGTACATGGAGGCCTTTGACAGTCTGCAGGGGAGTATGGACCAGAATCTAAAAGGAATTTGTTGAGTCCAGTCAAAAACTAAGGCATTTACAGTAGCTATCACCACTATGAGCTGCGTGAGGTTTGACAAAGTCTCACAGCTCACTCCCTGGCTGTCCTCAGCCTTAAAGTGTAAATTAGTGTCAATGAAGAGGTATTTGGTGAACCTGCTGCAAAAAAAAGAACATATTTCAAGAAAATGAGGCCAGTATCAGTATCCCTGTAAAGGTCCACCCATTTCGGGCCAGTGCCGAACGTCCGGCTCCAGCCCGCTTTTCCCATCGAAACCTGGCCGAACCGCTCGAGCAGATCAGCCGCCGAGCACCTGAAGTCGTGGTAGGAAGGGACGAGCGACGTAGAAAAACGACTTCAAGACCAGAACAAAATGACGCCCAGTGGACTCCACATGACCCCACATGACTCCAAAACCAAGTAAAAATCCTCAAAATCCATGACTCCAACACCAGAAACAAGCCAACAACGGGCTTTCCCCCCAGGATCGGCAGCAAGATTGGCAGTGTAAATATGGGCTGCTTCCTTTCGCCCGATCGGCCTTTAAAATGTGAATAGCGGGGTGTCCCGTTTTTCATTTTATTGGGGGTTCATCACTTTTGGAGAGGAACATCCCCCATCAATACAACGGGACGGGTCTGTTCACCCGAGGTCAACATTCAAGGGACACCAAGCTCATGTTCTACCTTTCAGAGGCTTGGAGCAATTCATAAACTTCTTTGAGCAATCACGAATTCCAAAGACTCCCAAGGAAAGAGGCTGACACCCTCGTGGTCCTTCTATTTGTCCTCAGTCATAAGGGGTGGGACTGATGACGGGGATGTCTTTGAAAAGAAAGGCCGTTTTTTCAGCGCGGCCCAACAAGATGGGCAGGGCACTAGACCGAACTCCCTGATCACATCATGGGAGAATGTGTGCAATTCTTGAGAATGTCCCTTCTTTTTCCGTTTCTATTGGCGCACCCCGATTTTAACCATTGATCAACTACTGCTGATTGGAACGCGCACGTTAAATATGGTGTTGTACAATGGGATCAACCATCACTGCGGTTAAGCTACAACTAGGATCCACCGACCGTGGCGGTCATACTCACAGAAGGGGCCGATGCTCCGGGGCCCCAGCCACGGTCCGCTGCATGATGGGCGCCCCATGGCGCAGCACAACCTCGAATGGCCCGGTGTGGCCCGGCTTCCGGCTCGCCCCGAAAACGGTTCCACCAGGAAAGGGGCCGCCATACAAAACTTCCAACAAATCATCCACGTTTGTTTGCTTGCATGTTGTACAGAAAGAACAACATGCGAGCAACAAATCAACATACAAGCCAGTCAAAACAAGAACGGGCTTTGCGGGTCCCAGATGACTACAGATAAACCAACCATACATACATGAGTGTCTTTTTTCAGACCAAAAGGCATCGCACCGATGCGCAATCTTTGGCACCCGGAAAAGGCACCGAGCCCCGGCGCCCTCTCCTTTTCTCACTCCTCGAGTGGATGGCCCAAATAAAGTCCCGAACCGGGTATTTAGCCCTAAAATGGTCTTCCCAAAAAGTTGAAAGTCCATGAACTCAGGAAGTGAGTTTTGGCTCCCGGGTTGGTCACGAGTTGTTGTTTTGTTTTCTTGACCAGTGAATCGGCGGTTGATGTTTTTCTTGGCGATCAAGACAAAGAGCAAGCAAGATCAACACTCAAAACGGCGCAAACAGTTGAGCCTTCATGATTCGCGCCCTGAGGATGCAGAGTTCCCAAAGGTGATTTCGGTGCGGTCGGTTTTGAGGGTACCCCTTTTGGATGGCACTAAAAAGGGACACCAAAAAGGAAGACCGTTGGGCCATGGGGGTTTGCCTCAAAAAAGAGTCCAGCCCATGCTGCCTTTCGTGGCCTGAGTCTCAGTTGCCCCGCATGGGACCAGAAATCAAAGGCGATTGCCTGGGGCCGCGGAAAAATGGGCGTGGGGCGGCAAGTTATGCAAAGGAACCAACCAAGTCACCCGGGTCTAAACTTTGAAATAGAGGAATAGAAGGGCCGCTTCACTCGCAAGTCCCACATAATTACGCCTCCTTTGTCTATTGAGGTCGACCCCCCTGCCCCCCCCAAAACCCCAACCTCTCCAGTGGTTGGAAAAGGACCGCGCTGCCGCCAAAGGACCAGCAAAGATGTGGCCAGGAAGAGCCAAACGAAGGCGGAGACATCCGTGAGGGAATAGGATGACCTCGGAGCCGAACCAGCAAGAAATGGTTGCAACCCTTGGACCCCCCTTCAAAAAGTGTTTAACTTTTTGGGGGGTTTAGTGGAAAGCCCAACTTGATTTCCCAAACAGCTATATAAAGTCTAAAGATCCAACCCAGTAGCAGTCAAGCAACCATTGCCGGATGCATCAACCACTTAGGGGTTCCTTGAGTTCGACATTTGGTCAGATTGAGCTTTCAAACCAGTTGAAGCACTCCCACTTTGACTGTTTCTGAGCACGGCTAACATTGGGACCTTGGGCGAAACCCACATGCCTGCAGGCATGTTCCACAGGCGCGGTGCCCTGTTGCTTCCACACACACACAAGGCAGGTCCACTGATGCTGTGAAAGCACGCCGCTGATAGCTAGCCCTCCGAAGAGTAATGCTAAAGTCGGCTAAAGTTGGATTAGAGCATCCAGAGGGACAAGTAGAGAGGAGGAAAACGGTCAAACATCGCGGTTCCGCAATTTTGAGACACACCCAACACCTCTTGCCTTCAGGCTAACTTCATCTATGGAGCAACGGAACCTACGACACCGGATGTTTGGTTGGGGCCTTAAAAACTCGTGACTGGTGCACAAGGGCTAAAGGGGTCAAGTTTTCCAGTGGAGTCTGGTGGTCTGTGAGGCGTCAGTCGACAACCGACTGATCCCGGATATGTTGATCTCTCAGCAATGACTTGCTGGTGCAATAGTCAGGGAATGTGGGAATGAACCTAGGGATTCCCGAATAGAAAGAAAACACCAGTTGGATGGTTTAGAAGGCTCATTCCCTCATTCCCTGCATCTCTCGCACCAGCCAGATGAAGGTTCCTTGGCGAATGCATCACAATTTGTTCGAGTGCCGCCCAGAAGAAGTGCAACAGCTGTGCAAGTGGCTAGCACCCTTCCTGGGCAAATTACACCCTTGCCCTAAGTGCTGCAAGTAACACCTGTTTTGCCGCAAACACGTGTCAGCAGCGGCCCGTGGAGGAATAACGCTTCATCCCCACACCGTCGTAAATCTACCTGGTCATGCATTTCAACCTCCTGTGAACAAAATTCCATTGTTGGTGCCCCCCCCCCCCTGCATGGTTTCTTCATGGCTCCAGGCGAGTGGCTGCACGCTGACGCGCAGGAAGCGCCAGACGGTGCGCGCCAGGTTCATGGCTGTGTGCGCGGGCTGGTACTCGTGCCTGTGGGAGTTGGTCTTGTCTTTTTTTGGAGGGGGGCCCTTTGTATTTGGCCATGGGTCAAAACCCCGTAGGACCCCCCTTCATTTGGTCATGGATCAAAACTCAAATCGTTGTCCCAGTGAACATCCCAATCCTTTTGGAGGGGGGCCCCTTTTTGGAGGGGCCAAAAACCACCCCCCTGTTCATAAACCATAAACAGGTTGGTTAATTCATATGGCCATGGGTCAAAACCCAAATCGTAGCCCCAGCGAACGTCCGATTCAACCCCCACTAAAATAGATTAAAATGGGTGGTGCACCTATTCCAAAGTGGTACTGGTTTTGAACCATGACCATTTGTTTGCGGCGATCGTCAAGGACAGCCGAAAGTAAAACCGTTCTTTATTTGTTTCTTTTGTTGAGGGGACCCCGTTTTTGGGCGATGCTTGAGGGAAGCCAAAAGGAACACCACGGCTGTTCCTTTTGGGGTGAGGGAGTCTCCTAATAACAGCCACCCAAATGCTGGCTCCTATGGCCATGACCGAAAATTTGGTCTTGGAAGTACCCAACCCCCCCGTGTGAACTCGTGTGGTTGGCTCGTTTTGGACATCCATCACAAGAGAAGCTCCGCGGACACCCAGCTGAAGCAGCCGAAGTACTCCCCAAAGTAACTTGGAACCCAACAAGACAAGAGGAGCTTCCTCTGGAAATGGGATGGAACACGGGGTCCATGTTCACTGCGTGGGGTATATGTTGACTCGGCCGAGTCAAGTGTTAACAGCTAAACCAAGTGGATTGAGCGGCCCAATTCAACCGCGAACCGCGACTCTCAAAGAGCCTTGTGTGTTTCCAGGTCATGCAAACGTTAAGGGATGTGCAGGGCATGCATCTGTACCCCTCGACCCCAGTTTTCAGTTGGATCCCTTGTGAACTTCAGTTCTAGTATTGATATGTTCCAACTGAACCTCAAAAAAGAGCTACTGGTGGTGTCTTCTGGTCTGGCGGCTTTGCCCCTCCCCCCCCCCCCACCAAAACATAACAGGGTACCCGCAAAACGGAAGAAAGACACGGCTTCGATAGCCGAGCTGGGATAGTCTCGAGCAAATAGTAAAACCAATCAAAAGGGATTCTCCAACAAATAAACAGACACATCCGGTTCTAATATGGCCTGCCCTCAAAGGGTTTCCAACAGATTCCTCCATCAGGAGAGTATAAGGCCCACATCTGGCACCCAACATGTCCTGATTCTGTGTCATATATATTCTACCCTAAAGAAAATGGACGGATTCTGGAGGGGCATGTATCCCAAAACGCCCCTTGTACAACCCGCTGTTGTATTATAGTACCCTTAAGGTCCTCCAGTAGAGAGGTTAGAATAAGGGCGCCAACTTTCTTCTGTAGTCTATTTTAGTAGGGGAACCCTCCCAACCAAAAAAGAAATGGGTGAGAAGGGGCACCTATTGCTGGGGGGACCTAGTTCTTTGTTGGTTGGTTGAGTTTAAAAAAGAACCCTTCCCAAAAAAGGAAAAAAGGGCACCGATTGCTGGGGGACCTAGAATACTCTTGGTTTGGGTCTCCAGAGTTGTCACTTGGGAGTTCTCCGCTCACCTGCAGACGCTGAAGCGCTCCGCGTCGTCCCCGCAGTGCCGCAGCAGGTGGCAGATGGCGCCTCGCGGCAGAGGGGACGCCAACGGCCCACCGACAGAAACCCGGACCCTGACAAACCAACAACGAAAACGTGTGAAAAAAAGAGGGAACCGCACACGTTTGACAAACATGTATATTATATACGTACACACAAAGCGTGTTTAACCGGGAAAAAAAGGGAAGCAAACAAGGGCCAGGTTTTGGTGATTGTTTTTTTTGGCAAATGGCGCACCGTTCCAATGATCTACTCTTGAGGTTCCAATGCCGGATCTGTGAATCACAGCAAGCTCAAGGAAGGACCTGGAGGCTCAGGCAAGATGGAATCAAAAACAAATGCAGCGAATTATCACAAAACGACAACATGTGCTATGAAGAGAGCCTCATGTGTTTTGGTATACTATATATATATATATACATATATATATTATACATATGCGTATCTACATATATTTATACAAAAATATATATATATATATAAACACATATATGTATCTGATATTGGCGGCACACTGCGGCCAGAAACATACGTTTCGGGGAGTTTTTGTATATTCTTGGACTTGTCATCCAAGATGATTGGTCGCTGAAAGGAGCGCCCCGAAATCTAAGTGCAACACAAGCGCACATATCAATCCGCAAAACGAGACCCAGATATCCGCAAACGAGCACGTTTCTTTAAGCAACAACACATAGCAATTGTTCGCCTTCCTCCGAACACATTGACAAACAAACGCCCCTTTTTGCCAAGGACCGCTCGCTGCTCGCAGCATCGAGCAGAAAAGCATGGCTCGAGCACACTTTTTACACAAGAAAAACTGTATCACGATGGGGGGCTGAGTTCACAAATGGCCATCCGGCCGCAGTAGCTGATGTAAGGTTGGGCGCAAGGGGATGCCCATTGGAAGGAAGTGCCGTGAGGTCGAACCGCTGGAGTGATTGTGATGTGCCGAGAATGCCACTAGCCAGGTATGTGTCAATACAATGCAACCAGCTAGGTATGTGTCAAAATAGGGGGGCCCGTCAAAATGTGTGGTTTTCCTTTCGTTCCTTTGAAGCCACCCAAAATCAGCTTCCCTCCGATTGGTGGTTTGGATTGGTGATTTGGTGGGCGGTTTCCCTTTACCCTCTACAAGAACCAAGGTTTCAACTCCCCCAAAAAATCCAAGTCAGATCACCAATTCGGGGTTACCAAACACCAAGGGCGTACCCTCCTAAAACACACGCGCACCCATTTCCTCGGGATCGAGGAAAGCTGAATCGGGAGACCCTCAGACTGGCCTTCCAGCAAGTGGCACCTGAGTCTGTTCGGTTGCTCTGGTGGCCAGGTGCCCTTCTGCTTCAACTTGCTGGTGCTCTGCAGGGAACGAGGGAATGACCCTTGTAAGAGAGAGGTCCGGTAGGCAGGGAATGAGAAATGGAATGACCCTTAACCATCCAACAGGTGGGTTCCTTCAAGACAAATCTCTGGGGTCATCCCGTCATTCCCTGCTTATCGCACCAGCGAAAAGCGGCAAATCACCCGGAGGTCCACGCCATTGACTCTGCTGCAAGGTCCACGACACCCAGATCTCTGGATCCGCCAATCAAAAACTGGCGCGATTACGACTGATTTGGCCAACTCTCAAGACAGTCTCAGACTCGACATGAGTGGTTGCATGATACATTGTTTCTCTCAGCTCCGCTGCTAAAAGTGTTTAACTTGTAGCGGCCTAAATGGAAACCCCAACCGCTAAACCAACTAAAAGCCCGACTAAAACCTCAGGGAACAGCCAAGTGGGTGTGGGTCAAAATGAAACCACAAGGGGACCGCAAGTTTTTGTCCATGTTTCCACTTACCAGGGCAAGCCATGGGGGTACCGATTCTTGACCCACAGCCCAAGTCCTCTTGGAGCAACCGAGGTTTGCCCCACTGAGTTCCATCATGGCAGGCTTACTGAGCTGCTCCGTGAAGTTACGCCGACCTAAATGTCATTCTCTGCGACAGGGACACATGCAACCAAGACGTTTAAACCAAATCCATTAAGAGCCCCCACTACATTTTTTTTAAACCAACATATGGGGTGTCCCATGGTGTCCCCAAACAGGATTATGCACTTGGGGCTTTTGGGGTTTCCAGAATGAATCAAAGCACCCTCTCACCAGAAGCTCCCTTGAGAAAACGGTTCCATGTTAGTCCTCCAAAGGCCTCCAGTGTTCTTCTTGCGGGCCTTCTCTCCCCCAAAGGTGGCTGCAAGCATCTCCGCACTTATCTCAAGAGCTCAAAGAGCGACTCCTCAGCATTGCCTGCATCACCTGCACGCAGGTCGGCCCAAACACCTGGACCCCAAAACATCCCCGGCCTCCCTGGCCTTGCGATGGGCTTCTGATGCCACGCTGCCCGACCTTCAAAAAGCACTGTAAATACCGTGCAAATCGCCCCGGACAGTCGCCAGCATCCCTGCCAACACCCTCTGCATCCTCGCAAACTTCGCCAGCATCCCCGGCATTCCCTGCATCACCAGCATCTGGGCGTTCCAGCATCCCTTACATCCCCTGCATCCCCTGCATCGCTCAAGCCCTTCAAAAATCGCCCCCTGAGAGTTGGTTTTGGCGGTAGACGGACATGGCAAGCAAGTCTGCAATCAAGTGATCGGAGTTTCTTGCGCAAGTGCGGCCGTGCGGAAAACATCGCGCATACACACCGTGTTTTTCTTCATTTTTCCACCGGCTTCTGTGCGGCTGGGCAGGCTGCCGGGGATGCATTTTGTTGGTCTGATTGGCTTTCGGTGTGAGACACGTGCGGCGCGCGCGCGCGCCGGACGCAAGCGCCGGAAGCAAGCAGGCACACATGCGCTCAAGCTAGGGTGGGTGATTGCATGCTCAGTGTCAGGGGGGTTGGGCGAGCAACCTTGCAGCTTCTTGCGTGTGTGGGTTCGCAGCGAGCGCGTGCTTGGGTGGTCCGGAGGTCAGGCTCTGATACAAGATCCCGCCTAAACAGATCCCCATCTCACCTGTCCGACCGGCCAGCGTAGCTGGTGATGGCGAAGCCCTAGGATAGAATTACTAGCAGCATACTCCCATCATTGTGACTAAATATAGGTTCAAAGTAGTTACCAAACGACCCCTTTCGATCTATTTCGGCCCGCGCGCTGCGACACAGTCCTCTGGCGCAACTCCCCAGTTATCTTCTACCCCTGGGGTCCCGGGCCCTACTGCGATGCTCTGGCGCGTCTGGTCCTTGGCGCCCCGAACACGGCCTGTCGGGTTTTAAATGCCGAGGATGATGATGATGATGATGATGATGATGATGATGATGATGATGATGATGATGATGATGATGATGATGATGATGATGATGATTCCTGTAAAAACAATAATGACGATACCAAGAAGGACAACCAGGATGTCAACAACAAGATCAAGAAGGCAAAAAGGCTCAAGAGGTGATGAAACATGGCAATGGTTTGATTGCAACACATCTATTTCTATCACAACCTTCCAGGGACCCGTCCCAAGGCTCGGGCGCACAGCATGGTCTGCACCAAGCCTCCATGACCTGAGAGCGCAGCTTGCAGGGCTGCTCACCGGATGGCAGGCGCGAGAATGGGAAGCCATGGCTTCACTTTTCGACGACCCCAAGCGTAGAGGGCAAAGGAATAGCGGCGGTGTCCTCCTTTGGGGAAATCCACCAGGTGTAAGTCTTGATAAAACCGAACAAATGGAAGCCTGTGAGAAGGCGGGCTATTCTTTGGGGAGCTAATTTTTGGGGGCGACCTGGAAGTCTTGAATCGGAAACTGGACGCCTGTGGGAAAGCCAAATTTAGACCCTGTTCTGATCCGTGAGAAAAGGACAACAAACCAACTTGCTGGTGGCCAGGCGCGACCTATGCAAATCATAGGATCGTGGTGGGTGTTTGCTCCTTTTAGTTTCGTTGTAAAACCAAACAACAAAAGTGTCCGTCTTAAAGCCAGACCATATATCGATGGTACTTACGAAGTACCGCGGCCCGGAAACTCCTCCGGCATTGAAGCAACTGGGTGATTGCGACGGCCTGGACCTTCCATGCTGGGACACCTCACTTCCTGAGTGGATTCGCAAAAGCAAAACTTGTTGTGAACCACTAAAATAAAAGCAACGACAAAAAATACAAGTCCAGGAACCCAGACAGTGAGACACTGAATCATGCAGCTGGCCGACTATTGAGCTCATGAGCTTCCGCAACATACAAATAAGCCCCAAAAAGCAACCCCATGTTTAACGGCTGGGGGAGAAACTCTTGCAGTGTTTGTGCGACGGAATGCTAACGGGCCAACAAAGCGGTGAGATGTCAACGTACAGGGCAGGTGTAGAAGTGGAATGTAAACTGCAACGTGTGGCCTTGCATCGCCTCCGCCAACTTTGTGCACGTGTCAAACCCGTCTCAGCTTTCAGAGTGGAACGACATCGCTTCGATCCCAATCGCAGCATCTCTGGAGATTCGACACAGTAAGTCCAAAACCTGAAATGGGCGTCTTCTTCTGAGGGTACCCTGGACCCTGTTGTTGGTTGGTTCTACAGAGAAACCCAAAAGGGACCGATGCCATCTTTTGTTGGGCCCAACCTCAAAAAGGAGAAACCTAGCCTCCAATCCACCCATGGAACCTGAAGTTTCCCAGAAGGGGGGGCGGGGGTCGGGTCCTGGTTGGACCATGTTCTCCTTCGGGCCATCCCCTGTCAGGTTCCACAAAAAAAGCTAATCTTAATAGCAGGCGATAGTTCGGCACCATGAAAGTGGTGGCGCCTTACGTTCTGCAACCAAGAGGCGGATAAACATATCCATTGGTTGAATCAATCAATCAATCAATCAATCAATCCATCAATCAATCAATCAATCAATCAATCAATCAATCAATCAATCAATCAATCAATCAATCAATCAATCAATCAATCAATCAATCAATCAATCAATCAATCAAATCAATGAATCAATCAATCAAATCAATCAATCAATCAAATCAAATCAAATCAAATCAAATCAAATCAAATCAAATCAATCAACCAAGAGGCTCATTGGTGAGGGCCCCCAAACATCGAAAAACCTGGAGCTTGACTCTCAAACCGAGCGGTTGCGGGTTCGCTCGGTTTCGCTCGGCCCCCTGCCATCGAAGTTCCTGAGATACGAAGTGGGGTGGTCCATGGATTGGTTCGAGCTTTAGACCAAAACAAAAACCAAAAAGACGTCTTCCCTTCAGCAGTTTCAGCGTCACTCAAGTTGGTTGGAGTTTGGTGGTTTGGTGGCTTGGTGGTTTGGTGGATTGTTTCCCTCATTTCCTGGCTGGTTTGGCTTGGTGGTTTTTGATGTTGTTTTGGGATTGGTGGTTTGGTGAGGGAGAGTAGCACCTCAGGCCAGCCAACCCACAATGCAAAGCTGGAGAACTCGGAAGGGTCACAAGGCACAAGAATGAGTATGCAGCAAAGCTTTGGGTTGGCAAAGGCGTTGTTCCTAGGTGTCCTTGCGGAACATCACCAAATGATTGGAACCGAACTGCAAGCAGTGACATCACACCAACCTAAAGGGACACCTATATTGGATGCAAGCATCCAGCTGGCCTTGAGTTGGGTGGAGCTGCAAAAATAGTGCGTTGTGGCAAACAAATGCGGTTTGTATGCGAGGTCCGAAGGCTTGGCTGTTGCTTTCCTCCAACATAAAAACACCCAACCAAGATATCTGCTTCCCTCCACCCCAAGGCTGAGGCAAAAGATGCTACACATCGACAACGGCGACAATTAGGACGGCTTCAACCAAATAGACAAAAATAGCAATCACAATAAACATAAACAAAACTACCCCAATTGTCCTAACTGTGCCTGCCATGTTGCCTCATTGCAGCCAAGTCACCCAATCCAGTCGCCCTCAAACACCAGGGACACGCTCCTGGCGTGCTTGCTGTTCCAGGAAAACCCTGAAGTTCTAACAAGCGCGATATGGCGCAAGTGCATGCTGCAAAAGGAAGGGCCTCTTTGCTTCAAACTCTGAGGAGCAGTAACACTGGGCAGAAAGGGGCATTTGTCAAGTGTGCTGCTGGCACATTGGGTGGATGTTGATTCCAAGCGCTTGCTGCTAGCACCTTCTGACCCCACAAGTATCTCTCGTCCGCTTGGTCAATCCAAAACCTCAAATTATTCTATTTTCTTACTTCTTACTTCATCATTTGGGTGTGGGTCCAAAAATAGGAGCCCAAAATAGAACCCTGATAAATGGAACCAAGGAGAAACATCTGCGGTCCATGATACGTGGCGGTTCAATTTTGACCCACACCCATTTCGTCCAGGATGCAAAATGTAAAACTCCAACCGTTGACCCAGCCCCCCCGCTCCCCGCCTCACACTCTGAAAAAAGCCAGCATGCATAACTTCCACTCATGTTTTCCCCCGCCAAAACTGTGAACACATGTCCAGTAGTGCTAGATTTGACAGGTTCCCTGCTAAAGCCCAAAAAGGGAAGACATTTCACAGAAGCTTCATTTCAGCCACATGGGAGCTAAGCACTCTCACGCTCCCCGCAGCCTCTGGTGGAGGGCGCCCCTCGGCTTGGACCGCTGCGCCGCCTCGTGCTTCGCCAGCGAGTAGAAGACGCCTCTCGGCGCTCGCGCGCTCGCGGCGCTCGCGGTCGGCGCGCGGTCGGAAACTCCGAAACGCCGAAACTCCTAAAATTCCCTTTCAGGTCAAAGGCTCCTCTGTTTTTTACTGGAAGTTTGGTGGTTTGGTCCATGGTGGCAACCACCCAAAAAGAGTCCAACCTTTCTATACCAGGGCTGGGCAACTGCCGTTTTGGTGTCTGAGGCCACCTTTCTGGGTTCACACCACGGTCGGTCCAGGCCATGTAAACGGTCGGTCTGTGGGTGGCATTGATCGCTTGTGGCAAGGGGTGGTCCAAGCGGTTGGAGAGCATCTGAGTCAGATGGGTTCACACCACGCACACCTTTAGGGAATTTCGAGGTTGCAATTGACCCCGCCTCTCGTCATGTTGCAAAACCATATCAGGACTCCCACCCGCAGAAGCGGGCATAGCTGTTGAGGCAATGGGGGATGCCTTGCGCTAAAATTGGGACCCCCTGTTCCCCCACCCTCCCCCACCCCTCCACCCCCCCCACCCCTCCCACCCCCGCCTGGCGGCTGCAAGGCCACGGCCAGGCGATCCGTCAAGGCCCCCACCACCAGCGCGATGCCGCCCCCCAAGGAGTGCCCCGTGACCACCACCTCCTCGAGAAAACCCTCGGGGTTGGGAAAAATGGCACAGAAACCCATGTAAACCAGTGGCTTGCCCACCTAGTCTCGGAAACATCGCTGGGTTGGGAAACCCTGAAACTGAGTCGCAATCAAAACTTGGCACTAAAATGGTCGATCCCCAGAGCCATGTACAGGAGTAAGCAGGCGGCAGCAGCTATTTGCGGTTGGGATCGTCCCTTACTAACCTTCATCTACCCGGGTTTTGATTGTGGCTCAACTCGTCTCGGAAACATCGCTGGGTTCGGACGCCGGATGAAACCCATGTAAACCAGTGGGCTTGCCCATCTAGTTCTATCTGGCGTTGGTTTGTCTTGGCTACCCTGTCGTGGGGTAAACAAGGCTTTGTAGGTAACCAAGGGCTTGCCACCCTTTAAAAACCAAAAGGACAATTGCTGGTTACCTGCTATAGTGGCTGGCCTAGGATGCACTGGGAAAGGAAGACTTAAACGCAATTGGTCGGAAGGAGCCCAAAAGGAGCTTTGGGTGTGCTTGTCCGCCAGTGACTCCATTTTCCCAAATGATGTTGACCCCGGCCCGCCCTGTTTTGTTGGGTCTTAGTCTGAATCCCCATCCAAACCAGCTAATCAAAAGGATCACCTATAGTCTCAAGGGGATGGATGGGACAAACAAACCAGGGCCCGTTGGCCCGTTTCGGGCGGGGGGGGAAAGGGGTGAGAAAACTGGGGCCCCCTTTTGGTGAATTCAGGACCGCGTTTCTTGACTTCCATTGTACTCTTGATTGGGATTGGTGTGGTGGTGTCCCATTCGCCCCGTAAAAGAACCAGGGATTCACATCCCCAAACCAGCAACCGATCAAGTAGAGGTGAAACACACGCTCGGGGTGGAAACACGAGGGTACGTGTTTGTTGAGCCCAGAAACCTGTTTATTCACCTCCTATGTACCTGGTTCATGAGCCCAAAACAGGGTTGACTCCTGAGCCTACTGAGCCTACTTGGGTGTCCAACAAACTCGGTATGCTATAGCAGGGGCAACTGGTACGTCATAACTGCGGCAACTAAGGCTAGTTCTCTTGTACCCGGTTGTGACCTGCTGTCTTGACCAGATTTAGAGCCCAGGTGTTGAATTCGGAATTCCGCCCCTCCCACCTTGCCATTAAACCTGACAGGGAGTTGGTCCCTTTGAAAAAAAGGTCCAAATGCCCGCGCAATGTGTTCTGTTGGCTTGGCCCAAGCACCCTTGAGCAAAAGGTCTACCCTTTTGTAGGTGCAATGAAAACAGCAGTAATGTCCAAAAGGCGATTGGTCACACCAAAGATCAGCTCTGTCGGGAGGAAGGGTATTTTGCTCTGCCGGCAACCTGTGACCCGAAAAGTAAAAAATGATTTGGAGCCCCTTTTGGGGCCAGAACCATTTTCAGCGGAAACCTGGCAAAACCAAGGATTGAGAGGAGGCAAGTAGCCTTTGTTGCAAACATGGAACCCACCAGAAGGTCCCTCGGGTTAATGACATTCCTTCAAGATATGTGGGAGGGTAGCTGATCCTACCCATCCTAGGTGCCCTTTGGGGGACAAAATTAAACTAGCCGCGCGGGACGCTGCAAAAAGCGACAACGTGTTGCTGATTCAAAGGGAACTGACGGAAATTTCAGAAAAGGCAACGAGTTAAAGAGGTAAGTTAAATGTGGCTACTTACCAATGAACCAGACGGAAACAAGTGAAATCCATCTATGTTCAACCAACCTGACTAAACAAGGGCACCTATACTCTTGGCCCCCATCCATCTTCGTGCTTGTGGTGCTTTGAAACAATGAAATTGGTGTCTTCATTTGGGAAGGGGTTCCCTTGGCAGCGAAGCTTCAGGAAACCACCTGGACCCTAGTCTCAGGCACAAAGTGAGACTCCGCCATGCAAAACCCATTTCGAACAGGGCGGTTATACAAGTTTTGGAGGCTTCAAAAGTCTTTGAAATGACGACATCATCCTCCGAAAGAAATTTAGAGAACCTTTTCCGAATGCGAGCACAGAAACCTTTCGTTAGTTTAGTTAAACAAGCTCAACAAAAAACCAAACATTAACCAGTCATGCGAACTTCCCATTAGGAAACACCAACAATCACTCCAAGCAACTGGACGCCCGTTTGTGGCTTCTCTCTCCAAGTAGTTGGAGGCCCTTTGTGGACAGCAGCGAACGATATATTCGGCAGCCCCTGATATTGAAAGAGAAACAATCAGCGGACCCCCTACAAAGGCTTCTCCATGACATGCTCCCTTCATTTATCTACAGATGGGATCAACTAGCAAGCCCTTCTGGCTCCTGATTGCCAATACCCCCCTCCCAACTTCGGAATTCTCCCGAGTGCATTGCATCAGTTCCAGCGCTGGAGTATCTCTCACAACTTCCCCAAGCGTGACTGGTCGAATCGAAGGAACCAGCTGTCCCGAGCTACCAGGAATTTACGACTGGGGGGTCGACATGATTCCCTGAAAAAATGGAACCCTGAACATCTCGGCGGGGACACCGCGGGGACGCCCGGCTGGGGTATGCTCAAAAGGCAGGTCGGAAAGTCCTCTGGAATTCCCCTCAAAAAAATCAAGTTCTCAGCAAAACACGGCGCTCCCGCAACATGCCCAGAGCCTTTGCTCAATTAGTCCATGAATTTGGCTACAAATTTATTTGGAGTGCTTGGTGGACATGAATCTCCAAAACGTCATGGCCACTCAACCAAAAATCGATGCCTGTCAAGAAAAAACAGATCCTCATGTTGACTTCGTTTGGAGACCTATCAAACAACATGGCACGCCCAAAAAAACGATTCGAGCCCTCGACACCAGAGGTCCGGCCAGTCCAGCCGAATCCTTCGCGCCTCGTCCCTGGGGATGTGCCGCACATGGTCCAGGATGGCGCTGTAGTGCCACTGGTTGTCCTCCAGCCCCAAGCCACCTCGGGCGACCCGGGTGAGTCGTCTGTCGTCTTTTTGAGTTGCTACCCCCCTTTTTTGGGCTTGTTGGAAAGAAGCCAAAAGGAGACCTAAATGATTCTTTTTGGGGTTCGCCCCATTCTTGACACTAACCCACGGAATCTGAAAAGGACCGGCTTTGAGATTTGCACGTTTGTTTTAGGGAGGGTGGTTTATAGCCATGAGCTGACCTGACACCCGCTAGGGTTCTGTTCGACTGTTTTCACTTCATGCGCAAGGCAGAAAACCGAGGAAAGTAGTGGTAATATGACCGGGATCTAGCTCTGATTGGACCAACAAAATGTGTGCACGCCTCACTCACATCATGCATAGCGGCCAGGCGACAGCTAGTGCATGGACAAAGCATGGTTAATAAGATCAAAACCAGCCAACAAAAGTCGTCCCTCTTGTCGAGCCAGAGGACCCACCACCAAACCAATTCCCCCTTCACTGGGGTCAGGCCTCACTGCAGGGTCGGTCTACTACAAAAGCCCCAAAACAGGTAGATTCCTCTGAATTTTGCCTTTGGTTCCCTGAAAAGCAAACACACCCACAGGGTTGCTCCTTTCGACCTGATCCGGAAAAGGGAAGTACGGAGAAACCCTCTTTGACACTCGAAGCGGGTTCCCTCACAAGGCATCCCCCAGTAGTTGCAGTGGCTGACTTACACGAGTTATCCAAATCACAGAGTTCCATATATGTCCCCTGTAAGTATCATCCAAACAAAATGATAACTCACATGGGATTGACCCGAAAGGTGCTGCTGAAAACCAGCCAAATGCGGAAGAATGTAGGGGTAATGTAGGAACCCTAAATCTGGTAAACATGGTGTTCAATTGGCCATGTTCCTTCTAGCAACTCTAAAGGGATTCGTAAAATCGCCTCCAGCCCAATCTTCCACTTGATTTGCGGCACCTGCATCAATGACAAGGGTATGTGTTCAAAATCGCGCATCTGCCAAACCGGAACTTGGTTTTCCTTTTGCTGCATCCCCGAACAGGAATCATGACAATAGTTATTAAGGTTCCTTTCCCATGTGGATGACCATCCCTGTTAACCCGACGTAAAGGAACCGGTCTTTTGGCTATGGCACATATACCTTCATCTGCTTAAGTCTCCTGGAAAAACTCAAAACCCTTCGTTCGTAGATTCTTCCACACCAGCAGGGAGAAAATCAAGCATACACTACTAAGCAACTGGACGTATCTCAGGCCACGCCTTCCTTCCGCCGCCCACCGCCCGCCGCTCCCGAGGCGCCAAGGATGCCGTGGATGGTGCGGATCACCATGGAGGCGGAGTCCCGCGGCCAAATGCGGATGGTGGGGAAGATGGTCTGGAGGATCTGCAGGCACACCGGCTCCGTCCACCTGACGGGTGGAAATATTTTCTTTGTGGAAGGGTTTTTGCTTTGCTTTGTGTTTGCTCCTTACTTTCTTTGTGGAAGCTTCGGATGGGTTTTTGGGGGTTTGTTTTTTATCCGGACTTTCTTTGTGGAAGGGTTTTCTCTGTTTTGTTTTTGCTCTGAACCTGAGGGTTTGCACTTGGCTCAGGATTCTATGGACCCTTTTGTGAACCAGCCTTTTTTGCGTATCCTGAGGCGGCTCAGATTTGTTTATGGAAGCTGCCCTGGCCCGCACATCTTTTTTGCTTGTCTGAAACCTGAGGGTTTGCACTTGGTGTGGCCTCTTTCTTTTATGGACCCAAATGGGCCCGCACATGTTGCTGTTGTGGTTGCTGGTTGTTTTTTCCTGAGATTGAGAGTTTGCAGGGGGCGCCCTAGTGTTGAGCCACAGCCACCTCAACTAGAAAGCTCACATTGGTTGTCCGCCCCCAAGGAAAAAACCAAGAAGGAGTTTAGAGGCACAAAAGTGGAACCAACAGAAAGGCACCCACAACAATGCAACAAGACCCCAAACAGGGAACAACACCATAAAGCAGGGAAACAAGATCCCACCATGGAAACTTGAAAAATATTGGAAAAGAAACCCGCTGCAGGGCACCTACCTCAGCTTTGGCCTTGTTCCAAACAAATGCGTGTGTGCGGTCCGTATTTCGTGAACCTCAACATACCTACCCTAGTAACACCAGACCCGCCAGCCCGGCGCTTGCTTTGGAGGGCGGTTTCAAAGCAAACCCTACATGATCAGATGACAATTTACATGCTTACGAGCAAACGTTCAAAGAAATGGAGGTGCGCAATGACCAGCCAAAGATTCACTTTTCATGGTCTACAATTCGAAAAAACCTGAAGTAAGAATTGGATGACCAGGTAAAGGACCTTAATGATGGGCTCGTTTTAACTCAGGCGAGCTCGTTATAAAATAGGCAGATGGATGGTTGACCCAGTAAGTTGCAAGTATTCGCAGAACAAGCTTCACAGTTCACACAACGATGTTCGACCCACCTAGTAGGTATTAGAGAGAAAGGATCTGTCATATGGGTAGGGAATCGCGCAGCACCACAAGTCATAGCCAGGTGGCAATAATCCAGATTGAAAGTGCGCCATGCCCTTCTTGCTAGTTCTCGGCAGGGAGTCAGGAAATGACCTTCCTTCAAAGGGATCCTCTGCCGAGTCGTTCCCAAAGAACCCTCAAATGAGAGTTCAGCCAAGCTGTTGAGGTATGAGGCTTGGGACCCATCAAGAAAGGAATGCTGATTTCAAGCTAAACGTGAAACACCATAATAACTTATTGTCCTGCAATCAGAGCTGCGAATCGCGAGGCGAAACAAGCTGAGCCACGAGTGCTAGCGAGGTGGCAAGAAGCCAGAGAACAAGCGAGCCATGCGCTTGCAAGTGAAATTAAATAGATGTCCCCTTCACAAGTTGCAACTAAGTGGCGGATTCCAATAAAACCGCCACTTGGCATGTCCGCAGAAGTGAAATTGAGAGACACCTGCCATACCCAAACCTGCCATACCCAAGCCACATGCGGAGGTTCTCCGTGTAGTCTGCGATGCGACTAATGTCCGTGCCGCTCACCGACACCACTCGCAAGGTGCGGCACCCCTCCTAGCGCGGGATCCATCGATCCAGTCGCAAACGCGCCCAAAACCGGCGCCCGCGACGGGGATTTATCCTGCCGGGTCCCCCGAAAATGTGGTTTGCTTTGTTGGTTTCCCTGCAAAACCGCCACAAACGGGGTGACCACAAGAAAAGGCGCACCCATATCAATGGGTCTGTCCTTGTTTTGCGGGAGACCCTTTTGGCTTCAAAGGGAAGCCAAAAGGACGCCAACGGTATTTGTATATATATATATATATGTGTATCCGCCGACATTGCTCGGCGTGTCGGATACTTACTAGAGGATAGAGGATAACCCCCCCCCCTAACCCCCCGCCCGCCCGACGTCTATTACGTAGGTTTTTGGGGGGGGGGGGGGGCTCCCCCACGTACCGCGCGGCAATTTGATGACGTTCCACTAAACGTAGTCTTCGGGGAGCCGGTGTCGCAAAACAGGGGTCCCAGGCTCGATTCCCCCTGCCGGCTTTTTTGCTGGCTTGGGCTTCCTGCATCCTTTTGCCGAAAATCTGGAAAAACTCAATGTTTTTGGACGTCCTCTTTGCGAAAACGCTGGAAAAACCGTGTTTTTTTTGCGGGAAATACATACATACATGCATGAATGCATGCATACATACATACATGCATGCATACATACATGCATACATGCATACATGCATTACATACATACCTACCTACCTACCTACCTACATACATACATTACATTACATTACATTACATTACATTACATTACATTACATTACATTACATTACATTACATTACATTACATTACATTACATTACATTACATTACATTACATACATACATACATTACATTACATTACATTACATTACATACATTACATTACATTACATTACATTACATTACATTACATTACATTACATTACATTACATTACATTACATTACATTACATTACATTACATTACATTACATTACATTACATTACATTACATTACATTACATTACATTACATTACATTACATTACATTACATTACATTACATTACATTACATTACATTACATTACATTACATTACATTACATACATTACATACATTACATACATACATACATACATACATACATACATACATACATACATACATACATACATTACATACATACATTACATACATACATACATACATACATACATACATACATACATACATACATACATACATACATACATACATACATACATACATACATACATACATACATACATACATACATTACATTACATTACATTACATTACATTACATTACATTACATTACATTACATTACATTACATTACATTACATTACATTACATTACATTACATTACATACATACATACATACATACATACATACATACATACATACATACATACATACATACATACATACATACATACATACATACATACATTACATACATACATACATTACATACATACATACATACATACATACATACATACATACATACATACATACATACATACATACATACATACATACATACATACATACATACATACATACATACATACATACATACATACATACATACATACATACATACATACATACATACATACATACATACATACATACATACATACATACATACATACATACATACATACATACATACATACATACATACATACATACATACATACATACATACATACATACATACATACATACATACATACATACATACATACATACATACATACATACATACATACATACATACATACATACATACATACATACATACATACATACATACATACATACATACATACATACATACATACATACATACATACATACATACATACATACATACATACATACATACATACATACATACATACATACATACATACATACATACATACATACATACATACATACATACATACATACATTACATACATACATTACATTACATTACATTACATTACATTACATTACATTACATACATTACATACATTACATTACATTACATTACATTACATTACATTACATTACATTACATTACATTACATTACATTACATTACATTACATTACATTACATTACATTACATTACATTACATTACATTACATTACATTACATTACTTACGTACTTACTTACTTACTTGCTTACATTACATACATACATACATACATACATACATACATACATACATACATACATACATGCATGCATACATACATACATACTTTGTACATGCATGCATACATACGAGAGAGGGAGATTGGGGAGAGAGAGGCTTGGGGGGATGGGGAGGATGGGAGCCGAGAGAGGGAGAGAGGACGACAGAACACACAAGGGAGACAAGGAAGAGAGGAAGAAGGAGAAAAGGGAGAGGACAATGTCGGCGGACTGAGCCGGAGGCTCTAAAGTATATATATGTATATGGTCAGCCCCCCATGAAATACCTTTCCTTTCTTCATAAAATGACGGCAAAAACACAGTGTTCTTGCGATATGTGTGTATTAATATATATATATATGTATAGATACTTCCCATCAGATTGACATGGAACCCAAACAAAAGTAGCCTGTAAGGTTCCTCTACAAATGAGGCTCTATTTTTTGGTGGGGTCCTTGTCCATCTGAGAAGTACCTCCCACAAAGAGACGACATTGGAAACTTCCGGAGATGCCCCTTTGGGACCCTGTATCAAGCCCCGGTTTGGGCTACCTTAGAAAACCAACTCTTCGAACCTGCCATTTGGAGGGGTGCTGGTGTCCGGTGTCTACAGCCCTCTGCACTTCCAGCTTCTCTTCCCGCAGCTTTTGGCCCCAGCCGAAAGAACTCAGATGCCTTCTGGTCTGTCAGAGGCGAAGCTTCAAATCTGTCCTCAGATCCCCCCGCGAAAAGTAAACCCTTCGCGGGGTCAAATGGAAATCCCCACTACACACTAAAAGGCCAAAAAGCTAAGGAACCGGATGGATGGGCGCCAAGAAATGAAGACGTCCAACAGGTTTTTGCTTGTGGAAGGGTATACCCCCTTCTGAATGATCCTTTTCAGCCGCAAGGAAACCCGGAACGTGTCTTCGGGCCAAAGGATCTGGCTGCCACTCGAAATGGGCGGCTTTCAGGGCGTTGGGAATTCAGCGAAATAGCAGGGCCTAGCTTTGCTCACTTTCGGATTGGCAAGCAAAAAGGCCAGGAACTTTGTATTTGACACTAAAATGGTCCAAACCCAACAAAAAGTAACTACTCTTAGGCAGAACGGGTGGTTCCAGACCCGCATTGTCCGGTCTCCATGGGCAGTTGACAAAGCTCCCCCCCTTTTTGGCGCTTTCAAAAGATCAATTTGCTTTGGGCAAGGGAGAGATCATGACTGGTAGCTGGGTGTGCGATTCTTTCGGGTAACATCTTGTGACCTGCCTGTGGCTTAAAATTCCAAGTTCCTCCTCGGTTCAGAGTCCCAAAACACAATTTAGGGGCGAACGTACTTGGGTGTTCAACCAACTCAGTAAGTGGTTCTAACCATGGTTCTGACTGGTGCAACTCGGTTGAGTCTTCCTACCATGTCCTTCCCGAACTCCTGGTAGCTTCTCAGCTCCCTCTTTAAAGGCAACTTTTGGATAAGCTCCAGAACGGCTCCCTTCCCACCAGCTAGCTAAGTTGCTTGAGCATCCGACACCCGCCACTTCCCCCGAGCCCACTCGGTCCGTCCAACCGCGCCACAGCCCGCCGCTGCTGCAGCGCTTCACGTTGAACTCCAGCCACCGCCTGGCTGCGCAGTGTCGGTGTTTGAACAAAGGAGGACGAAACAAATTCCCCACATCTTGGCTGTCTAAACTGATCCCCTGCTAAAAGCTTAACTGTTAGTGGGTTAAATGGAAACCCCCAGTTTAGCTTTTAAGTACTCCACCACTCCGTTCTTGTGACTTAGGCCTTCACGGTAGGGAGGGTGGGGGGAACAGGCAGGGAACAAATCATGTGCCAGAACTCAGACCTCCACTCGCCATGGAAAAAAAAAAAGGCCATCCCCGATGCTATTTATAGACCTCTACCGGAATAGAGACTGCAAGATTCCGACTTGAGCCACGGAAGGGCTTGCGACCATCTCTGGCAACTCCAAAAAGCCGCGCTTGGTTTCAGAAACAACCAAGGCTCAAGGCCACTTCACTTCATGTTTGGGGAAACAAGTCCTGACTGTTCTCCTAACTCGTGGTGACCCCGACTCGTGACCCCTCCTTGCCTCTGTTGCAGCGGCGGCAAATGCCGGATGGACACCTCCATGGAAAGAATGGCCAACCAGTCACCACAATTTAGTAGACCGTTCTAGTGGTGGTTGGGCCCCAAACCCACCAAGATACTGTGGATGGACGAAATCCTGCACCACCAAGAAGTCCTGGAATGGTCTGATTCCCTGTAAATACCAACAAAGAGTGGTTTCCCCATCCACAGTAGCATTTGATAGACAGTACCTGGAAGATCGAACTTCTTCTGACCCTCTGTCAGACGCCATGTTAGTGGGAGGGCAGCCAGGCACCAGCCGTCACAAGTTCGAAGACTGTTTTAGTGGCGGATCCCGTGTCATCCGCTGGCGGGGGCAGATGCCAAACGGTACTTGTTCTTTTAAACTGGCCCATGAAAAAAAAAAGAAAAAACAGAAGCCCCCGGCAACCAGCTACCATCGTACACCTGCTTTAGCATAGGTTGAAGAAAGGGGCCCTACCTGATGGCTGCTTCGTTCTCAAGGGTAGCAACCAACTTTCTCTTTTGCAGCCCCCTGAACAGAACCAACAAAAACCAGAAGAGACAAATCTCACAAAAAGTAAAAATAAAAGGAGGGGAAAAAACAAGAAAAAACACACACACACCAAAAAAAAACACGTGAAGGGAGTGAAGCTCTTGAATCAAAGTCCAGAGGTTTTCCCTGCCTCCAAATGGGGGAACAACAGCTTCAGCAGCTGCGGCAAGTTGTTCTTCTCGCTGGGGGTGATGTAGGCCCTGAGCATCCAGCATCGATCCCAGCCGTGTTATTTTTTGTGTTTTTGTTCTTTTTGTTTTTCCGTTTTGTTTCTTCCTTTTTTCGCGGCTTTCAATGCACGACTCTTGACCTGTGACCGCCTGATCCCAAAAGCAATCCTGCCACAGGCCCCATTTTGCGCTCGGTCTGTTTTGCAGTGGCTCCCACGACTCTCTGTAAAAATATCGGGACCGATGCTTTTTGCTTCTTCGTCAAGAGCCCGAAGGCTGGGGCTGGATCCAAACGGCTTCAAGATGTTTGCTTCAAGCCATCAAACAATGGGCACTTTGGGAAAAGTAATACCAAACTGACAAAGTCGGAGAACAGCGCTCGCCCGCCTGCCAAACCCAGCCACCTCGCTCCTGCTTCCCATCCCCTCTCCCCTCCCTCTGCGCCTCACCTCACTCACTTCATCTTGTTCACTACCTTATATGGGTGTGTATTCTCTGTTGAGGCTACTCGTTTCTGAGCGGTTCAAAGAAAACTACCAGGAAGACCATGGGTCCCCCCATTTTGAAACCTACCCACATCGCTCCTCTCACTCACCTCCCCTCCTCCCCCAGACTTCCCCTGCGTCCCTCGCTGACTTGCAGCTTAAACAAAGCAGCCGATGTCCAGAGAAACGGTTCCTTTGGGTGATCGAACTCCAGGGACCCACCCATGAGGGCCATGCCTTTGACTACTTCTCCTTGGAGGCCTCCCTTGGTATCACTTTCCCCACCTTCCCCATGGGTGTTGGGGCCCGAGTCCGTTCCTTCCATCCGGGGCGCAGCATGGAGAGCAAGGCATAGTCCACCAGCTGCAGAGAGTGCCAAGTGTGCCCGCAGACCGCGTAGTGCCCGTGCCCGTGGCCGCCCGACACGTTGGTCAGCACCTTGTCCAAGTCCTGATCTGCGCCTGACGCGAACCAACCCCAAGTGCATCAGATCTGACACGCTGAACGCGGCTTGCTTTTGGGCCTTTTCCTTCTTCTTCTTCCTCTTCTTCCTTTTCTTCCTCTTCTTCCTCTTCTTCCTCTTCTTCCTCTTCTTCCTCTTCTTCCTCTTCTTCCTCTTCTTCCTCTTCTTCCTCTTCTTCCTCTTCTTCCTCTTCTTCCTCTTCTTCCTCTTCTTCCTCTTCTTCCTCTTCTTCCTCTTCTTCGTCGACGTCGTCGTCTTCTTCTGCTTCTACTTCTTCTTTCTTCTTCTTCTTCTTCTTCGTCTTCTTCTTCTTCTTCGTCTCCTTCTTCCTCCCCTCCCCCCCACCTTCAAAAAAGTTCGCTGCGCCGAACACTGTGCGCCAATCGCAAGAGCAAAAGCCCGACTAGTTGGAATATCCAAGAAGCACAAGGGCCAAGCAACGCAAACAAAACACGCAACTGATTCACTCCAAACATCATTCCCAGCGTACCTACACCTGGTCTGACCAATCTCATTCGGCTTGGGCGTCCCCCTGAGCAAACTAAACCTAACGTTTTGGAGGTTCAAAATAGAACGTCTAACAGATTCCAAAACATTTGAGAAGTGCCTTCATTTTCCATCTTGCTTGGGAACGTGGCAGCACATCATTGGAATCTACCAACCTGCAACTTGCAAGGCGGAAAAATGTGACCCCTCATGCTGAACAGTTCTGGCGGTTGCATGAGAAAAAGAGCCTGCGCAAGCACTGCGATCGAGTGGGCGGTTTTTCTTGCGCAAGTGCGGCCGCTGTGCTGAAAACATCGCGCGTACCGTGTTTTTTCTGCATTTTTCCGCCGGTTTCTGTGGGGCTGGGACGTGCATTTTTTGGTCTGATTGGCTTTCAGTGTGAGACACGCGCGGCGCGCGCCGGACGCAAGCGCCGGACGCAAGCAGGCACACGTGCGATCAAGCTAGGGTGGGTGAGCGCATGCTCAGGGGGGTTGGGCAAGCAACCTTGCAGCCTCTTGTGCGTGTGGGTTCGCAGCAAGCGCGTGATTGGGTGGTCCGGAGGTCAGGCTCTGAAAAAACGTCCCGCCTAAACAGAGTTCTTCTTAGTGCTCCCCATCTCACCTGTCCGACCGGCCAGCGCAGCTGGTGATGGTGAAGCCCTCGGATAGTTGTAGTCACAGGTGTCCTTGTGGGAAATCAATGGGTGTCCCTGAAGCCAGTCTAAACCAGTGGCTTGCCCATCTATTTCTATCCAAAACCGATCAACAGGACACCTATCTAGTCTAGGTCCTCCAGTAGAGAGGTTAGAATAAGGCTACCAACTTTTTTCTGTAGTCTATGTTAGTAGGGGAAGCCTCCCAACCAAAAAAGAAACGGTTAAGAAGGGCACCAATTGCTGGGGGACCAATTGCTGTGCTCGTGGCCTCCCCCATTCGAATTCCCCAAAGTCCGCTGGCCTTGCGGCAGATCCGAGCCCAGGGTCATGACCTGGGCGAACCGGGAAAGTAGCGGGGCAAAGGAGGGGGTACCTCGCTCCAACGTCGCGCCGGTGGGATATGGTACCTGGAAGATCAGCTTCCTCAATACAGAGACCCCCTGTCAGGTGCCATGTATGGAAGGGAGGGTACCTAGAAGATCAGTCTCCGCTGAAAGAGCCTCCCTGTCAGGTGGTATGTGAGTGAGAGGGAGGGGCTGTAAAAATTGGGACATCGGGAAAATGAGGAGGGTGGTAAATGGGGATCTCAAAAACCCAAGAAATTCGGGAAGCGGTTTCTGACTTGGAATACCGCCAGAAACACAAAATAATGATGCCGGCAAATTGCGGGGGGGGGGGGAAGGGGGGTTCTGAAAAACGAACAAACCGGGAAAATGGGTTCCGGAAAAAAGAAAAAATATATCCAGAAATCCTCCATTGCGCGTTCTTGTTTTGCGAAGATCAACGATGGGTTTGTTATTTCCATCTGCTGAAGCTGTCACATGGTGCATTCCTGCATTGCGCTCTAGCAAGTTCATGACCAACCCCCTCCCAGCGGAAGCAACCAGGTGTTTTCACCTCAACCCCCGACCCAAGCCTCCCACTTCAAAACTCCACGTTCATGAGTGAGGTGCATGCATTGGACTTGACCTAAGGGGGGGCGTTCAGGAAGGTTTGATCAATCAGGAGGGTCACAGAACTGCAGAAAAAGACGGCAAAAGATCAATGTACTGGTGAAACTGCTGTTGGCCGATTCTTCATCCGGGCTTCCATCTAGCAGTGCCCTAAGAGTCCCAATTGGGGTAAAATGGGTATACTGGGTATGGCTCGAACTTGGGCCAAAGCCAATTTCTGGGCATTCGCCCGAATCTATTGCGTCCGAAGGACGGATGCCCCCGCATTGGTGATCTCTATGGTCTTGCTGTCGCCGGACACCTGCGAACGGCAGAGCTGTCATCCCGCCGGAAACACCCCGAGTCGGGTGGTCCCACCAATGTCAATGGAGGAGGCCAACGCGCTTTCGGAAGGCAAACAAAATCCCTTCGGCACAAGACAACAAGCGCCTGAATGCCGCCTTGGTTCCTGATGGTTCCTGGAAGCCCCAAAAACGCAAGCCGCAAACCGCTCCCATCCCATGGAAGGAACCCGCCTCCACGACTCGCCCTCCATTCGACCCCTCCCCCCTTGTGCAAGGAAAATCCAGCACCAGATTGGTTGGATACCCTGATGCATCCTATAGGAATAACCCCCCCAACCCCCGCCTTCCACCAAACCAAGTCCTCCAGGAAGAGGCCACTGCGCTCCTGCAGCCCGGCCATGAACACGCAGCTGGTCCTCGCTGGCCAAAGAGAGAAAGCGCCGGAATTGTTTTTGCTTGGACACAGGCACGTGCCAAAAAATGTGACACCCGCAGGCGTGTCCACACTGTGGATAAACGAATCCATTTCGCACCACTTTGAAACCATTGGACACCATTGTTTATTTTGCATTTACAGGGGGAATCACCAATTTCCAGGGTTTCTTAGGTGGTGCAGGATTTCGTCCATCCACAGTATTTGTCCCCTTTACGTCCCATGGTTCAGCTTTAAACATCAATCTGAACAAGGGGAAATCATGAAAAAGATGACGACGAAATGGTGATGTCGATGGAGACACAAAAGGACCCCTGTGGCAGCCACAGTTAAGTGATGAAATGGTCGGATCAAAATGTATCCAAAAGTCCAAACTACTGATTGCCCCCGAAACTGAATCGTTCCGCAACAAAAACAAGCAGTGGAAACGAACTCCTGGCATTTCATTCCGAGGGAATGGCCCAGACCGACCGAGCTGTGAAGGGGGTGGGTTACAGTACCTGGTGCTAGGTCTTATCAGTCCGAGCTATGGTAGGCTTGATGGAACAAGCGCGGAGAACTGTGAAGCTTGTTCTCCATGTACATACCGAATTCCTGGTAGCTCATTCGCTCCCTCTAAGGCCAAAATTTGGAGAGCCCCGGCTCCGTAACGGCTCCCTACCCACCAGCCAGTAGCTCCTTGGCTCCCTCCCTCTTTCGCGGCAAGTTTGGAGACCCCCAGACCCCCGAAGGCGAGTCATTTGCTAGGTCCTCCAGTAGAGAGGTTAGAACAAGGGTACCCTTTTTCCTGTAGCCTATTTTCGTAGGGGAACCCTCCCAACCAAAAAAGAAACGGTAAAAAAGGGCACCTAAGACCTAGTTTGCTCCCCCAGAAAGCGCCAGCCATCGCCATCGGCTCGTCCCTTCCAACTCTTAGCGAGCGGCAGGATGGCCAGGAAGGTGGCGCAGATCAGCAGCAGCACACGGATCGCCATGCGCCCCAGCCTCGCATAGGAGGTGGGTTGGGACGGGGGGGGGTTCTTAAATTGAGATAGGGCCCCAAAAAACCTCCGAACAAATCCAAAAACCAGAAAGATTGGAAGTTTGGAGGGGGGGTTCTTGAGATGATCCGCTGCCCTAGGGACCACCCCATCCAAACAAATCCGAACCTGTCAAAGAGGGCCGGTGGCTTGCAATAGAACCCCCCCCCCCCCCCCCCGAGCACCTCCAAACCAGCCCAAGATTGGAAGCTGACTTCATGAGGGTCCAAGCCTGTCCAAAGGCACCTATCCCTTGGCCATCCCAGATCCACAATGCGTGACTAAGGGGGCACATCAAACAGTGGCGAATTAAGAATCTCTCCAAGTTCAAGTCGACACTAAGCATGCACCTTACGAGCTTTGGAAGGAGAGTCTGAGACAAAAGAACACAAGTTGAAACTGTGTGGCCCAAAGCTTGACTTGCGTCCAGGGTTTGCCATGGACAGGTGTTCAAAGGGAAGTCGGATTGCCTGGTCGACTGCCAAAAACACATAAGCCAAATGTCCTCAGGCCTTCAGGAGGCCTTTCTCCAATTGCTCCCCTCTAGACACCAACTTGATGCATCTGGGGGCGGCTGACTTAAGAGGACACCAATCTGGACGGTATGTGCTCCATGTGGGGCACATGAGAAAACTTAACCTCTTCTGAAGGAATACTCCTCTGGCGCGGACAAGATTGTGTTTCCTCCTCTTATCACCCCCACCGACGGGAAACTGACTCTTTCCTCGAAGTTGAAATTCAATGCCGGTGGATCTCACACCGTGAATGCAGGAAACCTGCACGCACGAACCCTGGAATACTACGATCCCTTGCTTATTACCAACAAACCATGGTTTCAACCACGGCTTCTTAGTCAACTTGGGCAGTGCAACATGGATTTCGTCGGGACCTTTTGACGTTGACGGCCGTTTGATGGAGCCCCCCCCCACTGGCCCCGGCGGGTGGGGCGCCCGGCCTGCGCTCCACATGGTACGTGGTCTTCATGCTCTTATTCTTGTCCTCGGGTCCGGCAGATCGTTCTGCGGTTTCTTCCGCTGCAACTGGCGGACCCAGGTCCCTTTTTCGCGAGGGTACCTCTATTTTTACAGGCGGACCCCGACCCTTTTTTGAGGGTACCTCTGTTTCTTTTGCGGTTTTGAAGGGAAACCAAGAAGAAGACCCACCACTTTGGGAAACCCCTACAACAGACACACACCACCAGGCATTTCCAATTGTGCACCGAAAAGAACACGTGTTCGCGTCGGTGGGGCACGATGTTTGGAGCACCCTGCGGAAAACCACTGGGTTGGTGTCTCCCTGTTGTAGAAAATCAGAAACCGCCTGGATCAGCGGGGATTTGAGCCCCTCCAAATGTTTGGATCAGTTAGATCCATCTCGCCCCTCTGGACCGGCAAAAAAGTGAAACCTTCTGGGGGGTTCTCACCTACAGTTCGGGTCGCAAAATCATGGGCCCCTCTGAGTGGTGACCTCACATGAGTGGCCAGACTGGTGTCCGCGCTGCTTGGGTTGGGTTGCACGAAACTAACAAATCAAGCAACATCTAACGGCTCTCCTGAGAGTTGTTCCGCATGTTTTGCTCGAGTTGGCCTTTGCTCCGGCCGGACCAAAACTCGCAAACCGAAGTAGGTCGAAACGTCGACTTGCTTTGGACAACTGCGATAATCCTCGCCGGGATGACGAAGGAAAGAAACAAACAGGAGATCTGACCACGGCACGGTTGGAAACTGAGACAAGCACACGACCTCATACCCATCACGAAGATTCCAGGGCGCATGCACGCGTCGGGTTTTTGCTATGACAGAGTCTATCTCGGCCTCTATTTTCAGAGCCTCTGCTGTCCAGCAACTTAAAATTCCAGTGTGGATGTCAAAAGAATTTAACTGCGGCCTCTTGTGGGCCCAAAACTGGCCGAGTCAACGCTTGAATTGGGGTCCGGTGCCGCTCTTGAGTCAGGGCCCCGGAGAAAACTGTCCGCTCACAGCTCTTGCTCACGCGCCCTAGTGCCTAGTGGGCGTCGATCTTGTTCCACACCCCCGAGGGGAGGGCCACAAACTGATCCGCGAAGGCGTCCATCTTCCAGAGCCTGTCCCGCAGGTCGCTGATCTTTTGGATGGCATCGTTGATGTTGTCCACCAGGGACATGTAGTCCGCCTGGAGGCGAGCGTAAAGCCCAAAAAGCGCCCTTGCCGCCTGGCCCTTGTTCCATGTCAAACTCCAGGTTCCTTTCAAACCCCTCAGGGTACCCATCAGGTTGGTTGTTTAAGGGAAACCCCAGCGGAAACGATCCGTTGTGGGGCTCCCTAAGCTTGATGCTTGGCACAGCCCACATATGATTGGAAACACGTTCTTAGTCCGGAGTGCCGCTAAATCGACCCTATACTCCTTCCCAATATGGCTGGATCCCCCGTATCCAAATCCAATCCAAAGCAACCACCCATGTGTTTTTCCCGAAGGTATGTGTGCTATTTATCGGGTGGAACACCCCCCAAAACGGTGGGCGGAGTCCAATCGCCTGGTTTGGGGAACCCCAGCGACCCCAGCTATCTCGCTACTTCGACACCCAAGCAGCTGGGAAAAGGGAGCTGCACTCTGTTCTTGGCATGCAAGCCAGCGCCTGCAGCTGCTGGGCGTACTTGTTGTCATACTTCCTGTCCTCGGCCTTCAAAGTGAACTCCAGAGGCACCACCTAGCGGCCAAGGGCCCCAAGCAGTCGCCAAAAAGAACCGACAAGTCCACTCCGCTTGGACTTCGGCAAGACACAACTTGGCATATCTGCCACCAATGTACCCAGCCCCTTTGGCCATGGGGAAAACAGGGGCACTCCTTTTTAGGGTCCTTGAGTTTAAAGCGAACCCCCGCAAAAACGAAAGGCACCACTGGAGGTCTGGGTGCTGCTTACTTGACGAATCCGCCGCCTTCTCCTGGAGCAGGATGGTGTTGTTCGGCGCCTGACCCGAAAATGCGTCAAACAACCAGTACAAGGTCCAGGCCACCTTGAAAAGGCAACATGAGGGTCTCTTCAAACAAAATATGCTACTTAAACCATGGTTGAAAGAGGGGGGCGGCCGAGCCTGGCTAAAGACAGCTAGACCCTCTCCCCTTGAAGCTTAAATTGCAAAGGGAGACTCTTCAAACATAAGCCGCGGATTTGACATTACGGCACGATTATTACAACACTTTCAATTCCTGAAATAAAGCCGGCATCTCCAAATACGTACAGGGCCATCATGGCTTTCCCTCGTTTTGCCCCTTGGATCCGGATTGGGGTAGCTCGGAGCCCGCTCGAAGCCCGCGCCTGCCGAGGGAAGGGGAAGGTCCCGTTCCGGCGCCAGCGCTCGGGGTGCTCGCCGTGGGGCCCGTAGGGCGAGCTGGTGATGACGTTGCCCACGCCCCAGCGCTTCCGGTCCACGATGGTGTTGTAGTTCCACACCGCCTCCATCTCCTACGGATCGACGTGCAGCGTCGGTCTATTGGTGTTGCCCCCCCCCCAGTTTGGGGGCGGTTGAAAGGAAACCGAAGGGAATCTTGAAACCAAGCGTTTGGAGTTCCGAAGTTGTTGAGACAAGCCCAAAAAGGAATGCAACTAACCACTGTTGAGGGGGGTCCCCATTGAAATTCATGGCCACATGTCGTGCTCCCTTGAGGTGAAACCAGCTGGGCCACACAGAAACTCTCCACCCCAAACCTGGCCAGCAGCACAGGAAAGAAACCACAACAACAAACAAACAAACAAAAAAGGCAGACAGACCAACAAAAAGAATACGAAGCGAATCGCCTTGTTCATGTAGATGAGGATCTTGTTGACATACCGCGCCCGCGGCGGCAGGTCCTGACTCGTGGACCGCCGCCTCCTGCCATACGAGCGCGTCAGCTCTTCCTCCGCGGAAGTCCCGGAAGACGCTTCGGAGGCTGGCTCCTGGAGGGTCCCTGTCAAACAAACCCCACCAGTGGACAAGAAGACAACTACAGGCCATAGCCAGATTTCTCCCGGACAAAAACAGATATTGTATACCCCTTTTCATTTTGGGGGCAGGGAAGCGTTCTGGCAAAGCTGCTTCGTATGATGAATCGGCCACCGACATTGATCAAAGCACCCTTCTCAGGCCCTTTTTCTCGTGGGTGTCTCAAAAAAGGGGCACTTTTTTGGATGGGTTTTAAAAGGAAACCAAAAGGAAACCAACCTAAAGGAGTTGGAATTGGTGGAGGAGTTGAACCCCACTTTTGAGAAACACCCCCCTGATTCCAATTCCAGTCCCTGCCTCCAGCCGCCGGCTGCTGGTGCGGTTCCAAACGATCTCGGAGCCGGTGGCATTGGCAATCTGCGACCAAATGGGTCCGGCTTGTCGATTTTTGAAAGAAAACCCCTGGTCTGGTTGGTTTTTCTCAGATGCCCAGTGGATTTCTCCGTGGGAAAAGGAAGGGGCATACCTTGGTTGGTTGGTTGGCTGACTTTCAAGGAATCGGAACCCTTCCCCAAAAAAGGGAAAACCACTGGGCAACTGAGTTTTAAAGGGAAGCCAAAAGCAAACCACACCCATTTGGAGACAAACCCCCAAATCGAGAAGCTTCTCTCCAAACATCTTAGCTCAGAACTCATTGATTGCTGCAGGTGTCCTGAAATCAAAGTGTTTTCAAAACGGGGGCATCTCAAAAAAACGAGATGGGTTCCTTTGGTTCCCCTTTAAGCGTCATTTCAAAGAGGTTTCGTCAGTAAGACGTCCAGTTGAGTGAGTAAGACAAAAAAAGATGCACACCCCTGAGCCTGGTATTAGAATGGTCTACCCACATCCACGCAGCGAAATAGAAAGGCGGCTGCAGCTTTTGGCTGCGACTGTCCCTTTCAGACCTAAACAGCTACCGGGTTTTGGCTTCCCCTGACCTTCTGCATGGTGTAGTTCACATAGGAGTCCAGAATGGTAAGTACTTGGTACTCCTGCACGATGGGAGTCTGCAGAGGCTGCAGCAGCTTCTTGAAGTGGTTCTTCTCGCTGGTGCTGATGTCTTTCAGCCACCTGCGTTCATTCCCGAATGGGTTCCATTGGGTGGCCACTCTCTGCGGGTTCGATGGAAAAAGAAACCCATTTCATGCCTTCATCTAAGGAGCCCTTGGGCAGTCTATCGTGGTTTGGAGAGGCAAAAACAGAGCCACGGCACGAAACAAAGCACCAAAACGGTTCTTTTTTGGGGCTCCAGTGATTTGGAGAGAGCCAAGAAAGTTTTGGGCTCCAGTGATTTGGAGAGCCAAGAATAGACATGAAACCAAGCACCAAGGACTCACGGCTCTTTTGAGACAACACCCCACCTCTCTTCCCTCACCGGAGTCTCCTCCGCGAAGGGATCCTCTCCCCGCAGCGCCCCTCGGGTGGATGATCCCCATGGCTTTACCACTTTCAAGGCGACTCCACCGGCATCATGGTACTGTGGATCGACGAAATTTTACAATTTGTTGGTATTTACAGGAGAATCATCATTCCAGGGTTTCTTAAGTGGTGCAGGATTTTGTCCGTCCACAATATTTCTTTGAAGGGGCTGCCTGCGCATGACCCTAAACCCTAAACTGCATCTCCAAAAACACCCGGAAGGTCTGCAGGAAGCTGGACCAAGGCCCTGGGTTTGGGTGTTTGCCCTTCCTGCAGAATCTTGGCTGCAGATCCCCCGCTCAAAGCTTAACTTGGGGTGGGTTCAATGGACATCCCTAACCTGGGAACCGCCAAAAGCATGTCCTGAGTCCCCGAGTCGCGCAGGCGGCCACCGAAAAAAAGGCCAGCCGCGCCTCGCCCGAAGGGCTCCGCATCGAAGAGCGCCGGTTCCGCCAGCGCCAGGGCCAGGGAGGTCAGCGACACCCCAAGCGCCAACATGCCGCCGGGGGCCGGGGGGGCGGGAGGAGGGTCGTCCGGCGCGGAGAGCGGAGAGGGCCAAAACGGCTTGAGCCATTTGAAGACCGCGGCATATGAGTATATAGCTGACTCCAGCAATGGCAATGTGTGTGTGTGTGCGCACGTGTGTTTGGATTCAATTTAAAACCACCCCCTAAAGGAACTACACGCTTATACGGGATTGATTCAACGGATGGGACTTATCTAGGGCTGATCTTGAGGGTGCCCACCCAACAGATATAATGACCGATTCCTCGTTTTTGTTGAGAAGGAGGCCCCACCTCAAGCGCAAATTCAAACAGTAAGACTTGCGGCTGTAGTGTCTCGTCCGTCACGGCTGACATGCTAGAAACAGCTCGCCCCGTTCACTTCGCTTTCTCGCTACCTGAATGGAATGGCCTGTCAGGGTCAGCGTTATTCACTCATGTCTGCCAGAATTCTTCCAATGGCAGAAACAAGTTACTACGCCTACTGCGCCTGTTCAGAAACATATTCTAGAGAAACACAGCTGAGGTCAGTCACCCCCCCCCCGCAAAGGGGAGAGCCCCAAGCCCAAAACAAAAAATCTGTCCGCGGCGCGGGGTTCACGGCGAACTTCACCTCCACCTCCCGGGCCGGCGCCGTGCCGCCTGGGCCAAACCGGCTCCTTTCCAAGAAATCACCCCACACGAGAAGAAAGGGGGTGACCGGGGGGGCGAGGGGGGAGGGGGGCCTGGTGTTCATGGTGTGGGGGGGGGGGGGGGTGGCCCCGGGGGGGGGGGGGGAAAGGAAAGCACTGGAAAACCCTGGGAAAATCTCGGGGAAACCACCCATCTTGGCACGTCCCAAAGAAGCCCAGACCCAACAGGTACGGCTTGCTCACATTTGGCGACCGGGCTTGGGTGGGAACCATGTGCGAACTCGGCTTGGTTGCCCCGCAGTCGCAAGAAAGTTGGCGCTTTGGAGGAAACAAAGGAGATCCCTTTGAAGAGGGCTTTTAGAGAAATACAGGGGATCCCTGGTCCTTTGAAGATTCTTGGAGGAAATGGAATCGCTGGCAACTGGCTTCCAAACCACACCTCGGGGCTATCAACACGCGGCTGTGGCTGCTTTGTTGTTGGTACCCTTTTCAGCCCGCTCAGCCTTTCGGGGAAGCCAACGCATGACGCTACCATGTTTGGGCCCACGGACACATTCCCCTATGGGACATTGTGTCCAGAATTGAAGGGGAAAAAAAGACCTGCCCGATTCAGACTTGGTCGATGCGGCATGCGAAAGGATTTGGATCTGCCGCCATGTTCAAAAAAGAGGGCAAATGTGAGATGCTGCTCAGTTTGTTGCTCCCGAAAGTGTTAAGCTCCTTCGTTTTCCCAAATAGAGACACCTCTTTGGCCACGCAACAATGGTTTGGGGGGGGGTGCATGGGATCAGGAGTTTATTAACCTTACGACTCCCCTCCCTAGAAAAGCATGTTCTTTGAATGGCAAGGGCGTTGAAAATGCAAGCAATGGACATTGTTAAGAAGGAATGAAAAAACTGGGCGCTCCCCCTGGTTTCTTTTGTGGACACTTCTGTACTGGGTGGTCAAACCAACATACGGCGTGTCAGTTTGTCCCTTGCACATAAACTAGATATGCCCAAACTAAGCGACTCCCCGCCCCAGGCAAGCTCCTTCAGAAGAATCTATGTAATATGTGCGTCTCTGTGTGTGCTTAAATGTTTATATATACTATATCCAATACATATATATATATATATATGTATATATATATATACATACGTGTGGGCGCGCTTTTCTTTGAGGGTCCTCCTTTTTCGGTGGTTTTACAGGAAAGGCAAAAGGAATCCACTCTTTTATTTTCGCCTTTTTGTTTAAGGGAGGGGGGAACGGGCCGTTCCGTCGCAGCAAAAAGCTCGCGCCGCGGTGCTGGGCAATGCCCAGATCTGCAGCAGCCGCGCGCAGTACCCGAAGACCCGCAGGAAGTTCCGCAGGAGATGCAGCCAGGTGAGGGAGATCAGCAGCGCGTGGTCTGAGGGTTGCCGATGTCCATGTCGCACCGAAATAAGAACCCCAGCGGAATGATATGGATTCCACTGTAAATACCAATGGTTTCAAGCCATGGTTTCAAAGTGGTGGCGGTAGGTGCCCTTTTTGCTTGCTTGACAAATGGCCCTGGATGAATGAGGGCCATCTATTTTCAACCAAACCAACTAACAAGGACACCTATGGTGGTCTGGTTTTCGACCTCAGGGACGGACGCTGGTCAAGGTGTGAGGTGAGGTCAGTCTGGGGATTATCATCATCTTTAAGAAGCGGTTGATCAAGCAGGAGAGAGGCAGATGGAATTTCCTGAATGAGAACTCAAATGAAACCAGTCCATGGTTAGAGCTCCTTTGAACACCTCCCATGAAACCCAGGTTGAAAAACGGCCATGGGTTGTTGAAACGAAGGATGGTCGCTTAAAGAATGGGTTGGACTCAAGACCTAGACCGTGAGCCTCGCCCAAGATTTTCCGAAGCCAGCCTCGGTCCACCCAGGCGCACAGCAAGCAGGCAAACGCGAGGCAGGCGATTGGCGGTGCTGTGAGGAAGCCCACCATCCCCAGCGAGGAGTTGACGAGCCCAAACCTAGGTGTGTGACTTTCTTTGGGTGGAGTGGGGTCGGGTGGGGTGGGATGGGGTGGGTGGGGTGGGGTAGAGGTACCATCCCAGAGAAACATGGCACCATAGAGAGGGTCACTCTAGGAAATTCATCTTCCAGGTTTCCTCCCACAAATGCGATGGTGGGAGGAAGGGTACCCGTTTCCGGTTGTTAAAGGGAAACCGAAAGGACAACCACCATTTTCATTTTGAGGGTCCCCAGTTTGACACCATTTGGCTGTGTCTAACTAGGGAACCCAACAAATTGTGGCTTGCCCCCTTTGCACCCATCCAAACGTGTGGAAGAGACAATGCCTGCTGGTGGATGGTTTCCTTTGGGTTTACCCTTAAGCCAACCAAAAAGGGGTCTCCCCCTGCAGTTGCGGTACCCGACTTGCTTGGATTGGCAGTTTGGTCTATACCCTATGATTCTCCCTAGATTCCCAAGCAGCTTGGACATGTTCTTTTTTTTCAAAGGAAGATCACAAGAGGAACATACCCTCTATTCAGGGGGTGTCCCCTTTTAGGGGGAGGTTCATAACTTTTGGAGTCCACATTCCCTTGAAAACCTTTTGGTGGACATGCGGAGCCACGAGGCTCCCCATTGAAATCCATGGCCAGCATGTGCTTCTTTGTATTGAAAGCCTCAAAATGAGTCGTTTCCTTTTGGTGTCCCCTTAAACCGGCCCAAACCAGGCACCCTCTGCAAAAGATATTAAACAACGACTCCCAGCCAAACCTCCAAGAGGTGTCCGAACGGGGCCCGGCATGAGCCCCATCCTTTTTCGCCAAGAAATCGGCAAATCGGCGTCCACCTGGCTTTCTGTGGGAACTTTGGGAAATCGTTGACGACTACCGATACCGGTGTCTGCGGAGCTTGCAAATAAGCTCGCACTTGCGAAGACGACTTGCGAGTGTCGGCTGCTCGACCCATCGACCCCGCGCATGTTGCGCTTCCTTGCGCTGGTCCCGTCCCCAGCTCTCTGAGGTTGGCACATGGAGACCCCAACGAAGGTGGCCTCAGGAGACACCCCCGCAAGGCAAAGGGAGGTTGCCCAAAGGCTTTGAGATTCAACGAATGGTTCAATCGCGCTTTTGACATGCTTGTTTTGCAATTCAAGTACAACCAGGTTCATATAGGCAGGTGTGTCCAGTGAATTAAAGTAACTAGGTTCAAATAGCGCCATATTTATACAGATTTAATCATAGTCTTTTCGGACGCATTCGAGGCCCTCTTTTTCTTCTTAGCTAGTGGAGGGCTCCTGGATTCCTGTGGAGTCCATGGACCGGGCCTGTCTGGCCAGATCTCAGAAAAGAGCCCTGAGTGCCTCCCCTTTCTGCCACCCATGAAAACCTGAGCAAGCATCCAATCCAATCCAAACCCTAAAGCTTGCACAAACCCTAACGCTTGCAAGTGAGGAACCTGGAGTCTGAACGCTATGGTTGGTTTGCTGTCTCCAAAACCGGCAACGCCCATCCGCCAGTACATGGGTGACTCATGTCCCAATGATCCCCAGGAATTGCAAGCACAATACACAGGTTTGCCGAGTGAAGCATAGAACCCAACCCCACAACCCCAGGGTCTGCCTAGCTTGCCATCATGATGTAGACTCTGCACGTGTGCTGCATTGGACTTTCTGTAGTTCAGAACCGGCAATGGGAATCCGCAAGTAAGGAACCTTGGTCATGGAATCCGGATCAGTGAGCAGGTTCTAATTTGTGCAGATTGGGCTTTCATGGGTCAAAGCAATATACCACCCTAGGATTGCTAGCAGCAAGTGTTCATGGTCAGAATGAGTTTGCTGCCGGGAACAGAGCGAAAAAGGGGCTCAGAAACCAAAACGCGAGCACAATGAGCCAGTGACAGGGTGACGATGCTGCTGCGTATGTTGCATCGTGTTTTGGACAACAAGGACTCTGCCCTGCTTGAGTTGCCGTTGGGACATAAAAGCGGCCAAACGGGTAATCCATGGTGGGAATGTCACAAACTGCTACCCCCCCCCCTGCCCCGTTTGGTGAAGATGAGGATTTGCCGCCCCAACATTGGCACTAGGGTTTCATGCTGACATGCCCATGTGATGTATACACGGTCGAACCTCCTTCTATGTGTATGGTCGTGCCTCCCGCAAAAGGATCCTTGCAATGCTTGTCCAAATTCCATTGTAACTTAGCCTAGGTCCTACGGTAGTTCAAAGCGCAACAACAACAAAAAATGCCATCTCACATCCGAGCCCAAACTGACTTGAAAACCCCCCATGTGCCCTCTTTTGCGTAAAGCTACCTTCCAACAATGCATGGAAGCTTCCAAAAAGGTCTTGGAAGCTTCCAAAAAGGTCTTGGAAGACACCGGCCCACTTCTGGTCCACTTCCAGGATTCTTGGGCTTCGGGGCAACCAGCAAGCACAGCTATATACACGACGGCGTGTTTTGTTTGTTTCTTCGCCAACTTTCTCGTGCAATCCCAGTGGCCGTCCACACGAAGCAAAGCAACATGGGGTACAAGAAGCTGATGGTGATCAGGTCCTGCGAGTCTTTCAAAGGAAACCAAACGGAAAAACCCGAGAAAATGATTTTGGGGGGCTCCGAATCCCAGTTTCACATTGCCCAAATCCCAGAGCACTGGAGACAAAAGGTCGTCCTCTTGGATCCCCACACTCAAAGGGCTTGGGGAAGATGGTTGAGCCCTCTATTACGTTCGAAGATTTCCCTACCGAACAAATGTGCAGAGAAGGGCTCCGTAAAAGTGCGGGTCCCCTCATGCATTCCTTAGGTGGACGAACTGCTTCAAGACCGCCTCGGTGTCCAACCAGTTGAAAAGTGGCCGACCCCGGCCGTTGTTGGGGATGTGTTGCTCTCAGCACTAGAAATCCTCATCAGTATTGTCCGAGAAAAAGAAGAAAAAACACCTTGTACGTGATCTGGATGAATTATATCAAAGCAGTTCACCAAGCTGAACAAAAACAGACCCCCCAGATTAAAAAAAAAAAAAAACTTGATCGTGGGTAAGGTTCTAAACCACCCCTTTGTAAGGTCGCTATTATCTGCCCAGAATGCGAACTCCTCGACTCTCAAGCGGAATGTTCCTACAGAAGGGTTGCGACCTCGGTTTCGTTTCTCGGCAATCTGGTACCGCGCACTCCAGGCATCCTTTTCTGGTAATGCCCAGAACCAAACTCGACCAGTGCCATCTGTGATCAACCAAAGTCACCTCAAAGCACATCTATGACAGTGCATCTGTACTTTTGTCAGGAGAAAAGTCTTCACGCCTTGCCCTTCTAACACAGTTTCACTGCCAAGCAAGACATATAACAACGTCATACCATGCACCCGATCCAGATCGGGAACAGCCACCACCCTTAATTACAGCCCCAGAAGCTTCTTGGGGACGCTTTTTCAGAACATAAAACCAATTCTGAGTAAGATTGGACATTCCCACAAATCCCGGCCCCAGACATGCAAACAACCCCACCACCTTGTCTACTACCTCTTGTCTAGGCTTGGTAAAATGGAACCATCAATGGAATTCCGAAGATCACCTCCATCCCTTCCATGTTTGGTTGCTGGGGCCACCCCACTCCCCCATTCTTTATGTACAGGTCGGAAGCCTGGGTTTCTGAACATGATCAGAGTTAGGCCAGCTATAGAATGTTTTTTTTTATCGCTTGCTTCATTTTGAGTCACTGGCAAAATGTAAAATGTATCCTAAGTCTACCCCAGTGAACGTGGTGCGAAATGGATTTTGCAGCCATCCGCGACAAAGCCTGGCCCATCCGATCATCCGCTCCGTCTGCGCGGCGGCGAAGCCATGTGCCACGCAGCCCCGGATGAAGTGCACCTGAGGCGGGCTTCCCCTTGGGTCGCCCCGAGCCTCGGGCCCCGTCCCCCCCCCCTCCCAGTAAACTTGATGGTGCGAGAGGCAGGGAATACCCGTTCGGGGATTCCCAAAGAAAGGAAACCACCAGTCGGATTAAAAGGGCTCCAGCTCCAAACATGACACTTCTCTGGGTGGCCGTTTTGGCAAAAGTCCAGGGGGTCCGCCGGTACATGAATAGAACCGAGCTGAAACGTACTTTATGTATTCAACCAAACTGACCCAAAGAAACAATCTTGGGAATGGCCTGTTAAGAACCACGCCCGGAAAACTCTTGTTTTTTGCAGACAAGCCAGCAGGATTAGACATAGCATTTTGTTCAGGCATTGATGGTTGGGTTTGGTGCCTTTGCCCAAGTGCCCGGTGCCCAAGGCGGTTGGAGCCGCAGCAGCAAAGTCAGACTTCCTGTCTGCTTGTTCGGCTGCCTGCTAGGGCAGAACAAAACAAGCTTCCTGCTAGCCAGCCAGGGCAGGGCAAACAAATGAACATCAAGCCAAGCAGACGAGAAGAAACACGGAAGAAGCGAACCACAAACTGACAACCTGCCCCTGCGTCAAAGCGAAATATCAGCCACAGGCCCGGGGCTCGGGGTGCGGCCAGGCGCCGCCATCCAAAAGAAGAGGGTGTACTTGAAAAGCAGCGTGAGGTGCCGCCACTCCTCGTCCGAGCCTCGGACCCCATGGCCTCTCTGGCCATGTCAACGGAACGGGTGCCAAGGAGACATCGAGCATTAGGAGCCCTCTGCTGCTTCCCGAAACTCCGCACCAGAACCAGGCAGGAGTCCTACGAGACACATCAATTGCACTGCGCCGTCAGTTGGCCAAGCGACCCTTTCCGCCGTCGAAAACTACGTAAGGCCACAAGAATTGCATCGCCCAACAATTGGCATTCAACAAGCAAACAAAAACAAGCAAGCAAGCAAGCAAGCAAGCAAGCAAGCAAGCAAGCAAGCAAGCAAGCAAGCAAGCAAGCAAGCAAGCAAGCAAGCAAGCAAGCAAGCAAGCAAGCAAGCAAGCAAGCAAGCAAGCAAGCAAGCAAGCAAACAAGCAAGCAAGCACAAACAAACAAACAAACAAGCAAACAAACAAGGAAAGAAAGAAAGAAAGAAAGAAAGAAAGAACGCAGAAAAACAAACAAGCAAGCAAGCAAGCAAGCAAGCAAAAAAAGGCAAACAAGCAAACAAACAAACAAACAAGCAAACAAACAAGCAAACAAACAAGCAAACAAACAAGGAAAGAAAGAAAGAAAGAAAGAAAGAAAGAAAGAACGCAGACAAACAAACAAGCAAGCAACCAAGCAAGAAGGCAAACAAGCAAACAAGCAAACAACCAACCAACCAAACAAACAAACAAACAAACAAGGAAAGAAAGAAAGAAAGAAAGAAAGAAAGAAAGAAAGAACGCAGACAAACAAACAAGCAAGCAAGCAACCAAGCAAGAAGGCAAACAAGCAAACAACCAAACAAACAAACAAACAAACAAGCAAACAAACAAGCAAACAAATAAGCAAACAAACAAGGAAAGAAAGAAAGAAAGAAAGAAAGAAAGAAAGAACGCAGACAAACAAACAAGCAAGCAAGCAACCAAGCAAGAAGGCAAACAAGCAAACAAGCAAACAAACAAACAAACAAACAAACAAACAAGCAAACAAACAAGCAAACAAATAAGCAAACAAACAAGGAAAGAAAGAAAGAAAGAAAGAAAGAAAGAAAGAAAGAACGCAGACAAACAAACAAGCAAGCAAGCAAGCAACCAAGCAAGAAGGCAAACAAGCAAACAACCAAGCACCCAACTTGGACATCTCTTCAAGCTGGAAAGTGGAAGCTGAACACATGCTCTCGCAAGACTTTGGCTCAGCAAACTTCTACCAAGCCCCGGAAGCGGATTGGACGGAGGCTGCCCACAAGGGATTGCCCCAGGATGACGCGGGTGTGTCCTTTTTTCGCCTTGATCTTACAATTGGACACCAGGAAACCATCCATTCGGGGGCTTCTCGAACTTGCTTTTGGCAGCCGGAGGTGATTTTTTGGGGCTACGAGTGGCACTTTACGGAGTGGCTCTGCCTTCCTGAGCAACCTAGCCTCGCAATTTTGGAGGTGAAAAGAGAAAACTCGGCACCAGGAGTTCGCGCTGAACTGGCTACCCTGGCGCCCATGGCTCCCTCCCCATGACTGGGCGCCCACACGCACCTTCCTCAGCCGGAAGCCGGCCTCGCTCCAGAGCTGTGGCCGCACCACTACCTGAGTCGACAGCTTGACTTGGGGCTCCCATGCGTGTGTCAAATAGCAGAATGAGGAATGAAATGACTCCAAGAGAAACCATTTCCTATGGTTTTCTTACGATCCCAACGCCCTAGCTCATTCCTTACTGAGCACCAGCAAGAAGAGGTGGAACTCCTTTTGGTTCTCCTCGTGAACCACCAAGGGTGCCTTGGAAACAAAAGAGACACGTATCACATATCTCCCTTGGTATCGTTTCTGGGCAAATGATGATAATTTGCCAACCGCAAACAAGGGATTCCTATGAAAGAAACCTTCATGGCTGACAACATGGCGGCAAGCAGCAGTCACAGCACAAAGGTCAAGGAAACGGGAACGTGTGAAGGGCAACCACCCCCCGCCTGTGGCTTTGAAGAGAAGCCAAAGAAAAACGACCCCCAAGAGAAGTCGAAGCAAAACCACCCCCAAGAGAACCAAAAAGAAGCTTCGCCCTTTTTCGAAGGAAAAGAGGGCATAACTGTTCCTCCATGACGGGCGGCCCACACAGCGAGGATGGACCACCAGCACCAGGCCGTCACCAGGGCCGTGTCTGCCATGTGGTGCGGCACGCCTGCAGCACGCAGCGCTTGGCGCTCGGCGTGCGGCTTCGAGCGATGGAAGGGGGCGGGTTTCCAAGCGTGCTAAAGGGGGTTCTGGAAACATTCATGTCATGTTCTCATTTTTGGTGCGCGAGAGGTTCCAACTCAAAGAAATCACGGGCGTGTGTTTGCCAGTGCCCGGGCTTCGCGCTTCGCGGCCTCCCAGGGTGCGACGCACCACGCCGCTGCCCGCGGGCTGCAGCAGCCAAGCGAAGAGCCGAATCGCGGAGAGCGGCATCAGCAGCGCCAGAAGCGTCACGGACACCAGCCCTCAGATCAGTCACCGTCTTTTTCAAAGCAAAGACTACCTAAAAAGGGTGGTCCAAGGGGGGAAGCTTGGAACCCTACAAAACCTTCTTTTTAATTGAGAGAATCCCCCCTTCGGGGGGGCGGTAGGTCCAGTAAACTTCCCGCCGAGCGCTCGCAGGCCGAGGCGCGGGGCGGCGCGCCGCGGCCCTTGGCGATGGCCGGGGCCCAGTTCTCAAAGAGCCCCGTGAAGGCCTCCCAATGAAGGCGCCGAGTCGAGCTGCGCCATGGGACTCGAGAGATGCCATCGGATCGATCCGTGGATCGACTTGGAGGGGGGTTGATCCATCTTCCATTCTTGGGCCCCCCGAAAATGACCATGGGGAACTTTGCCCATGTTTAGTGGTTGAAATGTCTTCCTTTTTAGTGGGTTCCCGCTAAAGGACCTTTTGATCAAGCCCCATGCGGAGTCTGACCCCAAGAAAATCCAACTGGCTGGCGGTTTCCTGGCGGACCAATTCCTGGGGTCAGACTCCATTTCTCATTGCCTACTTATCGCACCAGGAACGCTGCCAGGAGGAGAATGGATTTGGGGGACGAGTTCAGCAAGAGCCTAAAACGGGGAGCCCGGAAAAATGGGAGAGGTAGGGGTCTTGTAATTTGATGCTGAAAAAGATGTGTGGATTTTGGTTGGTCCCTTTAAACACGGCGACCAAAAGGTCACTGCCAATTGGAGCAGCCGCCTCTTGCTGGTTTCCCAAGAGAAATCAAGGGTCAAGCCCCCATTTAGGCATTTTTGTAAACACCCAAATGGCCCCTTGAGCTTCGACCATTGAATGCCGAAGTGGCTACAAGGCCATTGTTTCACCATATCCAAAGTCGGACCCCGCTTTCTTCCTTACAAGGGGGGGAGGGGTTGGACCCCATTTAAAACTAGATCAAAGAAATCAGACTTCGTGCACTAGAGCTTTGAAGACACGATTTAGCAAGGAAGGCGCACATCCTGACATGAGTCACACTCAAAACCTGCTACTAAAGGGACAATGCCCCTGAACTCTAAGACCTCACGGCTATGCACTGTTGAGACTAAGCCATGAAACAAAAGTACTGGTTCTTGCCAAAAACCTGGTATCTTCTTGCAATCAATGCGAGACGCGCTCTAACTCAGGAGTTCATCAGGATCTTGACAGTCTGCCAGAAAAGAGGGGCCACAGTCGTCTAGACAAAGAACTTTCGTCACATTAATTTGGGTGTTTCTCAAAATAACGGACTGATTCCTTCAGGTCCTTGGTGTTCTTTGCTTTCTTCTTAACACCATCCCAGGGGTTCCGTATTGGGAGAGACACCCATTTGACTGTAAGCACGGTTCCCTATATCTTTGTACATCACCCCGAATTGGCCTTTCCAAAAAGCAATGGAACTCTGGTTCATCTGCCCTTCCCAAGGTGTCCATTTTTGTTTAAAAAAACATAGATGAATTCCACTGGTGAATGATTAGAGCCAAGGTGAACCAGTCGGTTCCCTCAATTTTCAACCACCAGCCCCCATGAAAACTAATATCATTCTAGAAACATATCCTCTTGGGAAATACAGTGTTGATGTCAAGGGGGGTAAGCAGGTTGCAAAAATGGTTCTAGCTGCGCTAGCTGAAGTCACTTTCTAACCATGCACATGAGCTATAGCCTACTTACCGAATAGCTTGAACATCCAAGTGAAACTAGTCATAGAAGCCCCCTGAGACATCCTTCTTTTGGTAGTTGTTGTTTAAGGGAAGGCTCTCCAAAATTTGCAGGGCTGGGCCCAGCCTGGAACCATTGGATCAGCGACAGGAAGAGCACGAAGCGCACGGCGCGGTTCACGTGCGCCTGAGAACTCATGGGATCAATTGATTTGCTCCCCAAACAAACGCCCATCCAAAACCAACCAACTAACCCACCCGTCTCACATACAACTGGACGTTCAAGCCAGGTAAGTAGGTCGCCCGAGAGTATGAAAGGCGTGAACCGAAACCCCGGTGAACTTGCATTCTTGCATTTGCGTGCGGGCCTGTGTGTGTGTACATCATGCGTATTATATCTACATGGTCTACACCTGTCTGTCGCATGTGTTTCCGACTGATCTAGGCAAGGACTCCAAACAGGTACCGGCAAAGGGTCCTCTGCGACGGTTTTGTGGGTGTTCGACTGGATCGTTGGATATGTCAATCAAGCTTCAATGGGTTTGTGTCTTTGTTGAGAAGGTACCCTTTTCAGTTCGGTTTCAAAGCGAAACAACCGGAAAACCAACAAAAGGCGACGCCATGAGGGCTGCGTTTTTGCAGGGTAGTAAAAACCTAATAATCTCGGGAAACAACAAAAAAGAAGATTGCAGACCCTACCCCCCCTCCCCGTTGGGTCTGCAATCTTGTTTGTTTATTGTTGTTTTAGTTTTCTCGAGGTTTCTTTCAAATTCGATGCATTATCTTGCAAGTCATTCCTTTGAGTATTGTCTTGCTATTCCTTTTCTTTCTCTTGCTATAATCTCAGTCTTTCCTCAATACCCGCTTCAGAATTGACCTAGTATTGCCCTAGAATTCCCTGAGTATTCCCCAAGTGCCTCAACTGCAAAACCCCCGAGAAAACCCAAATCAACACATGAAAACAAGTAAACTGCACACCCAACCCCCTTGGGTTTACCACGCCCCCCGCCTTGGGGTCTGCAATCTGGTTTTGTGATTTTGTTTTGTTGGCTTTCTCGAGGTTTTGTGTAGTTTTTTTTAAGTCCGCGCAAGATCCTTCATATCTCGAAAATATTCCCCGGTAGTCTCCTAGTGTTCCAAGTATTGCTTAGCACTCCTTTGTTTAGTTGTTTAGTTCTATCTTACAGTTCCTTTGGGTAGTATCTTGATATTCCTCTAGTTTCTCTTGCTAGAATCCTAGTACTTTCTCAGACTGACCAGGCATTGCCCTAGAATTCCCTTCTGAGCATTTCCTTGCGCCCAAACTGCAAAAATAGCCCAAGACAAATCAAAGGTAAACATTGCAGAATGTGGCCTGCCTTGCGTCCCCCCCCTCCTTGGGGTCTGTAAAGCTGGTTTTGCTTTTGTTTCTTGGTTTTCTCGAGGTAGTGTGCGTTTTCTCAACTACGCACAAAACGCGTAGCATTTCCCAAGTCTTCCCCAGTATCCTCCTAGTGTTCTCCCAGTCTTCCCCAAGTACTGCTCAGCACTCCTCTGGTATTGTCTTGCTAGTTCTTTAGTTTTATCTTGCCGATCCTTTAGGTATTCTCTTGCTATTCCTTTAGTTTCTCTTGCTATCATCCCGCGACTACTGCGACGGCACTGCCAATTCCTTCACAGGTTTGGGGGTGGTGCTGGAGCTGGGCGCGTCGTCTGGAAAGTATCTGCTTTGGGGCAGGTTCAGGCTTCGGATTCAGGTCACCCAGAACGGATGAAGACAAATCCGGCTCTCAGAGTCCTCAATTTTGGTCTCCCAGAGTTTCTTGTTTTCATCGCTCAACTCAAAGACCTGGCTTCTGAGGTGGTTTCTGCAAAAAGCAATCGTGAGGATGCCCATGCGAGGCCCATCATGCCTTGCGCTCATGAGAAAGCCTTCAAGGAAACCACCCACACAAAACCAGTCACACAAAAAAGAAAGCATCAGAACAAAATCAATCTTCGAGTGAGCCACGCCATCTTCAGGAAGTGCTTCCTGACGCGACAACGCATCTTCCCGGTCTCTTTGAGGAGCTCAAAGTCTTTCCGGTCCAGCATCTTCCGCGTCTCCTTTCCCGCCGAGCCCTTGATCTCCATGGCCTTGATGCCCACGCTGGTGCCGAGCTCGGGCGTGGTCTCCTCCAGGTCCAGGTCCATCTCGCAGCCCGGTTTCGGCACCACTCGGCTACAAGAAGATGCCTGGTGAAGTTTGTTTTGCAAACAGTTGAGCCGGGACGACTGTGGCAACCACAGTGCTCATAGCGCTGAATAACATGTGTCAGCGTGACAATCACAAAGCTCGTAGCGTTGAAGTCACAGCAATGCCCTCCTTGTTTTGTTGCCTGGTTGGTGTCAAACAAAACAAAGCCCTTCAACTTCGGAATGGATTCTTGGAGCTGCACGCTCTGACGCGTGACCACAGCTTTTGTCGAGGTCATTCAAACATGGCCCAAAGCGGAAAAAAACGGCGCCTTGCGCGGCTTCTTGGCCGGCGGGGATGCAGCGGCCTCTCAAGGATTCAAGAGACAACGGATGAGTCGATCCCACCTCCAGCCGGACAATCTGCGCTTGGAGCTTCTGGTTCTCCTCGTAGAGGATCTTGATGTCGGCCTGACAGTTCACTGCTGGGAAAAAAAAAGGGGGACACCGCGCTCCTTGTAGCCGTCGGTCCACTTCCGCTCCGCCTCGAGCTCTGTGAGGATCCGTATCGCGTCCTTCTCCTGTCAACCACAACGATCCGCAACCGGCGAAAAAAAACACGAGCCTTCTCCGCGAGCTTCATCGTGAGAGCATTCTTCTCCTCCACCACGGCCGTGTGCTCCGCGAGCTGATCGCGGAGGCACTTGATGGTGGCGTCCTGCAAATGTGAGCATGACCTTCATCCGCTTGCCGATGAAACTGCACCCGCCTTGACCGTCATGTGGGTGTCAAAGGTTTTTAAGATGTGCGCTCAAGCGCTCTGTGAAGCGACAGCTATGATTCTGCAAGCTTGGTTTGTGGCAAAGGGATGTTTTGCCGAGCTCCATGCACAAAAGTCAATCTCTGGGATCCGCACACCTTCTGAGCCGGGGCGTGGGACAAGTTTTGGAGTAGTTGTTTGTTAACTGGAGGTCTCACAATTCTTCAACTGCTCGAAGTGTCAGTCACATTGGCGTAACTTGATCAAAGGTGACGGAATCTCGCTTCAAGGGTTCGACTTCCACTGGCACTGGAAGGTTCGGGCTCGCTTTTTGATGCAAAAACTTACTTCAAAACTCTTGAATCTTAGAGGCTAAATGAATCGAATTTACACCTGACTTTATTGGATTGCAGAAGGGATGAACCTGCACTAGCCATGTGAAGGGCGCAACTCAAACTGTGCACGCGTTTGGCTCTGGATTGTTACTTTAGAAGCAGGCGACAAGGTCTGACTCGCCCCCCGAAACTTTCTCCCTAAACATACTCAGTTTTCATACAGAACTTAAGGGATGAGATGGGTCTTTGAGAGCTGCCGGCTGCACGACTTGGTGAGCTTTTGCGTCGACGACATTGGCACCCGGTCTGCTACATGGAATCCAGTCTGCTTTCGAGATGACCAGAATTCAGTTGGGACCTAGAAGCGTGCCTTTCGGTGGGGATCCCGCCTCGGTCAGAGATGCCTAAAGGAAGACTCTTGCGGCCGGCGAGGAGGGGGGTTTCCAGGTCCTGGAGTCATGGAGCATCCTGTTGCCTCTGTCTTCCAAATCGCCGAGGGGTCCCAAAGAAACTCATGACCGTCTTTACCAACAAAAAGGGGTTGTGACATCGTCGCTTTCCAACCCTACCACACACATTGTCATCCGTCAGCATTGTAGGGTGGGCTGGGTGGGTCCCAAAGAAACAACTTCAGGGTTTAGTCTGCCAGACCTAACCGGCTTGATCCTAGATGCGCAGCTGCCTGCCTGCTCCAAAACCAGGGGATGCGGCGATGTCCCAAGCCAGATCGAACCAACTTCCCTTTCAGTGTTGACCTAGTAAGGCCCTAGAATTCCCAGAGCATTCCCAAACTGGCCCAAACTGCGAAAAACCTCAAGAACACCAAAATAATTAAAACATAAAATAAAAATCGCAGACACTAACCCTACCGCACTTTCCGGTGGGAGTCTGTAATCTGGTTTTGTGTTCTTTGTTGTTTGTTGGTTTTCTCAAAGGTTTGCGCGTTCTCCCCAATTACGCGCAAAACGCTTAATATCTCCCAAGTTTTCTCCAGTATTCTCATAGTATTCTCATAGTGTTCTGCTAGTATTCCCCAAGTATTGCTCAGCACTCCTTTGGCATTGTCTTGCTAATTCTTTAGTGTATCTTTCAGTTCCTTTAGGTACTATCTTGCTATTCTTTTAGTTTCTCTTACTATTCCTCAGTACCCCCTTGAGTATTGACCTAGTATTGCCCTAGAATTCCTTGAGTATTCCCCCCAGTACTTCCTGCCAATTGCTCAGTACTCCTCCAGTGTTCTCCCACACGTGTCCCCCTAGAATTGTCCTAGCGTTCCCTTAATATTTTCTAATTATGTCTTAATATTCCCCTTATCAAAGGAAATTTAGATGGAAACTTCCGAGTTACGGAAACTAATTGAAAGCTAGATGGTGCAGGGAAGGAAGAAGAAACAATGAAAGGCGCGCGAGAGAAGACATGCGTGCGCGTGTGGCGGTCGAGTAGAATTTGCGAAAAGGAGCAACCCTCTGCGGGCTTGGTGGTGTGGACTGGCTGAAAGCTACCTCAGTCGCGGCGTCTGACGGACGACGGGTGCGGGACGGGCTCGGGACGGTCTCGGGACGGGGGCGGCGCCGGGACCATTGGCACGGCTGCAGAATTCGTGGCAGGCGCAGCACTTTCGCAAGGTCAAGCAAAGATTTCGTGGCACGCGCAGCACTTTCGCAAGGTCAACTTTCTTAAGTACAAAAGTAGTACGCGAAGTCAACTTTCGCAGCTGGGGCTCCAAAATCGCAACTTTTAAGTACGAAAGTAGTACGCGAAGTCCACTTTCGCAGCTGGGGCTCGAAAATCGTAACTTTTAGGTACGAAAGTAGTACGCGAAGTCCACTTTTGCAGCTGGGGCTTGAAAATCGATAGGCAGATAGATAGATAGAAAAAGAGATAGAGAGAGAGAGAGAGATAGATAGATAGATAGAGAGAGAGAGCGAGATAGATAGATAGATAGACAAAGAGAGAGAGAGAGAGATAAAGAGATAGAGAGATAGATAGATAGATAGATAGATAGATAGATAGATAGATAGATAGAGATAGATAAATAGATAGATAGATAGATAGAGATAGAGAGAGAGAGAGAGATAGAGAGATAGATAGAGATAGAGAGAGAGAGATAGAGAGATAGATAAATAGATAGACAGGAAGATAGAGAGATAGATAGATAGATAGATAGAAAGAGAGAGAGAGAGATAAATAGAAAGAGAAAAAGATAGACAAATACACAGCAGATAGATAGATAGACAGATAGATAGATAGATAGAGAGAGAGAGAGACAAAAAAATAAGATAGAAAGAGAGATAGAGAGATAGATAGATAGATAGATAGATAGGTAGATGGATAAAGAAATATATAGATAGATAGATAGATAGATAGATAGAAAGATAGATAGATAGATAGATAGATAGATGGATAGATGGATGGATGGATGGATGGGTGGTAGACAGATAGATAGATAGGTAGAGAGAGAAAGATAGAGAGATAGATAGAGAGCTGGGTAGATAGAGAGATTTAAAGATATGTAGATGTATAGATAGATAAAAATATAGATAAATAGAGATATTCATAAATACACGAGAGACAAAGAGATAGATAGATAGATAGATAGATAGATAGATAGATAGATAGATAGATAGATAGATAGATAGATAGATTAGATTAGATAGATAGATAGATAGATAGATAGATAGATAGATAGATAGATAGATAGATAGATAGATAGATAGATAGATACATAGATAGATAGATAGATAGATAGATAGATAGATAGGTAGAGAGATAGAGAGATAGACAGACAGAGAGAGAGAGAGAGATAGGTAGATAGAGGGATACACAGATAGATAGATACATAGATAGACAGAGAGATAGATAGAGAGATAGACAGATAGAGAGACAGAGAGACAGAGAGACAGATAGATAGATAGATAGATAGATAGATAGATAGATAGATAGATAGATAGATAGATAGAAAGAGAGATAGAGAGACAGGTAGAGAGATAAATAGATAGATAGATAAACAAACAGAAGATAGATAGACAGATAGATTGATAGATAGAGAAATTGATCGATAAATAGATAGATCGATAGAGAGATAGATAGATAGATAGATAGGTAGATGGATAGAGACATAGATAGATAGATAGATAGATAGATAGATTAGATAGATAGATAGATAGATAGATAGATAGATAGATAGATAGATAGATACATAGATAGATAGATAGATAGATAGATAGATAGATAAATAGATAGAGAGGTAGATAGATGGATGGACAGATAGAGAGAGAGAGAGATAGAGGGATAGAGAGATAGATAGATAGAAAGAAAGAGAGATAGAGAGCTAGGTAGATATCTAGAGAGATAGAGATAGATAGATAGGTAGTTAGGTAGATAGATAGGTAGAGAAAGATAGATAGATAGACAGATAAAAAGACAGAGAAGAGACAAAAGAAAGAACAGCATTGCCCTTGCAATGGACTATTGCTCAGCTACTTCTGCTGCTTGTCTGCAATTAATTCAGTATGGTGACTTCTTGCATCTGCTTTTACGCAACTGCGATATCTGTATAATCTGAAACACAATATGTTCAACTTTTTGAGAAGCATTTTACCTGCAAAAACACAGCCCCCAGAAATGCATCAAACGCAGCCCCGGGGAATCTGAAAAACGCAGCCCCCAGGACGTCCCGTCCTCAAAACCAAAATCCATGTTGAGGGTCCAAATCAATATTTGATGAATGTGGGAGGGAACCCTTTTTGGGGTCGTTTTAAAGGGAAACGAAAAGAGATCCTATTTTGACGCATACCCACCTACCCAAATGAGCCCCTAAGCTCTCAAGCACTTCTGCCAAGGAACCGTAGGCTGGAAAATGGGGAAGCTATCGCTGCAAATGCCTTGGCGAGAATGGGGGGTGCCATGAGACCAAAGGGGTGTCTTTTGTTGGAACCCCTTTTCGATGAGTTTCAAAGAAGAAGAAAAAAAGAAAGCCAAGCATTTTCGGGGACCCCCCCCAAAAAAAGACACGCCCAAATTGAGTCATGATCATGGACAAAACATGTTGCTAATCATTCAGCCCCTTGTTTTACGCTGCTCTGCTGCTTTTGAATGAGGCCAATACGGGCCCTGTCTGAGGGGCCGTGAGGCCCTGTTGGGATTGCCAGGGCATGGAAAACCGCCGTGCAAGCTTCTATGGCACGTTGGCACCTGTCATTTCGAGGTACGAGAATGTGGCCACTTTCTTTTAGGCCGCTCAAGGGAGAACTACAAGAAAGACCAGCCAATATGTTTTGAGGGTGCTGTAGCCCTTCTCTCAGAAGAACGCCACCACTGCGTGTGGGAGACAGGCCGTTGGGAAAGCAGAGTCTGGTTTCAGGCGCAAGCCACTGCAAGCTGCTAATCGACCTACCCGCAGCTCAATGTCAACGTCGCATTCATCCGGACCGAAGCCGAAGGGTATTTGTTCGTCAAGTGGGGGAGCCCTTCTTTCTTTTGAAGCAACACCCAGCTGGGCAACCTGTCTTAGCGCGCCAACTGATTGATGAGACATGGAGCCCCAAGAAAGAAGCCTCTTGTGACGTCGCTAGAGCACGGGATGTCCTTTGCACTGGGTCCGGCAATGTCTGTTTGATCTTCCAATCATGGAAGTGCACAGCATGGATTTGGAAGACTACCATCAGTTTGCAAAGGCCCCCCATT